ATACGCGGACGCGTCCATGCAAGTCAGATTGAGAGAGAGAGAGAGAGCAGTTTCATTCTCGGTATCGCGTTGGAGAGAGTGTGTGTCATATCCACGCCCTTCCCCCATCTCCCCGACCTGCCACCCTACCTACGAGGAGTGCTGAACGATGAGCCCGCTGGATAAGGTTATGCCTCGGCGAACAAACGGACCTTCAACGGCGTCTGTGTTTTGTTCCAACTCTCTCGAGCGTGTTGGGGCGAAGCAGGTAGACTGTACAATCCCACTCTCCCCCAGAAGCCCTCGCGCACCTACGAATATCGCAGGACACGACGACGAACCATGCCAGCTAGCTCATGGCGTGGAAGAGAAAACATCGGATGGGCTAAGAAGCATCGAAGCCCTCTGCCACACACACACACACACACACACACACACACACACACACACGCACGCACACCTCTCAATTCGGTCCCGCCTCGGGATTTACTCCACGGACACCCCCCTAGCTCCCCCCGCCGCGGCGCCGATGCCTCGGCCTAGATGTTGAGGTGCCGGTGAGTAAGGGGTTGAGGATCGCCGACCGAACCGAGAACCGAAAGAACCCCCATTCGTCTCCTCCCCCTACCCTCCATCGGCGAAGCTTGATTACGCCGCCCCGGTCTTGTCTACCTACTCTCTGGGGCATGGAGCGGGCGCGGAGTGAAGGTGCATGCAAGGTAAAGTTATGGATGGTGTGGGTGGTAAGGCGGACAGGGGTGGTGGGATGGGAGGATCTGCCGTCATGCCCGTGATCCTCCGCAGTTGCGTTAGTCCGGGGATTGTTTGTTTTATTTGGACCGGGGGAGGGGGAAGGATGGGGGAGAAGAAGCAGTGTGGAACGACGCTCCTCCTCCTCCCATGTGGTGCTAGGTACTCTACGGGAAAAGGTAGGTATGTCAGGCAGCCCCCCGGCCCCCACGCGGGGCCATACCCGGAGCTGCAACCTTTCCCGACCTCCTCCGACTACAGACGGAACTTTGGATCCGATGCTACCCCAACTTCCATCACTTCTTCACCTTCAACGCAACACCTCGGTAATGTAAGAAATTGGTTTTCTGGTATTCCAACTATCTGGCTGTCTCTATGCCTAGCACATGCCCGAGCACATGCTTCAAAGGCAAAGCAAGAAAAAAAAAATTGGGGGGGTATTCGTACGAAGAATGACGGGACAGCAAAAAGGAAATTTTTGCTTGAGGGGGATGGAAGTGATGAGGACAACCGGTAAGAAAATGTGTGAAAAAACCAGGCCATGCTATGCCGTTGTGATGAAGCTTTCCCCCCTGCCTCGATATGATGTAATGAAATGTTTCCGTCATGGTATGCTTTCGACTCGTGTGGCGCAAAAGACAAGCTCCCAACTCCATGCTCTACGCAATGCAAGTCGCTTGGCCTCCGTCCTACCGTGTCGACAGTTTTCTAGCGCCCCAAATACACCTCGTGCGTCGCTGTAAACGCCAAATCAAAGCCCCAGCTTAGCCCTTCCGAAACACACGCTTCGTGCCACCAACCTTGCCCATATCGCCAAACTCTGAAGTCTTGCGCGTCTCGCCGCTAGCGGCACGCACCTTTTCCTTGACGCTCTCTACCCACGCCCGATTCTCCTCGCTCATCTCGACCTTGCGGCCAGTAGGTCCTGCCAGACCAAGGAAAGAGCTCTCGTCCTCTTCCCAGCTGATGTGGGAGCTCGATCGAGACCGGTTGGAGTCTTCCGAGGACGGTGTCGGCGTGAACTTGTCTGGGATCGGCGGAACGGCCGGCGTGTTGGGAAGCAGCCGGGGAACCGATGAGTCGCCGGCGCCAAAAGACTTCCTAGACTTTCGGACATTGAGCGGCGTCATGGGTGACATTTCCAGCGCGGACGCTGGCCGGCTCGGCGGGCTCGAGTTCGCGGCACGGCTGCTCGCACGCGGCAAGTCCTGCACTTTGATCTCGGCAGTCTCGACGGGTCCGGCAGAGCGTCGGCCGTGATGCGAGGCGTACTCCTTGAGGTACTCGCCGAGATCAGCCCATCCACCCCCAACTCGCACCATGACACGCTCGCCGTGCTCGCCGACGCAGCGGATGAGAAGCTTGATGGGCGCTTCGCCGGTGGAACGTGACAGGTGGTAGACTCTGACGTCTTGTCCGCTTTGAGGGCGTCTGGGTCTGGGGTTCTTGGCGTACGCGGGAGCGAGCGTCAGCCACGGCGTAGTCGCCCGCGAAGATGTCCGCGATGTGGTAGACATGGCAGAGACGCTCCTCCGCATGGTCTCCCGAGACGGCTTCTTAAGCCTCTTGGCGGGCATGGTGGGAAGATCGGGAGGCGGCGGGTTCAAATCCACCTTGGGCGTCGCTCTGGCCAGCTTGATATTGGCTGGGATGGACTCCAAAATGTTGCTGATCTGCTGTCGGAGGTGGTCATCTTCCTTGTTACCAGTCTCTCTGGGCGTTCCCATGCTGATAAACGAGTGGTCGAAATCATCCTCGTTGAATGACGACTCCAGAGGCAGAGCCGGCAGGAGACCCTCATCCTGGGGCCTTACCATGGGGCTCGCGCTGTCTTCTCTGTAGCCCGGCCGGAATGGGGGAGAGCTGGGAGGGCTGATGCTCATGAAGCGGTTAGCAGCCGACTTGCGGCTCAGGGTCTCGGCACGCTTCTGCCGTGGCAGAGGAGGTGAGGCTGAGACTTCGGGCATGTCGCTCGAGGCATCTGCCAGGAGGCTTGTGTGACCGTGGATGATTGTGGACGAGTCTGAGGCGTCACTTCCGCGTCGGTCTGGTCGAATCAGCGGCGGCAGCTGCACTTCCTCTTCGTCTTCAGGCGTGTCGGGCAAGATCTCGTCCGCATCGTCAACGGAAGAAGACGAATTGGACCTGGCGTTGCTTTCAAAGACTGCTCTAAGCTTCGACACAACGGAGTCTTTCTTGGTGTCCTTGGGCGCACCCGACACCTTCCTTTTGGTGTTTTCTTCGTTCTGGACTTCGCCCAGTGGCGTACGCTTGGGCTTGGTAACCTCGCTGGAGCCATCGAGGCCAGCGACTGGCTGTGTCTTCTTCTGCGCTTGCAGTTGCGAGGGAGAAATCTCGATTGTGTCGTCGTCGGAACCATCCGACTGCTCCGGAGTGGCCTCGTCGGCAGAGACAGGCTGGCTGTCGTCTTCCGGTGGGTTGATGGTGATGGGCACTGGCAAAGTTACGGTCCTCACGTCGTCGTCCGCAGCAGGCAAGCCACTGGGTTTTATGGGCTCTGTCTCCGTCTCCTCTCTGATCACCGGTGGAAGCACTTTCTGCTGACGCACCCTAGTCCAGTCTCCTTGTCGGATCCTTTGCTCGCCAGATGTCACCCAGTCGGCGTAGTTGCGCTCGACGGCCTCCATACGGTCGAGCCAGGCGTCGGGCAGTGTATCCTGCAAGCCCTCGAGGCTGTCGAGCATAAAGTCGAGGCTGCGTCCGGATTTTGTGATTTGAGTCTCCAATACCGACTTGACAACAGTAATGGCATGTTTGAGTTGGGAGAGGGGGTCTTGGGCTCCATCTTCGGCGGATGGCGTACCCGCAGGAGATGCCAGCACGTTCCATGCAGATTCAAGTGCGTACTCGGCCTCTGCGATGCCAGACAGCAAGTCAGGTATGCGGCGGAGGACAGAGAGGCGGATGTGCCAGACTTTGAGCAGTCGGCAGAGCTTGGACAGATTCGGCAGTGCCTGGACGATGATTGCCGTGAGGAGAGCCGTCAAGTCGTCCATTCGGTTGTAGGAAAGTGCCCCGCCTCCGATGGGCCGCGTGGGTGACAGTGGCGTTCCGGGTCTCGATAGCGGTATGATGTGGGTATGCATGACGTGGGTCTTGATTTCTTCAATGTGCAGCTCGTCCATGTCGTGAGAGATGCCGTCCACGCGCTGCTCGTACTGAGCGACGCTCTCGGCGGGTAGGCTGCCGAGGTACACCGGCTCGTCGGCATCCTCGTCGAGTTTCGTCCGCTTTGCATCTGGCATCTCAAAACCTGCCGAGCCGCTCGTGCCAGGCCACGGCCAATCGGAAAGCTCCTCGAGCCATTCGTAAATCTTCCGGCTGGCTATGGCGGCACGCATGGCGAATTCCTGTTCGTTCACGGTAGAGTTGTCGAGGCATTGTTTAAGTTCAGTGTTTGGTGTCTGGAGCATCTCGACGGCGGTCATGGGTGTAAGGCGGCTCAAAAGGTCGTCGTTGGTTCGGGCACGGGTGGGTGAGTGCTCGTCGGAGTGGCGGTACTGGCGCCTGGCCGGGCGAAGCTGGTGGCCCGGCCCGGGGGTGATGGGCGGCGGAGGGTCGGTCATGATATTGATTGCTGGAGAGTAGTTGTCGGTTGTCGAACGAGCGATTGATCTGTCAAGTAGGCAGGCATGACTTTGCTTCTATGAACCTGGGAAAAAGACGTCTTGGATGAGTATGGCCATGTCGTGGATCATCGGTGGTGTTTGTTGATAATCATGGACGTCCCGATCCGGCTGACTGATGTCTCGGTGGTGTCTCGCGTTCCTGACTCTGGGAGGTTGCTGGAAAGAAGACGATTGCTCGGGTTGGGAAGTGTTCGTTTGGGTGGTTGCAGGATGTTCCAGACGGCAGCGACGCCAGTGGTCGTAGGCGCGGCGCGGGTTCCCGGAGATCGGAGATGCAAGGGAGCGCAGGGATTCAAAGGTAGCTGCGAGATGTTGTTGAAGAATAAGAAAGAGCGGATGAGGTGAGGTGGACGAGGTGAATAGGTAGGTCGCTGGTGAGTATTCAAAGAGAGAAGCGGAATAAAGGAAGGTAGGGTGCAGGCGGTGAATGGGATGAAAGAACGAGACAACGCAGGATGTTTCGCGGTGGTTAGAGAATTGAAGCTGGCGCGATGAGATGGCACCGGGGGATGGATGGAAGAAGGGAAGGGCAAGGCGCAAAGGAGCAGTCGGCAAAAGGAGATTAGGTGTCTGGCGTTGTCGAAAGAAAGAGGAGATTTATTAATGAGATTTGATGGATATTGGTTGCCGCATACGGGGGATGACTGCCAGGTACCTTGCCTCCACCACCCAGGTAGGAATGCGGACTGGATGAAAGTCAGGTACCCGAAGGCAGAGACAACAGTGGGCGAAAGGTACCTTTTACCGACACGACAGGCGGAAAGATACCTGGCTAGCACTGCCCTGAATGTCGTGGAGCGATGGTGTGGGTGAGCGAGGATTTGATCGGTTCGTGTGGAGTTGGCCGCTGTTCTGGGTTAATAGGCCTCCAGAACGCCCCCCTTGTCATGCAAACGCGCTTTGCTTTCGCGGCTTTCGCCAGCCAGTCCAGCCCAGTTGGTCTCGACAATCCAACACACGCTCCTAATAATATCACAACTATTGATTTACAACTCTCCACGTTCATCCGCATCGTCCGCATCGTCCGCACCCCCGAGTCTACTCTGTACAGATACAGCACGACACATCAGAGCTTCCTCTGCCCCGGCAACTCGTCTCTAGCACCGCACATCCTGACGTGTCGCGAGACGGGCTTTGCGCCGCTCGCATTGGGGGCGCGTTAAAAAGGGACCGGACTGCGCGTCGGCTGTTCCTTGCGACTTCTGAGGACCCTGCCAGCCGCATCCTGCATGGCTGCAGAGAACATCCATGCCCTAGAGTGGTGCTATGTGATGCGTCTGCCGCATCTTGGTGTCCTTCCGCCCTCGTCATGCTGGGAATTCGATGGGTGTCCCTGTCTCAACTTGATGCGGCCACTCTTGTCAGCCTCTACCGCCTGGACCAGCATAAGGTCGCTGCCCGGGAGTCCTTGACAGAGTTTAATGGGTTTGATAGGGGGCTCTTGATGCCACAGTCGCGATGCATTTCGCGTTCCCGCCTACGGAGTAGGTTGACGTGAACACACATTGGCCATCCTCTAGACACCACCCTCGCACGTTCTCTCCATGACATGAGATGGCATGCTGCACGACACTGTCACTCGACGCTCGGATGCAGAGAGTTTCCCTGCCAGACGTGCATGTTTTGACACGGTAACATGGCCCACGGACGGCCAATGTCAACCAGAAGCTCTGAAAGCTGTCAGCAAGCTTTCTGACTAGTGGCGCGAGCTGGCAAGCCGCAAAACTCAAGCCTCAGACTTTTGGGATCAGCTTGGTCAGCGTCAGCTACCTACTGTGTTCGTAGCTAGGCCAGGCGGACGAAAAGTCAGAGCGTGGCGCCAGCCCATCGGCTGCTTCCATCGCTTCCGGCGATCATCATCCCCCCACTGCGGTGACCTCAATTAGTTGCCCTGCTATCACGCATCCAGCTGCGGAACCGGAATGATTGGACAGCGACGCATCGCCAGCCGTCGAACCGTGGGGTACTTGCATGCCTGGGAGCCTCCTCGACCTCTATCCCGTACCGATGCCGCCATCGGGATCGCGACACATGACCAGAAGCTTCATTCCATCGCCCAAGAGCTAGCCACCGCACGGCGAAGACGCGACTGAGTCCTGGGTCCGGTTCTGCTCATTTCCTCAGATTGTCCACCCAAAAAAAAGTGTCCCACCCGTCGTCATTAAACACTCGCTCGCTGGCCCGGAAACGCGCTCGGTACCATTTCGCCTGACAGCTCCCCCTGTCCCGCTACCCTGCATTCGGCTACCTCATCCTTGGAGCTCTCAGATTGAACACGAGGGGTCGTTTGAGCTTGACTCTCAAGGGAGCTCCAGACTCCAGTGTTTCCAAGGGAGCTCTGCTGGACCTCCCATGTCACTCCAGTGACAGCGTTTGGACGTTGCGCCATCGTCTCGCGATCGGAGAGATTGGCAGTGCTCTTGATCCTGCCACGCTGCTCATCCTGGATAACACAACTAAAGTCTTGCATTCGCTAAATCTAGATTCTATGCTGGTGGCTTGACGCCTGAAAGCGAAACTCGCCGTCACAGCTTCGGCGCAACGTGCCTCCATTTTCCTATGCCGGGGTACACGAAGCCAAGCTCCCGGAGCGTCGTCGCGTTCCCTCCTCGCTTCTCAAATTCCTGCTTGCTCGGCCAGTAGATGCCGCGCTCCCAGAACTGCTCGTCATGCCAGTATGGCGGCTCTTTGCCTTGCTGGGTCGACTCCGCTACCCAGTCGTGCAGCATGTTGAGATGGCGACCGTCGTCTCCATCGTCGAGCAGCACGTGAATGTTCTTGTCGCCGCGCCTCTTGAACAAGTCGAGCTCCCATCGTTTCTGCTCCTCCACGGGCGGCAGCTTCAATCCGTTGGACCACACCGCGCCCAGAGCCGCCGCCTGATTCTCTGCCACGGGCCAGGGCACCGTCTTGACCAGCAGTCCGGCAAAGGCCAGAGTGGGGTGCTTGATGAGGAACAGATGCTGGTACAGACCTCTGACGCCTTTGCCGGTTGTCAAAAGGTTGGGCTTGAGAAGCGCCGGCAGGAACGGAAAGCTGAAGAAGAAGCCGGTGCAGTAGATGACGGCGTCAACGTCCTCCATCACCGTCCCGTCATTGTAGACAACCGCCCTTTTCTCTGGCAGAAATTCCACAATCTCAGGAACCTCCGTCACCCCAATGTGAACGACCTTGTCCGGTGGAGTCGCATGTCGTACAGATAGATACACCCTGTCCGAGACCGGGCTGAGCTGGCGGGCTATATCCAACCCCGAGGGCCCGTTGCCCACGACAATCACCTTTTTGCCCGAAAACGGCTCCGGGACGCGGTAGTTCTTGGAGTGCAGGATCGCAGACGGATGCGCCTCGTGAAAGGCCTTGATGCCCTTGACGTCCGGGATGAAGGGGATGTCATAGTGCCCGTTGGCAATGACCACGGCGTCGTACGTGTCGCTGAACAATCGGCCGGTGATGGTACACGCGGCCGTGAGGTCCCACCTGTCTCGGCCGTCGTCCCCCTGCCGGAGCTCGAGCGCCGTGACCTGGTGCGAGAACTTAATGAGGTGGCGGACGTCCCTTGCGTACTCGACTAGGTAATTGTAAATGCTCTGCCGCGACGGGAACACCCAGGCGTCGTCTGGGAACGGCGTGTTCTTGTAGTTCATTGTCGTCTTGATGGTGTTGGCGTGCAACGTCCCGTACATTGGTGTGGGGAACACGGGTGGCGCACCGGGCTTGCCCCCCGGCCGGAGCGGAGGGTCCTGCGGGCAAAAGGGGTCCGTCTGCGGTACATGGCGAGACGTGGTCGGGTGTGGGCTGTAGTTCCAGACGCCGCCCACCTCGGCCTGCTGCTCGAACACGACGACGGAGTCAAAGGCCCCTTGCGCTGTGAGGTATCGCGCGGCGGCGAGACCCGTCGGCCCCGCGCCGATGACGGCGATCTTCTTGATGTTGAACGGAACTGTGCTCATGTCGGTCTGTGAGACAACATGGATGGCCTTAGGGGGTACAATGAGAAGATCTAGTGACCACTCTTTAAACAACGGAACAACATGCCCAAGACCCACGAGAGGAAGTGCGTTATATCGGCGGGAAATCACCTAATCAGCTCCTTTTCGGACAGAGTGGTGGACACCGGGCGGGTAAAACGGGGATCCCTCCACCCTACCACATTGACACATCCGCGTTGCAGAGCAAAGGCAATAACAGATTCAATTGGATGCTTGGACGAGAGAGAAAAAAAACAATAATGACATGTCTGCAAGGCCTACCTCTTCTGGTCCGGAGGGAAGATGTGAAGAAGGTTAAACTGCACAAGGTTGACCCATGGCAGCCTGTCAGGTGACTCGGGAACGATCCGGAAGCCACCCGGCTCCAAGCCCCGCTTATCGATAAGGAGCCATTCGGCAGTCGTGACACACCGCCTGCTTCTTTCTACTCGAAAGGTGTGGGGCCCTTCCCGCGCAATTCGTGTAGCTCAAGCAGGAGCTTCCCTTGTTCCACATTCCATCCACACCACCGACCATGCGGTGCTACCGAATCGATCTTTGCGACCGTTTCCATCCCACATTCATTTAGCACAACTACACCTCGATATTACCAACAGATCCTGCTGATGCTCGATACCTCGGATTACATACCCGTTAGCTCCACCGCGTCCCCCTCAAACTCATGACGCGATGTCTGAGGTCCCGCTACCCGCCGCGCAGCAGCAGCAGCTCGAAACCGCCTCGGCCATCGCAATCGCGCAACTGAGCCCCGCGCTCGAGGATCCCAAGACGCGCGTCATTCGGGGCGTCGTGACAATAACATGGCCGTACAGCATCGTCAGGAAAAACATTGCCTTCCTCCTCGCCGAGGCCGACTTCCGCCTGCGTCGGGCAAAGGGCCAGGTGCGCGTCGAGTTTACCGGCTCCAGCGCCAAAGCGATTGCGGATGCGGCGTTGGGAAGCGGCGATGAGATTGCGCTGTCGTTGGACGGGGTCGAGCTCGTTGCGGATGACTCCAAGACGCGCGTTCCGGGGACGAGTTTGGAGTGGCAGTTGAGGTTTACAGAGAGGGTGCTCCTGATGGTAGGTTGTGTGTGTGCGTTGCTTGCTGGGACGTTTGCTAACAAATTGAAGGCCAAGATCAATGATTCCGAAGAGGTCAAGATTGTCGATGTCGATCACCCCGCGCAACCCGAACCAGAGTCCGAGGAACTGCCAGTGTCCATCCTCGAGTCGTTCCAGGATGTCGAAGAGACCCCGGCGCCCATAGCGACACCCGCGAAGACGCCTTCGGGCAAGAGACCTGCCGACCAGGGCCTTGGCGCCGACGAGTTTGCGTCCCCCGCGTTCCTCAAGCGTGCCAGAGTATCGTACGGAGGGCTGTTTGATGGGGGCCTCAACATCTTTGACGAGGCAGATGACGGAGCAAAGGCCCGGGCGAAGAAGAAGCCAAAAACGGGCCGGTACAGCAGCGTTTGGACATATGCCAGTCGATCTCCGAGCCCCGAGCAGGAAACACCCGCGGAGGATGCCGACGACACGCCAATGGCGGAGGAGCAACAGCCGACGATCGCCACGCCGTCACGGCCTACGATGGTAGACGGCGCCTGCCAGACGGTGGAGCAAGAAACAAGCCCCCCAAGAGATGTACAGGTTGCGGCAGAGGCGCGGCAGAATCCCTCGTACTGGCAGACGCCGTCGAAATCGACAATGATCGATTCAGGGGTTCAGTCTGATCTGCCTCCCAGCCCCAACATTGGGCTGACTCCACTCGGATTTGGACCACCGCCTATGCCGATATTCACGTCCGCCCACGAGCCGTATCCGCCTGCCTTCCAGCAGGCGCCTCTCGGTCCCGTCTTTGGTCACGATCTGCAGCCTAACATGGAGCCGCACTACGATGCTGAAGGGCCGTTTCACGAACACCCCAGTGCGTACCCAGAGGCAGGGCTTGACCACTCGCCTATGCACGGCCACTATCCCGCGACATTCCTCGATGAGCCGCATTTTGGTCCAGACGGTGTCGTCACTTCACAACCGCTGTCGGAGCCGATACCTGCGTACCAGGACCACCCGCAGCAGCACAATTTTGAGGCAGAGCCCCATCACACAGTCATGGTTGATGGGATCGCAGAGCCTCAGCAAATACCTTGGGGTCTCACGTCGGCGCACTACTCGAGATCACCCGCGAAGCCTGCAGAGTCTGGTGGAGTGCATGAGGATCGGGCGTCTAATCCCCAGGATGCCCCTGGTGAGACGTGGGATGACCGCGAGCGCGATGTGCGAGACGATCCCGAGGATGAGGATGAGGCACTCAGGGTAGAGGAGGACCAGATGTCGGAAGATCAAGACGGCCCTGAAGAGGATTTTACATCGAGAACGTACGCCGAGAGACGCCTCGAGCCGGGTGAAGAGGATCGTGAGGAAGCCGCAAGCATAGAAAAGGAGAGCAGTCCCGTGGGCAGCCGTAGTAGCAGCAGCGAAAGCAGCCAAGAGAGCGACGAGGAAGCCGAGCACGAGGCCGACGATACCGGCGGGGACTACGACATCACCCACTTTCGGAATCTCAGCAACAACCAGGACGATGACGCGGGGACAGACCTGGAGTCGGACTATGGACAAGAAGAGGAGGAAGAGATACTAGACCCGGAAGACGAGGAAGAGGGATTCGAATCCGAAGACTACGATGAGGAGGGCTACGATGAAGGTGACTATGACGAAGACGAGGACCAAGAGAATCAGCCGCCGCCTGCTGCTCCGCGCGGGGGGCCACCGGTAGTCATTGACTTGCTCTCGGATTCTGAGGATGAGGATACAGCCCCGCCGCCGCCGCCCGCCGCAGTTTCTCGGCGACGGATACCGCAGTACGATGGATCCGCCGATGAGATGGAAGACGAGGACATGGACGACCAAGAAAGCCAGGGAGAAAGTGTCAGGAATGAGGCCAGTCAAGGAGGCTCGTCGCCTGCTCCGTCTGAAGCGGGAAGCGAGGAGGATGAGGCATCGCAAGTCGGCACGCCCACTCCGAAGCCCCGCCCGGCGACGTCCGCGCGACCAGTATTCTCCGCTCCGGATTTGACAACGGGGTCGATTGGCGACGATTTCGAGACGATGAGCCCGGTGAAGCTGCCGCACATGGCGGGCATTCCGAATAGTTCGTCTCGGCCTACCTCGCGAGGCGAGTCTGATGATCTGGAGGCGGAGCTTGAGAAGGAGTTGGAGGAGGAGATTGCGGCTGATGATGCGAAGAGTGACCGGCAGACACCGGTTCCGTCGGAGGGCAAGGCGGGGGAAGTCGTTGAAGACACGGGGGTTCTGCCGTCGAGTCCGTTCAATGAGGAGCCTGTGGTCCAAGCGACGTCAAAGCATGTGGTGTCTAGTCCGTTCAACGAGGATCTTGCTGGGCTTGCATCGCCTGAGCAGGCGGTGTCTAGCCCAGTCAGAATCGATGTCGAGGATTCTGAGGTGCGAGGGGAGGAAACGCTCGTTGTTGAGTCCCCTGCAGCTCAAGAATCTAGTCCGGTTCGACCAGTTTTGGCTGTTGAAGTGGAGCCAGCCGCCGAGTCTCCTATGGTTGAGGAATCTAGTCCGGTTCGGCCTGTTCCGGCTGTCGAGGAGGAAGCGCTTGCCGTCGAGTCTCCTGCGGCTGAGATATCCAGCCCTGTTCGACCTGTCACGGCTACTGAGGAACCAGCCGTCGAGTCTCCCATGGCTGAGGAATCTAGCCCCCTTCGACCTGTCCCGGTTGTTGAGGAAGAATCCAGCCCGGTTCGGCCTGTCTCCGCTGTTGCATTAGCTGATGAGTCCCCCGTGGCTGAGGAATCTAGCCCTGTGCGGCCTGTGTCGGCTGTTGAGGAGAAGTCTAGCCCAGTTCGACCTGTCTCGGCTGTCAAGTCACTGGAGTCGGAGACTGAGGTCGTCGACGTTCAAGTTGCGCTGGAAGAGAAATCAACCGTCGAGTCTGAAGATTTGGTCACAGACCAAGCTGAGAATCAGCCGGATCCGGATCAATCAGAAGCTCATGCCACAGCAAGGCTCCAGGCAAGAGTAGAGGATGAAGATGCTGCCGAGTCCGAAGTCCCAGCAGAGGATGAAAATACTGCCGAGCCTGAAGCTCTCCCTGCAGGCGATGTCAGTCGACAGATACCAGAGATGGAAGCCAGCAAAGTTGAAGCGCCCGAGCCGACGGAGGAAGTGCAACAAGTTGACTTCAACAACAAAACCGCGGTCAAGGAGCAATCCCCAGAACACACAAAGGTCACTGCGGTTGAAGTCTCTGAAGGAGTGGAAGAAATACACCCCGTCGAAGCAACAGTACACACCCCAGCCAAAGAGGCCACACCGGACCGTGTCGAGATCACAAAGACAGAGGTCACCGAGATGGAAGTGGAAGAGACACAGCCTCAGCCTGACGATGAAGACATGGAAGTCGAGCAATTCACTGTCGAGACTACAGTCCAGGACGTCAAAATAGCATCACCAGAACCTACAGTCGAGGTGCACATGGACTCCGACGACGAGGGCTCTATTGAGCCAGCGGACGTTGACATGGGCGACCCAGATGACATGTCAGTCGATGAAGTCAGTAGCAATGCGTCAGACTCCGACATGGAACTTGATGATGTGACTCAGGACCAACTCATCCAGAGCCAGCTGTACGAGGAGTCGATGATGTATGAAGAAGACCAGACGGTTACGACTTCCATCACCACGACGCAGATGGTTGAGGAGCGGCCAGTCTCTCAGGGAGGTGATGCTGCCGACGACACTCATGCCGAGACTGAGGTTATCGAGACGTCACGGGTGACCGTTGAGACGACCTTCACGGAGCCCCTGGAGAGTGCAGAACCTGCACAACATGCACAGGTCGAGGATGCGATGGACGTTGACGATGACGGCAAGTCCACGATAGCTTCTCCCACGCCCACTCCTCAATCATTCGAGGAGGTCAGAATAGTCGAGGCAGAGATCTCGCAGGTTGAAGAACAGACAACACCGCGTGCCACACAAACCGCAGAATCTTTCTCGCAGTCGTTTGTTGAGACGCAGGTCACTGAGGTGACGATACCTGACGACGTGGGTGACGCCGAAGCACAGGCGGAGCAATTAGCGGAGCATCTCGACAACAAACGCCCCGCCGAGTCACCCGCAGCTGCCCCAGTCCAACCCCACGAACCGCTGCTAGACGATGAGGAAGAGGTGGAGATGGAGAAGGAGACAACCACTCAACACGAAGCTGATACTGATGCGACCTCACCTATCAACGAAGAGTCATCACAAATCCGAGAGTCCTCGGCGCAACCGTCCGAAGCGCAATCGTCTCTTATCGCCGAGGACCCGTCGGAGGAAGTCGTTTCCGCCGCGCAGCCAACTCCGAAGCGAGGTCGCGGCCAGCACCGCAGAACCAACAGCAAGGATCAGGATCCCAGCGTCAAGCTGGCCCGTGCGTCAGTTGCATCTCGACGGTCGACGCGCCTATCAGATCGCACGACGCCTGATATCAACAGTGCTGCTGCCCGAGTGACGACGACGGCGGCGAGCCGAGGCAGGTCGGCGAGCCTGGCGCTCAAGAGCGATTCACCTGATGCGGACGCGGAGGAGGATACGGGCGTGCAGCTCGCTAGGGCCGCGATCAAGTCACCATCGCGAGCGCCCAAGGCCGCCAAGGAGGAGGTGGCCAAGGGTAAGGAAGAAAGGCAACTGAGGGAGTCAAAGGCCAAGGAAAAGGAACTCCCGAAAGAGGCCGGTGCAGCAGCATCATCATCAACATCAACAGCACCGCCACAAGCACAACCAGAACAATCCTCGGCAGCCCTCAAAGCCCAGCTCACCAAAGCCCTCCGCGCCGACGTGCCGGACTGCATCTCCCTCAAAGTCCTCCGAAGCCATCCGGGCCGAACAGTCGACGTCCTCGCCGTCGCCACCACGAACCCCCCCGAAGCGAAGCGCGCCAAAGGCGGGCCCCGCGGCATCATGCTGGCGTTCAACGTCACAGACCACTCTATCGCGCCGGCGCAGACGGTCGCCGTGCAGATTTTCAGACCGCATAAAGCTGCGCTGCCCGTCGTGCACCAGGGCGACGCGGTGCTGTTGAGGAATTTCAGTGTCATGGTGCTTACGAGGAGCGGGTTCGGGTTGAGGGCGAATGATGGGTCTAGTTGGGCCGTTTTTGAGCAGCAGCGCGGGCCACAGGGACAACAACATGGGGACGGCAGCAGCGGCGGCGGCGATGGTGGTATGGAGGATTTGCCGCAGATTCGGGGTCCGCCTGTGGAGCTTTCTGAGGGGGAGACGGGGTATGCGGCTCTGCTTAGGCGGTGGTATGCCGGGCTGGACGCCAAGTCGCTTGCGAGGTTGGACAAGGCTAATGAGGCGGCGCCGGCTGTTGGGAATGTTGGTAAGGAGGGGAAGTGATATACAGGCGCTGTAGTGTAGGGGGTCGGTCCTGCGTGATGTGTGGAAAGGCATTTGACTAGATTGCGTATGGGATTGCATGGGATAGGTGTCGGTATCATGGCAGAGATTATCACGATAATCAGCAAATGCATTGTACAGTTGACTACATGTCGGTGGCCCACTCAGTGTTGGAGGTGCGCGAAGGGGCCGAAGTCGCGAGCAAGACGGTATTTGTTTCATGTAGCCGTCGTTCATCATGGCAGCCAAGGAGTCAAGATGCGGAACTACAAATACCTACTGAACGTGCAGAAAAAATGGATCACTAATACACAAGTCCGAGTGGGAGCACTGGGAGTCGAGACTAGTGTATCGGACGACGGAAAGCCAAGCTCAGCAGATCGTGGAGTTGGAGTTGGAGTCTGGAGAGTCCCGCGTTTCCCCATGGGAAAAAAAAAAAGGGGGGCAAGGCAACGCAGAGAGCGGCAAGCGGCAGCGGAAGCGGAAGCGCAGTCAGAAGAGTAAAACAGAAAAATAGGTCACCAATCTACCGTGTCCTTGGGGGAGGTTTCCGTACGGAAACCGTCCGCGCGGACTAACCCCGTTTTGTTGCTTCCCCTTGCACGCGTTCGTGTCGTCGTGTCCCACTCTCTGTTGACTGTCCGCTGTAGTCTTGATCCGCCCGCATTCAAAAGTGCGTCCCCAACCATTCGTGATGCAGGCATTGTGGCATTGTAAGCAGCAAGCGGAGTCCTCTGTATTGACCAGTTGCCTTGTCCATCAGTCTTGTTTCGAACGGAAGCATACCCGTTATCTATTTGACTTGTCATCCAGCCCCATCGTGCCCCTCTTTCCTTGCCGTGCTTCTTTCCCCTGATTTGCCTTGATTTGCAAAAAAGAGGAGCCGTGATCCTTGCCGGTGAGTAGTGGAGCAGACGTCAGGACGGAAAGAGAAAGTCGCTGGAGATTTTGACAAGCGATGGTGGGTGAGCTTTGCTGCTTGGTGGAGGAGGGGCGTGCCGCGTGAGAGGGCTGCAAGCAAGGGCGAATTCGGACATCAGGATCGGAGCAGGTCGGCGACCCCACCCTTCGCCGGCCGGGTGGAGATTTCGCACAAGGTGGGGTCAATCTACCGGCGTCGTCGTTGATTGGCCGGCTATGCTTTCCCACGGTTTCCCTCCACTTGTGTGGGGGGAGCTGTCTTGCTGGCTCCTCGTGTCCTAGCTCCTGTATTCGTACTTCGTACGCTCCGGGACTTGAGCGGAGGCTAGATTTTGTGCCGAATGTCTTGTCGCAATGGCAGTGCCTCGAATGCTCCGTGGGAAGGCTGCCGATCCGGCTGCGTGCCGTGGCGATGGTAGGCACGGTATCTGGCGGAACTCTGACGGTGGCCGTTATTTGCCGTTGCATTACCGTGAAGTCATGGATGACCAACTGGCAATGCCGTCTGGTTACAAGTGCGGTGAGTGAGGCTCAGAAGCCGCCCCTAATTTTGGGTCGACATCCAGGATGGTCTGGCCGGCTGGTACGGAGGCAGTCTGAACCATTGGATACGGCATTCGTCATACCAAGAGGCGCGCACGCACGGCAAGTGGCATCGGAGCAAAGGGAGTGCGTGTTTCGTCAGGTGGATTTACTGGGGCTCCTGGGTCTAGCTGACAATGGATATTGGGACCTGCGACGGTGAAGAAGAGTGCCAGACACAATAACAACTAAACCAGACGACGAGACGGCGCGATGCAGATCTTCTGCGAAACGCCCATTGGATCCGTTGGCCTTTTTGGCTTGATCTTGATGCGTCACATCTGTTGGACATTTTTACTTGCCGTCAAGGTTTGGACGGAGTCAGGACAGGCTTTATTTGAGATGGATGGCCGGGATGTAGGGACGGGAATTGCACGGTTGTACAGTACGTACTAACATCGGCATGCGTGGACGCGGTGCCGTCGAGTCGGCGCCAGGGACCTTCGGCCGGGAGAAGGTTTTGGACGGACAGGACGCAGGGGTGGAGCGCTGACCGAAACATTGCGCCCACCGGGGTCAGGACTGCACTTGGGTGAATATTCCACCAGTGTTTCCCATTCATCCAAACCGTGTTGCTATTTGGGCCAGTTGGTGGTGCTGCTGCTCGCAGTTCGGGACGTGGAAACGGGATCGTGATCGCGTCCTGTATCTTGTGTGTCAAGAGTGGATGGACGAAGAGAGCAGCAACATTGCAACAGGGGTAATCCACTCCGCAGTCCCGACTGTTGCCGAATCCAGCTGGGCGAATGGAGATATTTCCAGGAGTGGAATGGGACGTGATTGGGCGCCCGCCGGTGCAAGGGCATCGATTTTGATTACGGGAGCGATTGAATCGGGAATTGTGCATCTTGTTCTTTCGGACTAAAGGGCGTGTGTCGTGTGTCGATCCAACGAGACGACGGCAGGACGAAACCCTGATGGATTGGGGCAAGCGAGAGCGAGGGTGTGGGCATTCGAGAAGCCGACTTGGTTGAAGAAGCCGACTTGAGCACGGCCGGCTTCTGGGCTTCTGCGGCCACCTTTTGGTTAATTAATGTGACGGCACTGACCAGTGATTCATGATGCTGCGGTTGTGCAGAATTATGACAGAACCATGAGGCTGGAGTGGTGTCCTCAGACGCCAGAAAGACGCCAGACACGCCGCCCATCGCTTGAGGCTGGAGGCGCTTGACTGGCTGGGGACACTTTCTTCCAGAATTTCGCATCGGACACGGTCCGTTGGTGGTGACTGGCGAGTGACGAGTGGTGACTAAGGGCAGGCGCAATTGACCCAATGGCACGGGTGCAGTTTGAGATGAGGTGTGAAAAATTGCAGAGCGGCTCGTGATGCTTTAAAGTTAGAGGGGCCACTGGGGGAATGAAGGTTACGATAGGCTAAGGATTATGTAGGCGTCTCTGTGGTTGGATGCTGCGGTGAGCGGAGGTGGACTGCTTGTGTCTGGGCGTGATCCTGGGAGCCCACACCGGAGCTGACTCGATTGGACCTGACTCGCGAGGCTGGCGCTGGTTAGTGATGTTAGACTCTGGTAAATAGTGACCCGGGAGGTGTTGGTACCTACTGTTAACTTGTAAGGGAGAAGCCTCAAGGAGTACTTCTTCTAGCGTTCGGGGGCAGCCAACGGCACGGCTACAGGTTGGTGATTGGCCGTTCTCCACAAGGTGTGAGTGACGGAGATGGAGAGAATGGGGGGTCATGGGCCTGGGTTGCTGCGTTCAAGTGGAGGCCGTGGAGGAAAAGGTCATGATCCCTGGACGGCGATTCGTCCTCCTAAACCCTTGGATTCCAGGAACTCTGGAGACTGGAGTACCAAGGTTCCCAAGAACCCAAGCCTCATCAAGCCAAGGCTTTGCCTTTTTCCTGCTGTCGTCCGGGCCTCGTCTTGACACATACGGAATTGGGAGAAAATGGATCTGGCGGAGAAGTTCTGTCGGATACGGGGCCGCGGGAGGTGGACTACACTACTCCGTAGAAGCTAGCGAGTAGCGACAACAACAAGGTCGGTATTTTGCGGTGAAGAAGATCGGTCTGGTGGTCTGTTTGTTGTTTTTTGGGGCCGGGTCTTCTTTCTGGAGAAGGTCAAGTTTCTAGGCTGTGGCATGGAGGGCATCCATGGACCATGGCGGCATGGCGGCATGGCGGCATGGCAAGGAGACTAGCGTCGATGCGGCAAGGTCGACGTGTTGCAGCTGCTGAGACACTTGACACTATCCGTGGATAGGAATGGCAGGCATGGGTTTTATGGGACCCTCATTGATAACACGAAATGGTAGGAGGTAACTGGAGACTCTGGACTCTGGAGGCAAGTGGTAACGACGGGAGACAAAGAGGCCGCCTTCCCATCGTGTCTGGGCCCAGGAAGGAAGGAAGCAACAAATGTCATTTGTTTACCGCAAGTGCGGGTGGATTCGAGAGTAACGGGAAAGGACGACGACGTACCTAATGTGTACTCCGTAGCATCTAGGGCAGGATCGGCCGGGGTGCGGCGCCAGACTGCCAGTTGCATACGGGCGGGAAAATCAGGTATTGCGCTCATGTACGAGACCGCAAACTGCAAGCCGACACCAATCTTTAATGCAGACCGGGCGGTTGTTGTCACGATGGGGACTTGATAGTTGACGGGCGCAGTAGACTTTTGAGTTCTTAGGGATGACTTGCCTCGACGATCTGTGACAACCTACCCGGTGAGCACTGAGAGAGGCAAAGCACCCCACTGTGGGAAGCCGCGGCGCCCCTCATGTTCAACCCCCCTCCCGAGCGAGCCATCCATCCAGAGATTCGCGCCCCTCCCCAGAGATTCGCAACTGCCAAACGGCCAACCCCAAAGATGCAAGCTTGGCTGGAAAGGGGGCGGGGATGGTGGGAGTTGCGATTACGACATCTGCAGTTGGGCTTCACATGCGAAGATGGCCGAAGCAAAGCCAGCGGGCGCGGCGGCTGTTTTTGGTTGTCGATTGTCTGCTGATGCGCGGGACGTGGACGGGTGTCGAAAGATGAGGTCAGGTTGCGTTTGTGAAAATGATAGAGTTGGAGGTTGTGATGTTCGGCGTTAGTGGTTGGCTCAACCGGCCGGATGGATGGAAGGTGGCACGGAGGATATATGGGATGGAACACCGCCAACACCAATACCAACATCACCATCAGGAGAAGCACACGCGAGCTTCGCCGTGGCGGACGGGGAGGCGCTGGATGAAGAATCCCCATGGCGTCCGTCAGTCTGTACTCTGTAGGCAGGTGGTAGGTAGCGTGAGGTAAGCAGTCACCAATGGAAGACTGCAAGATGCAGACCTGCTCATGTAAGAGCGCCCTGACATTGCGCAGCGATTGCGCAGTGCGGCTTGGCTCCACGCTTCTCTCTCTTGGCCAATCCCGGTCAAGGTCCAACGGCAGGCCTGGAAAACACAACGACGTCCCGTGGTCTCTGTGTCACTGCGCTTGATGCAGGTCACGGGTCATCGGACAAGACATATTTGACAGCTCTCGGGGACTCGGGGTCAAGGCGTGGAATGGAAGAGAATGGCAAATACAATGTCGGTGGAAAACATCATCGTGAAGACACGAAGACTTGAGGATTCGAAGGTGAGGGAAGGTGAGGTAAGGTAGGTACTTCATAGGGAGTACGTACTATCTCCCCGATACGTACCTTACTCTGTAGGTAGGTAGGTACTGCCCTGGGTATTCCGTAAAGTCAGACGCTCCGTCTCATCCAGCATCCTTGTCTCCTGCCTGACTAACTCTTTCCCACTTGTTTCTCCATATTTTGCTGCTTTGCACTTGTTCCTCGTTAGCTTCGTTTCCCCATAATTCGGGGTACGTACAAGATCCACGTCGTGCTGGCCGCCGGTGGTCCTGCTTTAATTATTACCCTCTTGCCTTTTTTCTGACCTTGCCAGGTGTAGAATGGTGCAGCTGGGCAGCTGGGGAGGAGCAGGGTTGTTCCGCCTCCCTCGTTTCTTCGCCCGGCCTAGTCTCGTCAATGGATCGGAGAGTGAAAGGAGCCAAAAAGAGGAGGAGGAGGGGGGGGGGATGGACAATGGGGCCGCCGACCAGGGCCGCAGGGGGGGGGGGGGTAGACACAGTAAAGCTACGGAGACCTCGTGGGAATTCCAGACGAAAGAAAGAGAGTCCGTTCCCAGTTTCTCACTTTCCCAAGGTGTGTCAAGCTCAGCCTGCCACTTCGTAGCAAAAAGATTGATCCCAATGGAATAATATAATACCTCGCCCATCCCCTTCGCACCCTTGGACCCCACATTCCCGCTTCTCCTTTGCTGCCCTTTTTCCACCTTTTTGCCCGTAGCTCCGGCTTTTCTAAACATTTCGAGCTTGAAGTTGCCTCCTCCTTTGCATCTCCAATTTCAGACCATCCCCAAGACAGCATCGACCGTCAAATCACGAGACACACGCCCCAGACACACCACACTCCAATCTCTAACCAAGACTCGTCCGCACTCCATTCCGCCCGGGTCGAATAGCAGCAGCAGCAGCATTTAGTATCAGCCTTGGAAACATTCAATGCTCATCTCAACGCAACCTCGTTCCGCCTTGTTCTGTTGTTTACGTTTGTGTCCCACGCCTCGACGAGGATCTACCGCCCCAGCTTTGACAACCTGTACGCAAAGCTCACCTTTGACGCCTGGTGCCCGTATATGCGAGCCCCTTACATCTGCAAGTCGCTTCCATACCTATTAAGTCCTTTGCCGGAGCAACGTTACGATTCTTCATCTTTAAACTCGGCCCATTTCCCGAGACTGACGACGACACACTCTCGTCTACTATACCCCTAAGAAAACCGGCCTGAACAACGAGCAGTCTCTAAATAGGAGAGACTGCTTGCGTGCCGCGACAATGGCGACCGAAACTACCACCACTACCGCGCCCGCCCTCGAGGCAACGCCCGCCTCCGAGCCGGCCACCGATCTATCGGCGCTGACGATGGCGACCACGGAAGAGCCTGCCGAGGCTGCCGAGGACTCGAAAAACGACGACGCCAACGACACCTCCTCAGACCAGGAGCAGAGCAAGAAGCGCTCTTCATCGGATGCGGACCTGAAGGACGGAGCTCCCCCGACCAAGATCACGAAACGCAGAGCCGCCCGCGCCTGTGTGAGCTGTCGCGCGCGCAAAGTTCGCTGCGACGTGGTTGAAGGCGCGCCCTGCGGCAACTGCAGATGGGACAATGTCGAGTGCGTTGTCCAGGAGAGCCGCCGACGAAAGTGAGTTTGATCCGGCCGTCTCCGTTCCTCCGTGTGTCCGTGGCGGAACCTTCGGCGAGCCGTATCTTGCAGGCCGCAAACCGCATCTCGCGCTCACCACGGTGCCTCGGCACCATGCCTCGGCACGATGCAGGCGGACAATTGGGGATGCACGACATGACGCCCATGGGGAAATCCCCAAACCCGTAAAGTTGACCCCCGCTGACTTCTTGGCGCGTTTGTAGGAAGAACTTGTTGACTGCCAGTACGGCGGGGCACCATGTTGTGGGAGCCGAGGCACAGCTGCGCTCCAAAGGCGCGAACCCAATCAACATTCACAGCAGCGCGGAACTGCGCCGACCCAGCAATGCCTCGGTGGCCTCGGTCAACGGTTCCATCGCCGCGAACCCCGTCCCCGCATCCTCCGGTCTGCCCCTGAATGCGACGTCTGGCCTTGGTGCCGGCGCTGGAGTAGGATCTGCTGCTGCTGCTACTGCTGCTGCAGTTGGAACCGGAATTGGAATTGGCCCAGGTGTTCTTGGGGGCCTGTCGGTTCCCGGCGGCTCTTCAGACGGAATCGAGGGTCACGTTCCGCACATGATCTGTAAGTTTTTTTTTTTTTTTTTTCGTCCTTCAACTTGTTTTTTTTGGAACACCTTTTTAGCGTGGGAATCTTTGTCAATTCCGCACCGCACATTCAAATTGCGCCCCCTGTTTGTTTGTCTTCTTCCCGTCGTATTTTTTTTTTGTGTTCCTGGTTTTGCCCATCGCTGCCCAGTCCGGGGGGCTCAGACTGGGGGAGGGGACGGAACGGGGTAAAGTGTGGAGGGGCGTCTTGGGACTTTTCCTACCCCGTGACCTGGGGCCTTTCTCCGCCTTTCCTCGTCCAGTCAAGTCATGGCGGTTTCTCCTGATTTCTTCAGCGTACCCCTCCCCCTCCGTTCCGCAATCCGTCCGCGGCCCCAGCTCCGTCCCTCCCACGTCCCCTTAGCCTCTCACACGTAATCCACATTCACATGCCAGCCCTTTCCAGTCATTATCATCACATCCAACCCACCCAGACCAAAGCGGTGAGTGTTTTGGGACGACTCGCTGACCACGGGACCTTGTGAATCTTAGATCAACGATCGGGTTACCGTCATGACAGCGCAGCGCTGCTCACCAAGCTGCAGTCTGCTGCGGCCGCAGCGTCAGCAGATGGCAACTCTCGTCGCCTGTTGTCCAACCTGCTCGCCCAGGCCTCTCTCTTTGGCGGCGTGGGCGGTGCAGCCGGCGCTGGCGACGGCCGAACGAGTCAATTCCTCGCCTCCCTCGAGGAGCCCGACCTCCACGGCCAGCTCCCGGCCTTTGTGAAACCACTACCCGCCAAGATCGCCCAGGAGGATGTCACCTACCTGCACGCAAAGGGTGCCCTGACTCTGCCTGCGCTGCCGTTGCAGAACGCTCTGCTCCAGGCCTACGTCGAATACGTTCATCCGTACATGCCGCTGCTCGAGCTGTACGACTTTCTGGCCATCATCAACGCCCAGGATGGGCTGTGCGGTCAGATCAGCCTGTTCCTCTACCAGGCAGTCATGTTTGCCGCCACGGCCTTTGTCGACATGAAGGTCCTTCGTGAGGCGGGATACCCGACGCGGAAAGCCGCCAGGAAGGCCTTCTTCCAGAAGACGAGGGTAAGTGGCCCGTCCCTGAACTTTCTTTGACACCGCACTAGTGGCACAGGGGTCACCCCCACGCCCATCATCTTCACATGCTAAACGTTTGTGTGTAGCTGCTCTACGACTTTGACTACGAGTCGGATCGCCTCGTCCTCGTGCAGGCTCTCCTCTTGATGACGTACTGGTACGAGACCCCCGACGACCAAAAGGACACATGGCACTGGATGGGCGTTGCCATTTCGCTGGCCCACACCATTGGCCTGCACCGCGATCCGGCCGCGACGAGCATGCCGGTTCGCAAACAGAAGCTGTGGAAGCGCATCTGGTGGTCCTGTTTCATGCGCGACCGCCTCATCGCCCTGGGTATGCGCAGGCCCACCCGCATCAAGGATGAGGACTTTGACGTGCCGATGCTGCAGGAGAACGATTTTGAGCTGGAGATCCTGCCCGAGGAGAACAAGGTCATTCCGGCCGAATGCATGCTGCTCCGCGACGTCTCGATGCAGCGGGAGTTGGCCGCGTTGTGCATCTCCAAAGCTCAGCTGTGCATCTGCATCAGCCACATGCTCAAGGCGCAGTATTCTGTCCTCATTCGGGACAAGATGCGCCCGGAGAACACCGTCAACAGCACCATGATGCTGTTCCCGAATAAAAAGCTCGACAACGTCGAGAGCGTGACTTCGGTGGACCTGGAGCTCATGGCTTGGGCCGACACTTTGCCCGCCATCTGCCAGTACAGGCCCCTGACACCCCTCGACGTAAAGAACGGACGGTCGACCGTCGCGGTCCAGCGCACCTTGCTGCACATGGTGTACTACACGACGATCTCGGCCCTGCATCGCCCGCAGTTCCTGCCGTCGTCCCCAGTCCACGCACCGACGACCTCCCGGCAGGTGCAGGAGATGTCCCGGCTCCGGGTCCGCGACGCCGCCATGCACGTCACCCGGATGGCGGCAGAGCTCCACCAGCTTCGCCTCGAGAGATACCTACCCACCACCGGCGTCACCGTCATCCTGCCGGCCATGATCATCCATCTTCTGGAAATGAAGAATCCCGTCTCGCAGTCCAGAGATCGCGCCACTCGCGGCTTCCGCCAGTGCATGCGCGTCATGGAAAAGCTGCGCGAGATCTACGCCGCCGCCGACTACGCCACCGGGTTCCTCGATGCGGCCCTGCGCAAGGCCGCCATTGACATTAACCTCCAGCAGACCACCGCGCCCATGACGCAGCAGAACCTCAAGCTCGCCGAACCCACCTTTGGCGCGCAGACGCCCCCGCCCGATAACCTGCCGTACATGACGACCGGCGAGGCCCTCTTCGCCAACAAGCCGAACCCCCAGCGCGAGTTCCTACCGCAAACCATCAACGCCGCAGCGCTCGACTTGTCGGCTCAGAGCCCGCCGCCGACGGAGAAGGATCACGAGTCTTCTCTTGAGGCCATGACGCCTAGCGCGAACGGCAGCTTCGGCAGCACCGAGGAGCCCGGCCCGCTCGACCTCGAATTCTTGCAGACGCAAGAGGAGATTGACTGGAACGCCATGACGGGGACAGAGTTTGATGTTGATCAGTGGCTCCAGTTCCCGCCAGAGGGCGTTAACAACACAGATGATGGGTTCATGGCGAATGTCTTTGGGGAAGACGGAATGAATGACGCTATGAACTGGGCGGCAGCCGGTGTGGACACGACTACAAAGGACGACGGTGTAGCTGAAATTGCCACTCTCGCCTAATGCGCATGATCTCACGTTTTGCGCTCTTTACATTTTTACGTTTTCGGTTCAACACTCGCATATAGACTCCTTTGGGAGCATCTTTGCAGATTCACGATGGGATTTTCTGGTTGGAAGCATACTTGCACTACATGGAGTCGGGATAGAGCAAAAATGGGAGGCTCGATTCCCTGGATGGGTTTCGTGTGTGTTAATGAAACGGCGTTTTCGGCCGGATGGATTTCTCAGGCTGGGAGGGGCTCATTAGGGTAGGGGGGTTTGCTTGGATACCCTCATGCGGCGCCTGGTATTTATTCAACTATGTAGTCGTGTAATGATGGCTTTGAATGAGAACATGAGTTGAAAAAAGTGTGCGTGGCGTTTGCATGTGACTGGCATTGTTCACGGTTGTGGCACGTGGGGGTCGACTCGGTGTGGGAATGACCGAAGCATGGATGTTGCGGGGTGTCACTCGGACGGCTTGGGCTTTCGGGCCCAGATAGCACGGCTACCGCACGTCAGTCTCTATCACCCTCTTCAACGTCAATATCACAGTCAATCGACTCACATCGGCCAGTACGCGTGATTCCCACGATCAGCGAGATCTCTTCGCACCTCGGCAGCAAAGATATGCACCTCCTCCTCCGTCCACCCGTGCACCCGTGTCATGGGCGCCATGATCATGCCGGCCGTGTTGCAGGCGAGGTTCTCGCGAGTCCAGGACCCGAGCTCCTTGAGATGCGGATCGCGGGGCCAGCTATTCAGAGGCCATATGAAGCGGCGGTCTTGGATGTCTGCGAAGCCCGTGTCCGTGACGAGCGCCATGAGGTCGTCGAGAGGGATAAAGGGGCATCCAAAGACTTTGAGGGCCGAGGAGACGTAGGCGAGGGATCGAGAAAAGGCATCGCTTGTGGAAGTTGAGCTGTCTGCTCGGACTATTGTCTCCTCTACTTCTTGGAGCTCGATGTAGCCGCCGGGATTGAGATTGCTGCGCTGTGATCAGTAAAAGATCGATATTGATTCGGTGGGACCTGCGGGTTGACGGAATTGAAGACGGCGTACTCGTAGCACTTTCTGAGGAGTTCGGTCCAGTTGCGCACGCTTCCCGACATGCCGCGGATGTGGATGTAGTCGAAATGCCGAGAGTAGATCCACTCGTTGTCGAGGTCGTCTACTTCGAATTGAACGTTTGGCGGGACGCTGGAACAACAGTGTCAGTACACTTCGTCTTGGTGGGCCTCATGGAACGCACAACTCTGGCTGCGTGGCCGACAGATCAAAACCGAGGACATCCGCGTTAGGGTGCTCGTCGCCAAATTCAATACACCAGATACCGGTGCCAGTCCCGACGTCGAGCACACGGCCGCCCTTCCACTCCGGATCATTCGGAGGCGCAAATCCCAGCCTGTTGTCGAATGTGAGGAGGAATAGGTGGTGCTGGAGGTCTAGCCGATTGACTTCCAGCTCGTCATTGGGTGCAAAGTATTCTGAAAGGTGTTTAGGGCGGGACTTCAGAGGGCATGCCTTTGCAACTCACTGCCTTCCTTGTAACGATGGTATGTTCTGCCGTTTTCGACACGGTAGTCTATGATGGAGCTTCGGAGACTTGTCGTGGCAGAGAAATTGTCCTGTCCTAAGGTGAGCAGAAGGACGACCCGGTGTTTGGCTCAACTTACATTCCCGATGGTCGAATCCGCGTCGCCCTATCCGAGAGTCAGTCATGTTACGCAGTCTCGGATGTGATTTCCGGCATCGCCCAGAGCTCCCCAAGGCACGCACCGGCACGTCAGGCTCAGGGGCGAGGTCATCTTGGACATTCTCTTCAGACATGCTCGCTTTCTCATCGCGAGATGTAGAGGCGTGGTGTTTCTCACATCCCGGAGACGTTGGCCCCTCATCTGAAAGTCCGCGTCGCCTCGGATTCGGAAGGCATGTTAGTTGGGAGATACGACGAATACGACGCAGCGAGTCAAGGCACCCTAGCGGGGCAGGTCCGGAGTCCTAAACTTGCCGCAAGACGGTTGAGATGACAGCTAATCAGATGTGCTCCCCCTCTGGTAACTCTGTTTTGACTGACGAACCTGCCGCATGTCGTTGGTGGTGTTGTCGCCCAGAGCCAAACGCTTCGTCGAGCTCATATCCCTGCATCATCGTCGGCATGCTTATCTAATCTCGGTGAGCATCCCCGCATCTCCAACGGAGCCCCCCTTATCTCTCCCGATAATGCGGACCGGGGTCCTCGGCGGCGAGTCGGAGGACATTTTTGTTGGAACCTGCATCTACCATCACATCAGTCGTCCGAGCATGATCTCATGGCTCTCCCACCAGACCATGACCGCGACGTAGACCCACAAATCAAGCAACATGACCGGCAACGGGACCCGGAGCCGAACCGGATGTCTAGACTGTCGGCGGCGGAAGCGAAGGTGCGATGAAGGGAAGCCAAAGTGCGCGAGCTGTCGCAAGCACGGCGTCGCTTGTGTGTACGTCAAGTCGAGCCAGTCTTCGCCATCCAAGTTTCTCCTCTCCGTGGCATCTGGCCACTTCATCGCGCCGTTGGAATCGCCGGCGAGCGATTCCTTTGTGAACCTTCGAAGCGATGAGCTGGCTCTCGTTTGTCAGCAGTACGCGGAGGGTCCCAGAGGATCGTTGGTGGACTTGCCATCGTCTCAGGGGCAACCTCCACTCATGCCGGCTCTGAGCTGGCTGCCAAAGCCAGGCACGCTCGCCGGTGGACGAGAAAGCATGATGGTTCAGTACTGTAAGTAGTTGAGGTCTACACCAGACAGCCGCACTGACAAGATAGACTTTGAGGTCATTAGCAACAGCCGGGTGTATGTCCCCAGCGAGAGAAATCTCTTTAGGACGTGCGTCATGCCCATCCTCCTCAACAGCAGCGGCTCTCTCTTTTCTACCGTCCTGGCACTGAGCGCGGCGGAAATGGTCCGGAGGACCCCGCAAGATGGGGTGGACTATGCCGGTGCAGCCATTCGATACAAGATCAACGCCTTGACACAGCTGCAGTCGAAGCTCGACACTGCTATCGAGGCAGAGGAGAATCTCCTAACCTGCGTGCTCCAGGCCTCCTTGGAGATAGCTGAAGGGTCTCGTCCGTCGTGGTTGAGGCATCTACGGGGTGCTCTGGCCATCATGGATGCCCACAGTGACTGGATCACGCCCGAATGTGCCGCGCTCGTTCTTCAGTATTTTCGGTTTCGATACATTTTGATGAAGACGACCGGATGCAAAGCGCCGCATCCTGATGGACAGAACGACGACTGTGACGAGGCTATCGGACGTCTCGAGCGGCTCTTGCCAGGTCAAGGAACGATCCAGACAATTGACCCCCAAATCGGCTGTTCGATGGAGCTGGTTCAATTAATCAGCATGGTCTCGGCAGCGGCTCGGAAGGATGATGGATACTCGGAAGAGGGATCACGTCTTGAGAGACGCATTCGGGAGTTGGACTTCTCCGCTGAGAGCACGCACGACGACTACCTCGTCAAAAGCGCCGAGTGCTTCAGGTTCGCTGCTCTGATATACCTCCAGTTGACACTTTATGGCGCTACTGTGCGGACTCGGGCGATCCCGCATTTATTGCAGACGCTGCTGAATCGTCTTGGCGAGGTGATTGTCGAGGATCAGCCCAGGCGATCATTCCCCATGTGGCCGCTGTTCATCGCTGGGTGTGTCAGTTCTAGTGACGCACATCGCAAGGCTGTTCTTGACTTGTTCAATCTGCTGGACAGCAAGTGGCCCATCAGTAACATTTCGACGGTGAAGAGGGTCGTCTGGACAATCTGGCAGACGCGGGATTTCGACAGCGGCGGTGCGACGTCCGCAGATCAAGACTGGCAGGAGATTATTGACAAGTTTGGATGGAAGCTTTCTTTGTCGTAGGGGGGGGTGAAGAGTAAGATCTCGGTTGGACGTTGATGAGGTGAGGTTGAGACTGGGAGGTAGAGCACGTGGACAACAAGTGTGACTGTTTTGTGCAGCCGAGGAAGGGGAAATTTGAGGTAGACTCGTGCCTTCCCAAGCAGTTCAACGAGATCCAGGTGTTTCATTTTCCCCTTCTTCCTCGGACAGCTTCTTTCCCACACACCTTGCCTCTTCGCACGACTTTTTCGCTTCTTCTCACTCTATACCTGGCACCCATACCCCTCCATCAACATCAAGCATTTCGATATCAAGCGCCGAGGAGAGGACTCCGCGTCCCGAAACACAGGTCGGTTTGTGAACTGGGGTTGATCGGACACTACTGACTCTCATGGCAGGACCAAGTCAGATCAATTAGCGCATTCCAGCCAAACCATTTCACCCGGTCAACATAGACGCTTTAGAAGCCGAACTCGAATCTGATAACCGGCGAATCAATATCATGTCACGGCGCCGGAGGTTGCCGGCCAATCATAGACGAGTTCGGCTCAGCAGGCCAGAGGACGTGGATATGAGCGAACGAGCACAGGCTCGCGGGGCAGAATATGAAGAGAGGATGCGGAAGAAGGAGGAGGAAGCAGAGGCAACAGCATCATCATCACGCGTCCGAGTCGACAACGTCGATGATCCCACCCAAACCTCCAATAACGCCCCAGGCACCACTGCTGCACACGATGGCCATCAAGCCACCGGCACTCACATTATTAAGCGCAAGCACGACGAGCCTTCCGAGCAGTCGCGAAAGAGGAGAGAGGCGCCAGCTGCCGCCAGCGTGGAGCCGAGCGGAGGAGGGCCGGCCGAATCTCTAAAGGCTAGATTCACGACAGCTACAGATCAGTTCTGGATAGCAGAAGAGGAGAGGAACCAAGCAAATGCAGACAAGCTAGAGGCGTCTGAGCGGAAGTGCGAAGAGCTTCGTCAGAAAATCGCGGAGGTGACCCAGGACAGGGCGACGCAAGCCCGGAGGATCGCAGAGATGGCACAGGAAAACGCAAGACTGGCGCAGGAAGTCGCGACTCTCAAAGCCAACCCATGCATCTGAACGCAGCGAGGACGCGTCGGGATAAGTATTCTCGACACATGTGGGCTGTATAGTTGGACGATTTCGATTTCGGCGTACATACAATATGCTATCAAGATCAGAAACACGTACAGTGTATCCACAGCGGGCTCACCAAGCATCGTATCGCAATCTTCACACAGAAGATTGAATAGAGATGTGCATGGCGGCTGAGCTGTACATAGCTTGACTATGTGATATCTGACGAGTTACAGACAGTGGTCTCTCGACGAATGGGGCATTGGAAAGGGAAGTGGTCTTCAAACAGTAGTCCACGGAGCCCGGTACGTCTCATGGCAGTATTTCCCAACCTAATCAATGAGATGGATGTCAACGACGTTTTCTGGGAATGCGACTTATCATAGTGCTACCATGCTTGCGATCTCTCACGTGCTACAGTAGACTATCTGGGGGCTGGAACCCGTGGAATGATATCGTAACACTGACGATGATGGAATGTCACAATAGCCTCGCTCGACATACCGCCAAGCTAATTACTCTCGTCGACTTTCCAAGCATCCTCGCCCCCTCCGTGTCTAGATCTACGGAAAGGCTGAGTCTATCAAAAGACAACTAAGGTCTAGGTCCTTGCGGTCCATCCAAAACTTTAGGGCAAATGGAGTAACAACCAAGTTTCGATTCGATTTGGCTAGTTGTGCGATGGCTGCGTTTACATGCGCGAGGAGGCTTTGGGTTATTTTCTCCAAATCCTGATCCTCATTGCGCCTAGCGATGTTGACCAAGTAGTCGTTATGAGCGGTGAGCGTTAATTCTGGGAGAGGTCATTCCATCTATATGCCAAGTGATATTCGTCCCAGATTGAGGAAGCGTGCATGGAGCTTACCGAAGGACTTAATCAGCCTCAGCCTTACTTTTGCTTCTATCCCATTTCTTTGTTTAGGGAGACTGAGGTCGCTCCATGTGATGAGTGAGTCGAGCCCCTCTCCGACGACTGTGGAAGAGGTGCGGATACCAAAGAGCTTTGCGTACAATCCTTCCCACATCTTGCTAGATCACACAAAAGACGAGAGGCCAGCTTGGGGACAGCGCTGTCGGTATCGAATCGCTCAACCTCATAATAATTCACATCACCTTTGATGAGTCGCACATGTCTCCAAGTCATCGGGCTTGGCCTATTTCGTAAACCTCATTTATGCTAATCAAGCTTGGCCATCTGGAGCCCCGTTCACTGTCATCCTTGGACTGGGATATGGAAGCAAGGTAACTAGAGCGCATGGTAACATGGCACCGAGCGGTAGGTACCTGTCTTGGAAGTCCTTGGTCACCCAGATCATGCCTCGTTAGTTGGCTAGGAACAGCCTGGGGAGGTTTTTAGAATACTGATGCTCAACATTGGTCCGCGGAAAAGACGCTAGTAGTGATGGTGGGAACCCTGGAGAAAGTCAAATCTTGGAGATACCTTGAGCGATATTGTCTGACCAGGAGCTTCAGGGCATGCGTCACAAGGTTATTTGACTTTACAGTGAGGGACTAGCTAACATCGAAATGTGCGGGCTCTTCTCCGAGTCTCGACGGAAGTTTTATGGAACTGGACATTGACAGCACAGCACTTCTACAAATGCAGACACTCGTCAGTCACTTTTCCCCTCTTTACGGCCAGGGTGTCTACGGTATGTTGATACTATGCGTCGAATGTGAGGTCAAGATGGTCAAAATGTCTAGTTCAAGGTGATTCCGTGTACATGATTACCAAGCTGAGAAGTTGTAGCATCTCCGTTCCCGGTGGTGGCTTCTCACGACGCCACTCGACTCCAGCTAACACAGATCTTCATCGAGTGATGGATATCTCCACACACATGCTGGGCCATGATAGTTCCGCCCCGTCTAGTCAATTGGGTCATCTCTGGTGTGGGTTTGGCAGTCTGAATCTAAACAGCCAAGGAAGGGCACCCTGTTGGGTCACGTGAAAGGCAGTGAGGCCTTGAGTGATTGAGGCCATCACGATACGTAAGGTAGGCTAACAAAATCAAAGCCTGGGACCCTTATCTTCCTACAAACTTCTCTCTCACACAACCCTTATCAAATAAGCTCACCTCTCCACCTCCATCGGCCCAATCACTCCACATTCAACAACTAAATTCTCAAGCACCTCAAGGTGACGGAAGGTAACGACAAAACGCACAACGCAGTCGGTGTCACTACGTCGGGCTCATTCCGCGCCCGGGATCGCCCGTGACCTTCGTGCAAACCGAGCCACACCGTCTCTACGCCAATGGACGCTACGAATACATTCAGCGCTTCGTGAGCCTGAATGCCTCCCACAGTCCCGGAGCCCGCCTCGATGCCGCTGTGGAATACGAGGACCATCAGACGACCGCAGACAAACTCGAAGCGATGGCTCAATTGTGCGATGAGCTCCACAGAGAGAACCAGGCGCAGGCCGAAGAGATCGCAAAGCTAGCTCGGGACAAGGCCGAGTTGACCAAGGAGATTGCGAAGAAGTCTCAGAAGCTCGCAGCGCTGGCCCAAGAGTTCGCACAGCTGATCTAGAAGTTAGTGGACAAGGAGACCCTCTCACGCAGCATTCGTCTGGTCAATCAGGTCATTATTCAGGGGTTCCACTCTAAGTCCAGGCAGCCGGGGCCGCCTGATCAAATTGGGATAACTTGTTGAGGTCGGAGTGTCAAGGAACGCAGTCGTGGGATGAGATGGGTCAAGGAGAGAGGGCACGGGCAAGTGGCAATCAACTCAGATCAAACAATAGAGCAGGCATGCCTTCGATTACTCAATAAATTAGAACCGACGTGCTTACAAAATCCTCCACTTTGATGTCGCTTTGAGCATCCTCGACTTTGATATCGCTCTTGACGTCGTTCGCCGGGCGTTGTGGGTCGTCGTCAAAGTCGTCAGAGTCGCTTTCTGAAGAACTGTCGGAGTCTTCCGAGGTTTCCTTCATGCCTGAGACGGGTATCATATCCGAGGTGGCTCGAAAAGTTGCTGCCAACGTCGCCGTAGCATTACTCCGAATATCGCTGCCGATGCCATGATCAACTACAGGCGGAGGGCTTACGCAGCCGATTGTGTATGACTTGTACATGGGAGCGTTACGAAACACTGGCATTCCTGTTGTAGATACCAGGTTCACAGCCCTCACGAGGAGCTTGGCCTCGTCGTTGCTCGTCATTTACACCACGGGCTGAACAGTGTTGGAGATGATGCGTTTGGCTGATGTATGGCCCCGGAGCCCCTTAATCCTTAACATAAACTCGGAGAACAGTGGGATTGCGTGACCGCTATCCTTGAGTCATTTACGGACCGCCTTGCACATCTTTGCCGGGTCTCTGTCTATGCCCTTGTACTCTTTGACGACCTGCCCGAGTACCACAAAGAATGGATTTTTGTTGGGGAGCGAGATCTGCCAAGTCCTGCGGTCGTTTCTCAGCATCATGCTTGAGTACTGCAACGCCAGGACTAGCAGCTTGTAATTCTTGTCAAAGAGTGGATGGGTTGTCAATTCGGCCATTTTTTTTTTGCAAAAGACGGCAGTCCATCGGTGTCTCTTGCCAGCGTTACCGCCTCAGTTCTGATCCCATTCGAGGTGGTGGATAGATGAATTGAATTCCATCGGTGACCTGCGAAGAAATCTGAATGCAACCCTTACTAATGCCGGGAAAGCTGGAGGGTCTTGGTCAAGCAGAAGTTGCTGACTACTCTCTCCATTTCCCAATCCTGTATAAGCTTCACTTCATCTTCGGTCGCCCAGCCCTCGTCATATTCGGGCTCTTCTGGAAGAACTTGATCAATCTCTTTTATTGTGACGGGAGAAACGTTCCTGTCGAGCTCCACAAAGACTTCTTTGGGTATTCTGCTGTGGACCTCTTCATGAAAACTCTTCTCGTCGTCTATCTATTGCAGGTCTGCGGTCATGAACAAGGACTCTCTGGCCTCGGAGACCTTCGCTTTGCCCTTACCCCTGCCCGGACCCTTGATCTTTCCGGTTGGTCTGGTTGTTGTTGTGTTTGCGTTGGCATGAGCACAAGCCTTCTTACGCGGCGGGGGCTTCTTGCCCTCGTCGCTGTCGTTGCCTCCATCAGACTCGTAGCGTTCATCGTACTCGTCGCTGCCAGGCGTCCGGTCTTTGTGTTTTCTTGTCGGCTTCGTACCGACAGATACCTTGCGCTTTTTGGCCCACTTATCTGTCTGGAGGTGTTTTCTAGGAGGCTGGTTGCTCTCCTCTTCTCCTGAGCTGCTGCTGCTGTTGCTGCTCTCGCTGGAGGACACATGGGCGGGCGTTTCTTTACGGAAATCCTTGCGTGCGTTTGGCACCTTCATGCCACCTTCCTTTGCGAGCGGCATTTTGATGTTCGATGGTGGTCGATAGTTGGAATAGTATGAAACTGGCAGTGATGTGAACAAAGGTAAGGTAGGGAGCAATTGGTTGTGGAGTGAGGAAGTAGGTGAATTGTGCCCGAGAAGGTGATGGTGGAGCATGGACTGAAGAAAGTCAACTTGGCTACAATCCCAAGTAATTTTTTTTCTTTACCCATCGCCCTCTGTCCTCATTAGGCAGTCTAAAGAGGATACTGTAATTAGAGTCAGGAGTCTCGCGCCTCTAGCAATCGGTACGGAATGTTTTCTAGGGCGAAGAGGCCCCCTTTAGGACGAGAATCTCATCACCTGTTGTTAAACTTGACCTAAGGGCTTGGGCAGTAGCGCCTGTAGAGTCCGTGCGGGGAGGATTGGGTCGTCCAGTCGGATGCACTCCGGCCTTGCGAAATTGCCTCTTTCGGGAAACGGGGCCGCCCTAACGCAGGTACCTACAGTGCCTCGGAAAGTGGCACCTTGATCAACATGGACTGAGACCTCAAAGCAACATAGCGACCAGGCCCTTCAAGAATGAAGAAGATACCGACACGTCACAGGGATTCAGTTTGTAATGCACAGTCTCATCATATTACTATCTCGTCTACAAGAGAACTCTATCCTGGGGCCGGAGGAGAACACAGGATTCGCCAACACCATCGGCCATTTTGACATTCTGTAGTGATGCGCGATATGGAACCGTGGTTCACCGACAGCATGCTTCCATTTTCGTGTAGGATGCCGAAGGCGGAGAGGGTTTTCACGACCATTCTCACTGGTGGAGACCATGGCGTGGAGCGTCGTGATCAGATGTGTGGAAGGCGCCTAGCGAATTGCAACGCGCTCTCTTCCGTGACGGCTCGGCATGAGTTTGCCGTAGGCCAGAGATTGACTTCATGACCTCTTCATGTCTTCTCGCGCTGGCCTCTTCCCCATCCTCGAAGGTATTCTAGATGAGGTTCTTGACACTCTCATTCACTGTCGTGGTAGACTCAGCTTCAGGAAGCGCAGCGTCTCGCTTGATGATCTGAGGCTGACCGTGTTGTTTCTGAAGCTGTAGTTTGTCTTCCAAGCGTCCATTCTCCTTCAGCTGACGTTTGTTCTGCCGTTTATACTTCTGAGATGTGTGTACTCATCCCTCTTATGTTGTCGCCGAAGTCATCGGTTATATTCTTGAAGCTGTTGGTGTTGTGCCTTGAGTTCTGCATTATCTTGATTGATTCGCTCGTTTTCAGTGACTTCAAGTGCGGGCTCCGCTTCAACTTCGGGTCGGAATTCGGCTTATGTGTAGGCTTCAACTGCAGGACGAGATGGAGACCCACCTGCCTTCTCAGCCTTTATGAACTGCGCCTCGATACTCCGGTATCCCAGGCCCGCGCGCGCTTCATATACTCTGGCAGTTCCTTGGCCGACATAGGGTCAATGTCAGAGCGGATGCGATGATCCAGAATCTCGCTCGCCGTGTGTTAGACTGGAAGGAAGGCCGCATACCCCAAATTGTCCGTCGCATCAAGGGCGTCGATGACGGCCTTGGCGTCGACAACTCCCACGGGATACACCCTCTTTGACCGATCGTGAATGGTCGTGGTCGGGCGAGACTCTCGTATGGTCTCGAGACTGAGGAGGAACTCGGAAAAGATTGGGATCACTTGACGATCCCTTTTGAGCCGACTTCTGACTTCTTCGTGGACCTCCGCAATTGGCTTGTCTCTGATCTCTCCAATGACTTTTTCCTTTTCAAAGGCTTTGAAGGAGCGACCTATAGAGCCGAGGAGTTCGGCGGCGGGCATCACATGTTTGTTGTTTCTGGAGGTGGAAGAAGCGTCGATGGTTTCCCCTGAAGATGCAAACGCGTCATGAGATCTCTTCTTGGTCTCCGTCTGGACCCACTGGCAGGTGATGAAGGCGCGCATGTTGCCGTTCTCGGGGCGCTGGGCTTTCCACTGCGATAGAAATGCATCGAGGGCTTCGGCGGCACTGTTCTGGATGTGAAATCCGTCGTTGGTACTCAACACTACGTCGTGGCCTGGACCGAGTCCTGCCGCTATCTTCTGTATCTCTGATATGTCTATGGAAAATTGAGTTAGTACTACTGGCGCTTTGGCCATTCTTGGATGAGCCGGACACACCTGGTTGAATCTTGTTACGCTTATCAGGCGGCTTGTGTGGGGCCATCTTATTGCGATTCTGGCCGCAGAATGACTATCGTTTGGGTGAGTTGAGGGTGAGTTGAAGTAGGAAAGAGGAAAAGAAGAGGTCGAACGTGGAGTGATGAAGTGAAGGCACCGAGGCCGCTCAGACGAAGGTGAAGGTCACTTGTGGTTCTGAGTATACATGCTCGCGTGACTCATCGAACCAAATATTCGTTGAGGGGATCTGGAGCATTCGACTAGACTCCAGTTCATCCAAGAGCTTATTTCATCAGAAGGGATAACAAACAGAACTCAAGTCAACGAGTCTGGAGTAAAACGAACTATACTTTTATATTCAGGGTCATTTGGCTCGATCGTTCAAAGTTAAATTATCATTTGTACAAAGGAAGAGTCCAAGAGGACAACGATGGTCTGAAGACAGAAAGAGCCACTTCGAGCCTTTGTCGTCTTTCCACACTTGGCAGTGCGAAGAAGCAGTCCAAAGGTTCGTAATAACTACGACTTCAAAACGAGGATTGAGAGCAGAGCATGTGCGTCCCCTCTAACGTGGCCGGAACCTATTGGCGAACCCGCCCAGTGCGAGTCTGCCGTATCCTTGTTATTTCTCCCCCAGAGACAAGTCCATTGGACGTGTTGAGCCGCCTTGGTGTTCCATGTTCACGGCGACAGAGGCATTCAACTTTGGCCAGCAGCCGATTAGCATGCGGAATTTCGCCAGAAATAAGTTCCCTGGCAAAAGTAGAGTGCCAGATGACTATTGTGTTTTTCCCATTGCACGCTGAAGTGAAGAACCTGCCGCTGGAGCGTTGAGTTCCAGTAGCGGTGCCACATAAGGTACCTATGCCGAAAGAGACATTCTCAGCGATGAATCCGACTGGACACGCATCCGGCCCCACACGGATTTCAACGGCGGTCTGAACCGGAACTTACAGACAAATTCGACGACACCCGATCATTGCCGAATACTTCTGGTGGTGGCATTACAACGATCCCACATTCCCTTGTACTCTTCCAGGCTTACAAGGGAGCCTAACGGGTTTGAGGGGTTGTCTCAAGTCACAATCGCACCACGAATAGTGTTGCCTGTAGTCAGTAGACTTGATCTAGGTATCCAACGAGGGAAGTCCATGGATGCCTAGGTTGGAGAAGGAATATAAACTCCCTTTGAATCATACGTACACATCCAAGGTCATTGCGGACCCCCCTTACTTGAGTATTCGGCTAACCCTTTTAAGAGGAGGGACCCGACGGAGTACGGTTACCATTAGAAGCCTCACGATACAAATCCCACGTGTTCCGTTTTCAGAAATCGTGTCTACCGTGCATATGTGATGAGGGATGACATTGTGGAATCTCTGTTTAGTTAGAATGGCTGAGGAGATGTACATTCACTTCACGGGTGCATCAAATTGTAGAGAAACGTATTCATGTTGAAAGTGCCATTGATCCACAACTACTATTCCATCAGAACATCCAGCCAGGCCCGAGCTCGGAACAAAATTGCTTTACCCTCCATCGCCACCATGGTCATCGTCCTTGATGGACCACGGAATGACCACTGTAGCAGAGTAAGCTTGCAGCAGTCTGGGTTGACGAACCAGCAGACCTTTTTGGCCGTGTTGAACATGACGCACAGGGGCCATCCTTGCCTCCTGACAATCTCGCAATCGCCGCTGTAATCGCCATCTTCCGCTGGGATTGTCAACGTCAGGTACTCCGGAAAAGTGGGATCTACGTCATCCACGACCGCGATCTGAGGCGCCTCGTGAAGGTACCACATGCCGAGGCGAACACCCTCTTGCCTGAGCTCCTCGACCTTGGCATCAAAGTGGGTCGTCTTCGCGACGAGCTCTGCTCTCGCGGTCTGGATATCGGCTACAGTGATATTGTGCAGTGTCCTTTCCGCTTCCAGGTCCGATCGCATGCGCTCCAGTTTCTCGGATGCGGTGTAAAACCACACATCGTGTTCTCTGACTTTTACCTCCTCGTGCTGTTGCGCCACATTCACCAGCTCATCAACATGGGAATTCTTCGGAGACGTAGTGGCCTCTGTATTACTGAACACGGCATCAGTCATCCTAGTCTCAATCTCCTTGATTGCCTCTTCGTGAGAGGTCGCATCATCGGACAGCCTTTTCTCCAAGGCTTTGATGGCGTTCTCGTGAGCGGACTTGGCCTTGCTATGGTTGGAATGGGCCTCCTTCAACTTCAACTCCAAGTCTTTGAGGGTAGATTCGGCCTTGCTCAACTTCAACTGCATATCCCTGATGGCATTCCCATGAGCAGAGTTGGCCTCCCGGTGACTCGAGACGAGGCCTTTGTGATCCGCCTCGAGCTTTGCGTTTTCACTCTTGAGAATGTCGTGAAATGACTTGAGATCTAGATACTTGCCGCCATTGGTCGTCGCCAGTGTGCTCTCGTAAGCATAGTCCTCTCCAAGTTCCCTCAGCTTCATCTTGGCCTTCTTATTGTCATCTGAGAGATCCATAACCCTCTGTTGCTCTGTACCGAGGCTGTCTTGAAGATGCTTGATGTTGCTCTTGAGTCCTTTAGTAGCGCGTTCGTTCGTTCCGCTCACACTTTGCCTTTTCTTTTCTGAGGCTCACCTCAGTAGTATCTGCTCGCAGCTCGAGTGCTGCGTTGCGTTCCTTGAGGGAAGCTATCTGCGTCTTCAGACCAGTGACGCACTTCTTGAACGCGTTGCACATATCCTCTTGCGATTGGTCCTGGTCCATCTCACTGTCGTCTTGGTCGATCTCTGGCTCGCCTTGTGTAGTCTCCGAGAAACTCTGCAGGGCCGACTGAAGGCTCTTGACTGAGCTCTCTGCCTTGCGGAGCCGAGCTTCAGTTGCGGTGGCCTTCTCCTGGCCTCGCCTAGCTCGAAGGAAAGAGTCGAGTTCACGACTTCCAGATGGGTGAGTTTCCCCTTCACCTTGATCACCTCGGAGTTCTTTTCACGCATCTCAGCCACTTGCCTAGCCTCGGCGTCCTACGCATCATCTGACGCGAGAGTAAGCCGATCGACAAGTGACCTGAGCTGCTCCGTCAACACTGAGCCGTGTTCGCCTTGGCTTTGGTAGCTCTCAAATGTCTCCGGCCGCCTCTTTCTCTTGTCATGCATCGCTGCCCATGGCGTTGCCCTCGAGTAGTTCGAAAAGAGATTGCGTGCTCTGGAGATTGACGCTTCGTATTTGATCGCCATCCTCATCGGAAAGGTCATTCACCTTGTCCAACTCTTTGATGTAGGGTCACGCAAACGCCAGTACCTCGACAATGATCTCCTTGGGTATCACGCCCTTGAGGGGCAACTCCTTCCATATCGACCTGATCGCTTCTCCCAGATTTACGACTCGCCTTTGGGTTTGCCTGTACGGTGCCGCTTGCTCCATGAACGCCGCCACTGTCGCGACGCGGGTGAGGTCGTCGAGGCCATTGAAGGTGATGGGCTCGTCTCTGGCGAATCCTAAATCGGTTGCGGTATCGTCGAATCCACCCCGAACCACATTGAGGCGAACCTTGACGTCCGCCAGGTAGTCGGTGCCGTCGGCCACCACCTGCTTCTGTTGGGCCTCGAACACATTGAGGGGCAGGCTCGGTATGCAAGCCATGTTTTCGGACCTCGCTGATCTGGCTTTCCGCGTTGCTGCTGCTATTTCTTGTGAGACGGGTTCAAATTCGGGCATGAGAAGACAGTACCTTGACAAGTGCTGGATGTAAAAGTTTCCCGTAGAGGTGACAAGTATGACAGAGTTGGAAGGAACCGTAGGGACTACAGGGACGATAGGGCCTACAGGGCATACGGTGGCATCAACTTTGAACTTGAACTGATCCTCCTTCCTTATGGAAATTGAATCGAAACTTCCTTCTTCATAATCGCCGACTGTTTGTACTTTTCCTTTCTACAAGCTCCAAGTACAACACGCCAATCATTTCAGCCTCAAGCTGGGAAGGAGATTCCAACATGAGCGCAAGCAAACCAGTTACCCGAGCGCTTACTTCGAAGGAAATACCATTTTTCAACGGCTAGCCTCGTCAAGGTACTGGATGCAGGGGACAGTGTTAAAGGTTTCTGCCCTTGGAATTGAAGCTTATAGAATCGCGCGGCAATGGTCTGCTTTGTGGTCGCATCGATGCGATGCTCAAACTGGTTTCAGGTGTAATACAGGGGACTATCACTGATGCCGATAGGAAGACTGACAAGTAGCCGTAGCACCTCGCCAGGCAATTTGAAGATCAATCTCCCAGATCTGTCTCTCATCTCGTGTTTAGTTACTCTGAATACATTGGTGATGAAACCGGACTCTAGATAGTGGGCACCAAGTTTGATGAATGCGAACTTGTCACATTCATCGAAGCCCCCTATGACAAGAGCTCGTGAATGTACCAAGATCTTGTGGAAGATCTTACCCTATATGGCCGCATTCAAGTCTCGGAAAGGCTACTGCCGTGAGCTGAAGCATGGGAGCAAATCGCTTCGACGTGGAGCTCCCGATTGTGTAGCGGACGTCGTCGTGGCAATCGCACCACTTTATGTGACGGGTATCGACGTGTTTCCTGCCCAAGGCTTGATGCAGCCTCCCAGTACTGCTCGAGTACGTGTCACGAGAACGGTGACTGCTGAATGCGACGATGTTGATCGGCATCCCATCGTATTCTCGTTTTAGAGCCGCGCCAAGCGGGCCGGATCGGCCCCTCTCGGCATGTTAGCTCGGGCCGCCAACCCCGCAATCCCCGTGGTCCACAACCCGAGGCAAGCCAACGTTGGGGAAGCGCGCCAAACTCCCCGATATACCCCAACCTCCCCACGGACCCATCTTACCTGGTCGTCTCTCCCTCATCTCATCCACCCAACTCCGAACGACAGCTCTTGTCCTAGCATCGCAACTTCAATTCAACAACATGGACACCCACGAGATCCCCCGCAAGCTCTGGGAGCACCCAGACCCCAAGGCCACGCAAATGTACCAATACCTGCAATCGGTCAATTCCAAGTTCAACCTCCGGCTCAAGGTCAGTATTCCCCGAATCTCCCCCCCAACATTAGTCCGTCCGCTTACACGATTCCCAGACATTTGACGACCTCCACAACTGGACTGTCGCTAACCGCGCCACATTCTACGGCCATCTCTTTGACTACGCCAATTTGATCCACGAAGGGCGTCCAACATCAGTCGTGGACGAATCGCTCCCGATAGACGCCATCCCCAAGTGGTTCCCCGGTGTGCATCTCAATTGGGCCGAGAACCTGCTCTTCACAAGAGGGTCGTCCGATGCAATTGACCATCACGGCACCGAGGGTAAGGAAGACGACAAAGTTGCCGTCACCGAGATCCGAGAAGGCAACCGCGGTGATGTGCGCAATCTTACCTGGGGCGAGCTACGTCGTGATGCGGGTCGTCTGGCAGCAGCCTTGAAGGCCAGAGGCGTCAAGGAGGGCGACCGCATCGTACTCGTCGGTGCCAACTCTATCGAAACGCTACTGGTGTTTGCAGCAACCACGTGGTTGGGTGGAATCTTTAGCAGCTCATCTACGGATATGGGCGTGAAGGGTATCCTGCAGAGGACTACGCAGGTCGATCCCAAAGTATGTCAATCCCCACTTCTACGAACCACACTCACATATGCCAGTTCATCTTCTTTGACGACGCCACGATATACAACGGCAAGACGGCCGACCTTCGAGACAAGATGACCGAGGTCGTCTCCGGCATGGGCTCGTGTCCTTCATTCTCCGGTCTGGTCTCGATCCCGCGCTTCTCCAAACCATACGATGTCTCGTCGATCTCCAAGACCGAGACGTGGTCCAAGTTTCTCAGCTCCTCAACGTCTGCAGCACCTTCATTCACACGCATCCCATTCCATGCACCGTTCCTAATCTACTACTCGTCTGGAACCACGGGTATCCCAAAGGCAATCGTGCACACCGTTGGTGGCGTCATGCTCAACAGCTTCAAGGAAGGCCGCCTGCACGAGTCAATGTCCCCCGAGTCCGTCACTCTGCAGTACACCACGACTGGCTGGATCATGTACCTTGCTAACGTGGCCGCCCTTTTATCGGGTGCACGTGTCGTCATGTACGATGGCTCGCCTTTCGTCCCCGACCTCATGTCGTTCATTCGCATCCTCGGCGAGCAGCGTGTGACGAAATTGGGCATTAGCCCGAGATGGATGTTTGAAGTCGCCAAGAACAAGATCAGCCCGCGAGAGGTGACGGATCTCAGTTCGCTAAAGATTGTGACCAGCACAGGCATGGTTCTTTCTGACCAATTGTTCGAATGGTTCTACGACGCAGGGTTCCCGAAACACGTTCACCTTGCCAATATCTCTGGTGGCACCGATATTGTAAGTCCCCTACATTCGCTAAACTTTTCTTCTAACGCTTTCAGGCCGGCTGCTTCGGTATGGAGAACCCCCTCGACCCTGTCTACGTGGGAGGAACCCAAGGCCCATCCCTTGGCGTCCCCATCGCCATCTACGACGCACAGTTGCCCGATGGACCTGGCGAGGCCGTACCCACTGGCACACCTGGTGAACTCGTTGCCACTGCCGCCTTCCCCAACATCCCGTGCTTCCTCTGGGGCGACTCGGCACCCCCGAGACTGTCACCGAGCTCGCCCAACTTCGCTTCTGCCGCCCCCGGTTCCAAGTACCACGCGGCATACTTTGCTCGCTTTGATAACGTCTGGGCACACGGCGACTTCTGCTCCATCCACCCAAAGACGGGCAACATTTCCTTCCTGGGACGTGCTGACGGCGTGCTGAACCCCAGTGGTGTTCGCTTTGGCAGTGCCGAGATCTACGCCGTCATTGAGCGCAACTTTTCAAACAAGGTCATCGACAGCCTGTGCGTTGGGCAGAGGCGCCCCACTGACAATGACGAGAGCGTCATGCTCTTCCTGATGATGCGCGAGGGTGAGAAATTTGACCGTCAGCTGGTGGCCGAGGTCAAGGACAAGATCCAGAGAGAGTTGACCAAGAGGCATGTGCCCAAGTATATCTTCCAGACGCCCGAAATACCGGTAAGTGTCCTGACCCCTCAGCCGTTGACCACACTGACAAAACAGACGACGGTCAACCTTAAAAAGGTCGAACTTCCAGTGAAGCAGATTGTCTCGGGCAGAACCATCAAGCCAAGTGGCACGCTTCTCAACCCGCAGAGCCTAGACTTTTACTACCAGTTCGCCAAGATCGAGGAGCTGCTCGCCGGTAAGGAGAAGCTGTAAAATTACATATACAGAAGATATTGGATCTAGAGCGATATAGGATACCAGATAGAGTACAGCTCACCCCAGAATCAAAGATACATCCTCTAGAGGCAGCCCCTCCCACGCCGCCTTGTCGGCATGTCCGCTAGCGAGGCGGTACGCAACCCCGTCGATCCACTCCACCCACAGCACAACATACTCCTCTGTGGCCGCAATTGGGCGGATATCATCAAAGGTCCTTTCGTAGTTCCGCACGCGGCAGATAGCCATCAACTCGACCTCCTTGGCAGCAGCCCAGCCGGCATCCAGCGAGGGAAAGCTTTCAAGTTGATCCTTGTGGTGCAATCGCAGGACCCCTATTTTGTTTTCATCATTATAGAGAGAGGCGTCGTTCTCTTTGCCTGCTTGAAAAGCACAGACGCGGGCGCGGCGGGTGTCGCAGCTAATGCATAGAGTCTGTTCCGGCATGAACGGCCGGGTTGATTCCTGAATGTCCGGCACAGAGAAAGGCCAGTACCAGGAAAAGTCATCGTCAGACATGCTAACATGTCTAAAGGTGTACTTGTCTCACCCATCTGGATAAAGTAGCCCGTGCTCGTCAGTTTCCTCGTCCTGTCTGCTGTTGGACCTCTCGGGAATCTCTTGTCGAGTCCATCCGGGAGGCAGGGGCAGTCTAAAGTCTTTGTACGCTTGGCGATTCTCAAACCACGAGGATCTGATTCTCCGTTTCTGCGCTGACGTCGGCGTAGCACACGCATACCACGTGGTGATGGAAATCGTCTCTTGGATCGAGTTAAACCAATTTACTGGACCGGCTTCATTGCGTCCGACGGAGACAGCGCCTTGCCACCCAACCAAGGACCAAGACGGAAGGTCACATGGTCCAAGCTGGCTCACACTGGACCGATTAGAGACAATCCGCCGTCGGAGGCCAAAAGTTCCAAGTACGATCACGAGGCTGGTATCGATCCACTCAGGGTCCAGGATGCGGGCGTTTCCTGGGTGGTTTGGAATTGAAACCCTCCTCACGAGTAAGAGTCTGGCCCAGCTGACGCCGTGCTCTTTAGTCCCTGTCAAGTAGAGCACGCCTGGTCGAAGGACTGCGATGCCTACGTCGGCTGAGACGCAGCGGGCAGATTGCTTTCGTTGGCTGCATAGTTTTAGGAACATTTTGACTAGTGGCAGGTGTCTGCTGCGTTTTGAGGCCAGAGCTTCTTCTAAGGAGCCTAGGTTGATGATATCGCGGTGTTCTTTACTAGGAGGCGTTGTGAGACGGGTCCAGATTAGGTGGCAGATTTCGCAGTCTGACATGTCATTAGACTGCACGGTGCTGGGCACAGCCTGCAAGGAACTTGAGCTGGAAGCGTCAGTCTCAACGTTCAGCGACGTTCGAGCCATCATACCAGAGGCTCGAGATTTCTGGTCGGTATAGAGAGCTGCCGACACTTCTCAGAACATGTAAAGGAGCTTACAAACTGCTAGCCAAGGGGGATCGTCCCTCAGACGCTGTGGACCCCACCGAACCCTTCATCAGTTGGCTTCCTCCAACTTGCTTCAAGGCGGAGTCCTCCCGAACAGAAACATGCACGTCGGCAGCGAACCAATCGAAGTTGTCCGCCATAACAAAAAGTCAGGCGGCCGCCCTTCAAACGGCGACACGCATTGCCAAGACGTTGCGGCGCAGTCGAGGTAAGCAAAGCCATTGGGGTATTGATCTATCTAAAGTACAAGCCTCACGGCAATCTTCAAACCACAAGCACATCAAACCCTCGACAGCGCAGCCTCCGGACCAACATATTCGGGATACTTTCCCCCATGCACACCATACCTCCAAACCATATATCCAACAGTACCCGCAAGACTCCCCAGACCAGCCGCACCACCAACAGCTCTCACACCAAGCGCACTCCCCTTCACCCCCGCCGCCCTCGCAATCCCAAGGGACGCAACGCCCGCCGCCGCACCACTGTACGTCCAATCGTCCACTTCCAGCTGGCTCCGGCTCTCCATCAGCCTCCACGCGCGATCGCGCCACTCAATGTCTTCGCGGCCGTACATCCTCGCCAGCATGGTGACGCCGGTGAAGCCTAGGCCAATGGCGCTGGCTGTGCCTGATTTACGTAGGAAGGTGTGCAGTCCTGACGATCGGAGTGCTGCCGTTGCTATGGATGCTGTTGTTGCTGATGTGGGGAACGGGGCGGCTGCGACGGCGGCGGCTGGCACGGGCTTTGTGCCGCGGATCCGGCTGGCGACTCCACTTGCGGCCGCGATACCGAGACCCACTACGGTGCCGGTTGTGTAGCCGCGCGTGAGGACGTGGACTGTGAGGATCGTGCCGGCGAGGGGCTGGTCTTCTGCGTAGGCCGTGTGGGGGAAGTAGCGAGACATGGCTTTTGTCTTTTGTTCTTCTTGAGGATTTGGTTCGTTGGAGCTGACTGGCTGATGGTTGAGGTTTCAGGGAGAACTTTGCCAGCACACTCAATGGGTCGCAGAAAGTCGTGAGATGCAGAGTGATGGTCAATTGGAAGCGACAGTCTTCATCCCTAAACTTCAAGACCCTAGGTCACCTTATATCACAACTCGCCCAAGCCAGCAGCCCATATGCGGCCGCATGCCCCCCAATCTAGCGGAACGTGGTCGGCGCAATCCCTTCGACTTTGTCAGGCTGTCAGCACGCCGGGGTATCGTTCCGCCGCGGAATCCCACACTAGCGAGCGAATGCGAGGCACCACACCCCCGACGAATGGGGTCAATCGCATTCGTCACAGAACCAGACTAACCCACAGTGGCGGCATGACTCCCAAAGCCACGTTGCTTAGCTGAAGTCACTGCCAAAAGCTTCATCACCACAGAGCTAATCGAGATTCATAGGTTTTTGTTATTCATTAACTGATATCTATGCTGGCGGCTGCCTCCAGATAACAGTACTGTGCCGCGTCAGGCTAATCATCATCAGTCATCTCCATCATGCTTTCACCTTTTTCGTCCTCGTCCATGAGCACCCTCGGCCTGCTGACCTTGGCCTTTCCTTTGGCATCCCGCCGTAGTTTCGGGAGCTTGTTCGATATGCGCTCCCTGGCAGCCGCCTTGCCCATCTCGAGCTCCTGCTCAAACGCCTCCAGCTCGTCGCCCTCGGCAACGTCAATCGTGGACGTCTCTTCCAGGGCCTTGTTTAGTAGCTCCGTAGCTATGCTGTCCTGTGGGTTAATCGCGAGCGCCTCATGCAACGGCACAACGGCCTTTTCTGGACGTCCCTCTTCAAGATAGATGAGCGCTTTCGCACAGAATATCGTCGCGTCCTTGCCTCCTTGCCGCAGGACCTCGTCAAACTCCATGTGTGCGTCCTTCCACAGCCGCAGCCGACGATACGCATGTGCCAGGTTTGTCCTCGGTGCCAGCCACGCTTGCGGGTCTGAGTCAATGTCGGCGGCTATCTTCAGCGCCGCCCGGAAGAATTGTACAGCATCTTGCGGCTTGTCCTGGTGATATTTGACAACGCCCATCTCGTTCAGAAGAAGGGGGTCCGTTTTGCACAGACCGTATGCCGTTTTGAGGAACTCTTCCGCCAATGTCATATTGTTGAGTGCGTGATTCTGCATGCCCAAGAACACCTGCGGGAGGTGCGTTCCCATGAATAGCCTCGCTGCTGTGGAGTATGCCGAGATGGCCTGGTCGTGCTCGCCCTCTGCGGCAAACGTGTGTGCGAAGCCGATCCACGCCGGACCAAAGTGTGCATCCATCATGCTAGCCTTGCTAAAATACCGACGGGCCTCCGCAATCTTGTCAATCGAAAAGTAGTATATGCCCACGGCCAACCACGAGCAGGGCTCCTCGGGGTGGTTGTCCGCCAGGTCGTGAGAAACCAAAAACAGCGCATTCTTCATCTTGAGCTGATACAAACATGCCAGATGCAGGGGGTGGACGCTAAAGTTATACTTGTCGTCCTGTAGAATGGATTCGGTAATGGCGAGGGCGTCTCGATACCGACACTGCGTGTAGAGGAGGTCGGCCTTGGCGAGGAGCAGGTCTGGGTTGTCCGCCAGACGGTAGTGCGTCGACAGAGAGTCGCACGCCGCGGTGAATGCCGAAGGTTCCCTATACTTTGACAGCCGCGTTGTGTAGAGCATCTTTGTGAACTCTGCCGCCTCTTGTGATGATGATACATCCCCAGAGACGCTGATGGCGTCAAAGTCGAGCGACTCGAGAAATGCCCACTCCTCATCAGGCGACAGCAGAGCGTTGGTCATGAGCTGCTGGAACGCCTCAAAGCACTGTACATCGATCCGCACGGCATCCTTGTAGCACTCCTTGGCCCGGTCAAAGGCGTTCTGCTTGGCGTAGCAGATGCCTCGCAGGTAGCACATGGCGGCTTCGTATTTCCGGTTCGTCGCTTCCTCCTCTGCAGCCTCGTCGCGGGCATGTCTATCCCTCGAGCTTCCCTTCGGGTGGCTAACTGCCCTACCCAGGGGCGCCGTGTTCTGTTGCTTCCGCTTGTTGCTTGCATTATTGATGAGGTGCGTCGGGTTCCGCTCGCCGAGGATGGCCAGGGCTTCGTCGAATCTTGACTGCTTAACGAGGCAATGTGCCGCTAGGTATCGACAGGAGACATTGCGGGCGACAAGGTCCTGTTTTGCGAGGAAAGTCTGAGCTCGTGTGTAATTGCCGGTAGCAAAGTGGACTTGAGCCAGCCAAAAGGCGTCCTTATCGTCGTCTGTCCACGTTAGACAGGGCAGAGCGGGCGCCAGGAACCTCTCACATACTGGTCAAGGCTAGCAGCTTGTCGCCGATGAAGATGGCGGAATCGTATTGGGCCTTGTTCAGGGCATCCTGCCTCCATTCCCGCAGGAACTTTTCCATGGCGAGGCGGCGAAGCAACGAGGGAGGTGGCTAGATCGTGGGCATGACCGAGTGGTGTATGTGACAAAAGTGTGGCGGGTTCGAGGTTGACGTTGGGATGCCGATCAACGGGGTGAGGTAAGCGCGTCGTGGGCTCAGGCGCGACGGGAATCTGCACTTTCTTTTCTTTGGATGACGGGCAGGAATTGGAGGGGACGTGGATGCACTGTGCACCGGGCGCCGCCAGGGGTGTGGGCCGAGTAAATGGCGGGGTAGGCCAACCAGAGGGCGTCTTTGGGTCTCTCCCAGGCACACCACGTGGTTGCCGTTGATGTTCAGCTGTTGCGTCTTACAAGTACAGCGTTGGTCTGACATCGATACTTATTTTATGGCACCAAGTCTTGCCCAGGTGTCTGTAGATGGACTGTCTGTAGATGGTATCTAGCATCTTGTCGCCAGGTCGAATGTTGTCGTGAGGCTCTGGCGCTTGGACGGCACGACGGTGCAAAAATAGCACGTCAACCGCCACCAAAGCTTGAGCTGAGATGCGTGGGTGCCCTCACTGACAGCACTGCAACTCTATCATCTATGACTCCATTGCGGCCAATGCTAGTTGGGTAAGCCGACAATTGTTTCAGGCCATGCACGCTCTGCACTTCCCCATCCGACCGTTGAGGTGCTTTTGACGACAAGACGCCGCCATCCCAAGTGCCGGGAGCAGACAACTGCTCGTCAGTGATGAGTGACTACGGGTCAATATGCGAGTAAAGGCATGTCCGCCCAATCCGAGAAATGCAAGTGGTGAAATACCTAGGATGGTACTCCGTAGGTTGGGTGTTTTTGCTGATGCTGCCCTACCAAAAGCTACCCGCGCCCAATGCTTGGTACAAAGTACGAACGGCGGGCGTCTCCAGCCCCGAGCCTTCAAGGACACCTCGCTGTGACCTCACTGTGGTGCGCCGTTCCAGCGTGCCCGCCTGCCCCCTCGCCCCCTCTCATTGGCCTAGGACCTCCCAGTGAACCCATCAGGGGTAAGGCTAACCTGGGCTAAGCGAGGCGCTATCGCTCTATCCGCCATCGATAACAAGATGACGACTAAGGTCGAGGAGGATGGGGCACATCAGTATCCGTACTCCGTATTATTTTTTTTCTCTTCAAGCTGTTCATTGTTCCCCATCAGTCGATAATTCGCCTTTCCCACTCCCGCCTCACAACATCGCTCAAACACTGCAAAAAAATCAACAACGTCTGTAATACCCACACACACGCACACGCAAACTCCCCTCGAGATACCACCGACGCTACCTTGCTCTCCAACCGAAAGAACTTCCTCCCCCCCCTGGTCATACCTCACCCCCGCCGAAGCTCTCGCACGCCGCTGTCTCTCTCCAACTGCCATCCGTCTCCTCTCTCTCCTCTCTGTGCCTCCGTCTCCAACCCGCCCCTGCAGCAGGCCCTCGTCGACCGCCTCTGCCCGCCAACGCCCGCCGCCGCCGCCATCCCGACCTCATCGCATCCCAACTCCTATCCGCCCTGTCCCAGCCGACACAACTGCGACCATTAACAGCAAACCAAGGTGCCGCCGCCCTTGACGTTTGAGGGATTGACGAGACCAAGCCGTATTCACCCCTCCTCCCCCCGGAAGCCGTCGAAAGCAGTCCTCATGGATAACAACCTGTGGACCCGCCGCACAAAGTAAGCCTTTCGTTTGTCTCCATGCACCACCCACCCTAACACCTCCAGCTCTGGCAAGCTTTCACTCTCGACAAATGGTAGTCCCGCGCCGGGCGGTGACGCCAACCGAAACGGCTCCTTTGCCAAACGATTCGGCGGCGATACGTCCTCACACGGCGGCAAATCAAATCCATTCAACAACGTAACGACTCCCGGCGCAGGCGGCATGGCGTCCCCCACCGCCGCCGGTGCGGCCAACGCCTTTGGCCTGGGCTCCGGCGCCTTTGCTTCCTTCGGCTCGGCCAAGACCCCCAAGTCCCCCGGCAACCCGTTCGACCTCGCCATGGGCAAGATGGGCGCCAAGGCGGCGACGTCGCACGATCTGGCGGCCAAGGTGCCCTCCATCGCCCCGATCCCCGAGAGAAAGGCCCTGGGCTCGCAGCCCGCCTCGGCCCGGACGTCCTCGGAGCAGCTCCGCGTCCACCCCCTCAAGTACGAGTGGGTGACGTGGTGCCGGCCGCCCCAGCCAAAGGGGCAGCCGTACCAAGAGTACGCCAAGTCGCTGACGCCAATGATCCACTGCAACACCGTGGAGGAGTTCTGGGTCGGCTACCCCCACCTGAAGCGGCCCTCTGAGCTGTCCGTGGGCTGGGAATACCACTTCTTCAAGCGGGGCATCCGCCCAATCTGGGAGGACGAGGAGAACAGAAGCGGCGGCAAGTGGGTGCTTCGTCTGAAGAAGGGCATCGTCGACCGGTACTGGGAGGATACCGTGTTTGCGCTCCTCGGCGAGGCCTTCATCGACGCCAGCGAAGAGGTCTGTGGCGGTGTGGTGAGCGTCCGCAACGGCGAGGATATTATCAGTATCTGGACCCGCTCGACCGGCGGACGCGTGCTGAGGATTCGGTAAGTTGTCTTGGTCCATGGGTTCATGTGTAGGCAAAGCTAACAACCGCAGTGAAACGTGGAAGTCGTACCTCAAGTGCCCGCCCAACACGCAGTTCGAGTTCAAGTCCCACGACGAGAGCATCCAGCACCGAGCCGCCATCGAGGAGTCCCGCCGCGAGAAGCAGCACGACAAACGCGGCAACAAACAGGCCACCGAAGAGCAGAAGCCCGCCGCTTCGTGAGCACGCCCACGAAAAGCAACGACCCCTCATCGCTGGGAAACGCCACACCAACACCTTGTTGCATTTTGTTTTGTTCTCCCTCCAAAGCCATCTTTGATGTTTATTTGTACACTATTGGATCCACTACTTCCCCCCCCCTACCCCTACGACGGATCTTCATAGCATTCGGGTTTGTGAAACTCCGACCAAAAGTACACCTATATGGGGAAAAATGAGGAAGCAGGTTTGGAAACATTGGAGACGGTTGTGTGGTTCCCTTGATGAAGGGGGGGAAATCCCCCTTTTGGAATTTACGATCAATCTTTTATCGATCTCGGAAACGGGAATCGGCAAAGCGGTCTGTGAGGAGAAGGGAAATGGAACGGGGGGTCAGCGGTCAAACGTTTAGCGGTCACGTTTGTTTTATGGGTTGCGACCACGCGGGCAGGTCATGGATCATTCCCAATCTTCATCATCTTTTTCGGGAGGTGTACACTACTTGCGATCAAAGTGTCGCATGCTTCGGTATGCTTTTGTTGGCTGCTGGATGCGCGGTCCGAAAGGCACGGGCCGTATGGATAGTCCCAAATGACTACGAAATGAGCTCACTTTTGAACATTCCCCAAATGACATGAACATGAACTGGATGCATTGACGCATCCCGATATCATTATTCGTACAATCTATGCTTTCCTCGGTGTCCTCCGCCTCTCCCACACCTGCAAATACGTCTCACCCAAATACAACAGCTCGCTCTGCACCTTTTCCACAAACAAATCCTGACACGATACCCACTCGTCGCGGCCCTTGTCCTTCAACTGCACCTTCCACGTCTTACGCTCCTCCCCGCTGTCCGCGACATCTTCCTTGGCGCGCACAGCCTCGTGGACGACGTTGGCGACGAGGTCGTACCAGATGGGTTCGCCGGGGGGCCACTCGCCCGGGTTCGGCTCGACGTACGGACTCACGTCGAGGCCGCGCGGGTCAAACGTGACAATCGTCGGATTCCGCTCTGACACAAACTTGTTCTGGCTGAAGCGCTTGACGTGCAGGACGAGGTAGGGGGGTAAAGGGTGCAGCAGGCGGTACCGCTTACGCTGGGCGAGGTGTTCTTGCGCGTGGATGCCGTCGTATTTTGAGAGGATGGTTGTGAGGGGCACTTGTGGGATGATGTTCTTTTCGAGCTCGTCTTGGAAGAGGGGCGCGGCGGGGAGGTCGAGGGTGAGGAACATGAAGCGGGACGACGTCACTGACACGGCGGCGTCTTCGAAGCGTAGACGATCGCCTGCGTCGGCGCGCGCTGTGATGGCTTGCGATTCGACCTTGAGCTTCCCCTGGAAGATGCGCTGCACCACGGAGCTGCCGGGCTTCGTCTTGGACCCGCCGAGGCCCAGGTGCAGGTTATTCAGGAACCATGACAGGAACTCGACAGGGTCGGACTGCGCCGTAAGGGTGTAGCGCTTGTTCGAGAGCAGGGAAATCTCCTGAAGCAGCTCGTGGGGCGAGACGTGGGCCTTGAAGGCGCGCGGGTTCCAAATCTTGCGGACGAGGATGCCGAAGCGCTTGGCGAGCTCGGAGCGGGACGAGAGGTCCTCCAGTAGGCAGTAGTTGCGCAGCGGCGCGACGTGCGCGAGAGCCTGGACCACGACGTTGAGGTAGTCGTTTTCTTTCAGGTTGTTCATGCCCACGAAGCCGGGTGCGTATTCCCTTCCCGCGAGCGTAAAGGACGCGCGCAGTGGCGTGTGGTCGAGGGCGGCGACTTCGGGTTTCGTGTAGCGCGGGTCCGAGACAAACTTGATGTCGTCGAGGGATTTGGACTTGACCTCGTAGCCTTCGGGGAGGACGTAGACCTTTTGCGTCTGCATGTTGATGAAGACGTGGTGGTTCTCGTCGAGGGCGTGGAAGTAGGCGTGCGATTTGGGTCCGCGGCCCTGGTAGTAGCGGCCGCAGACCAGGCATGCGTAGACGTTGATGTTGGACAGGCTGACGGAGCAGAGCTTTTCGAAATCAAAGTCGAGGACGTTGCGGTCGATCGTGTCGAGGTACAGGTCGTCGTAGCCGTCTGTCGGCGCCAATTGGCGGATCGGCACCTGGACCGGCGCGTCTTGTTCTATCTCGCTGTCATCTTCATCGTCTTGTGGTATCTCGGCGGCGCCATTTGTGGGTGTTGCGTCGTCCGTCGTCGTCGCTGTGTCGTGACCGTTTTCGAGCGAGCCGTTGGAGATGAGGGAGTCGACGGTTCGTGAGCGTTTCGACGCGGGTGAGTCGATCCCTGCGATTTCGTCGAGGGGGTCCTCGGCGTGACGTTTCCTGTGCGCCATGCTGTGTGTGTGTGTGTGGTTTCTGGAGGGGTATCGAGTGTTGTTGGTGGTTTCCTTGCGGGTGCGAGGCTGAGGTCGCAGGCGTGGATTGGTGGTTGCCGTTCAGGCATGGAAAAAGTCGCCAGTCTATCGCTCTAGGTGCACGCCCCCACCGTCAGAGGCCACGCCCTGAGCTTCAACGACCTCATCCAGACATCACCCGTTATTACTACACGGCCACAGACGACGAAAAGCTATGTGCGATGGAATATACACCAATCCCAGCTACACTGGGCTGCCGAGTCGCCAGAAGAACGCCTCTGAAGATGCAGGCGCATGCAGCACATGCATGATGGCCCTATCAGTGTCGCTGCATTATCATCCAATGGCATCATCCTTGGGAGCGCCTGACCAGATGTAAGCCGCAGCCTGATCTGGTTGAGGGGCTCCGGCCCCGTTTTCCGCACTCTGTCAGGATTCGCTGGTCTCTCTCTGAAGATTGTTTGCTTTGCAGGAGCGATACTCCGTTGAGTCAACGTTCGTTCGTTCGTCAGTCGCCGACGACAGCAATATGCCATGGCCGCCCTTCCGCCACGCCGCCGTGAAGACTTCACTGTCGCCGTAATTTGCGCCCTTCCCCTTGAGTTCGACGCTGCAGAGCTAGCCTTCGACGAGCTGTGGGATGAATCCGATCATGGCCTCGGCAAGGCTGCAGGTGACGCAAACACCTACACGCTGGGTCGAATTGGCAAGCACAATGCCGTCCTCGTCCTCCTTTCCGGCATAGGAAAGGCGAACGCAGCAAGCGCGACAGCCAGCCTTCGTTCCAGTTTCGGAGGTCTCAGGTTAGCTCTGCTATGTGGCATATGCGGTGGCGTGCCTAATGCGAATTGTGATGGGGAGATGCTGCTTGGAGATGTCATCATAAGCAAAAGTGTCGTTCAGTACGATCTGGGGCGACGTTTCCCAGGCCAGTTCGAGTCCAAAGACACTATACAAGACAGCCTGGGTAGACCAATCAAAGAAATTCGGTCCCTGCTCATTGCATTCGAAACTCATAGGCAAAAGCAGCGCCTGACGAAGGAAATCTCGAAAGGTCTGGTAAAAATCCAAAACAAGGCAGTCAAAGAGAGTTATGATGTCGACTATAGTCGACCAACATACGAAGACGTGCTCTTCGAGCCCGACTACACCCATAGGCATCGATCAGACGTGCAGTGCAGCTGCAACGAAACGCAGACATGTGAGCAGGCGACGAAAGCGACATGCGAGGAGCTCGGCTGTGACTTGAAGCACCAAGTGCCTCGAAGACGCCTCGAGAGCCAGCTAGCTGGGCAAGAGAAGACCACTGCGGAACACCAGCCTCGTGTATTTCTTGGATCGATTGGATCAGGAGACACCGTCATGAAATCCGGTAAGGACAGAGACCAAATTGCGAGAGAGCGTAGCCTCGTCGCCTTTGAAATGGAAGGTGCTGGAGTTTGGGACGAAATCCCCTGCATCATCGTCAAGGGAGTGTGCGACTATGCCGACAGTCACAAGAACAAAACTTGGCAACACTATGCTGCGGCAACAGCTGCAGCAGCAACCAAGGCTCTCCTCGATCGTTATGCGCCAACAGCCGTCCGGGTTGAGCAGGCTGAGCCAGTCGAAACGATTGGTTTCTCGCCCAAATGTAAGTGTGTGCCCTGTCTATTCCACCGCACGGCATGCTGAGAGAATATAGTTCATGTACCATATGTCAAAAATCCCGAGTTTGTTGGCCGACAAGAGATCTTCAACCACATCACGCATCTATTCGGGGACACGCAGACTGGTCTGCCCGCTACGAAACTGCGCTCAAGAGTGGCGCTCCATGGGCTCGGCGGTGTAGGGTAAGGCCAACTCGCTATTACCCTAAAGCAAGGCTAACATCAAGAAGCAAGACGCAAATTGCATTGGCGTATGCCTACTGGGTACATGAGACTTTTTCTGAAGTTTCCGTCTTTTGGGTTCACGCCAGCAACCGCCAGCGCTTTCTTCAGGCTTTCACATCGATCGCTCGAGTGTGTCGCATCCCGGGATACGACGAAAGTAAGGCCGATACCCTTCTTTTGGTGAAGCAGTGGCTTGAGAGTAAAAAAAGCGGTCGCTGGCTACTAATCATCGATAACGCCGACGACAAGGAGACTTTCTTCACGGACTCTGGGCAAGACGGCATTAGCACAGATGTGTCAGCACTTGCATCGGAAGGGGGACTAGGTCGCTTCATCCCTGAGTGTCTCCACGGATCCGTTCTCATAACGACAAGGGACATGCAGACAGGCCTGAGGATGGCCGCGGGAGTTCCTCCAATCAAAGTCAATGAGATGATCGATGCTGAGGCTGTTGAGCTGCTGCAGTCCTTGCTCCCGAACCAAACCTTCTCTCCATCGGAAGCAATCGCGTTGGCATCTCGACTTGCGTACTTGCCATTAGCGCTAGCACAAGCAGCCTCTTTCATCCTCAAAAACTTCATGTCCATCACCGACTATGTCCAACTACTGGACAAGAGCGACTCTAGCTTGGTGCGTCAGCTGAGCGAGCCTTTCGCGTCAGTAGGGCGAGACTCGGAGACTCCCCATGCGCTGACGGCCACCTGGTTGATTTCTTTCCGTCAAGTCGAAGAACGGTATTCTTTGGCGGGCAATTTGCTTTCTTTCATGAGCATGTTTGATCGCCAGGCTATTCCCAAAGCCTTCGTCGAAGGCTACTGCTATGAGCAGCTTCGCAAGAAATCGGGCTCTGTCGTCGACATGGATGCTCATTTTGAGGGGGATTCCGGCATTGGCTCCGGCTATAGTTTTGACTCAGACAGCGCCGTCGTAGGGTCTAGAGCCGGTTCTGATGCCGGTTCTAAATATGGGACCAATGCCAACTCTGAGGACGACTCTGAGACGACTTTGGAGATCGCAAACGCCTTGGGGATTCTCCAAGCGTTTTCCTTCATCTCTCAGGCGAGCAATGACACTTACGACATGCATCGACTCGTGCATTTAGTCACGCGCAAACGTCTGTTGCAAGAGTCGACGATGCCGCACTTTTCGAGCGAGGCTCTTGAAATCATGGCTCGTGCTTTCCCGTATGGTGGATTCCTGAATCGATTGACGTGCCTTACGTATCTACCCCATGCCCTCGCAATTCTAGCACTCTCAAGTCCTCGGTCTGATAATGAGAAGATCCAAACTGGACAGCTACTGTGCAATGTGGCCATATACTTTGACTACCTAGGGCAAGCTTCGGAGGCAGAGACGTATCTGACACGAGCATTGGAACTACAAAGACAAGCACTTGGGCAGGAGCATCCTGAGACACTTAAGACGATGAGCGAGTTGGCGTCGTCTCACATAAATCAAGCGCATCTAGAAGTGGCCGTTGAGTTGCTTCTGTCTACATTGGAAGCCCAGAAGAGACTATTGGCAGAAAGCGATAACGATGTACTACTCACGCGCTGTAGACTTGCACGTGCGTATTTACGCCAACATCGCCTTGAAGACGCAGAGAAGTTATATTTGGAAGCACTCGAGCTCTGTAAAGGAGCCGGAGGGGATAAGGCAGGCATGTCATACACCTTAGCCGAACTTTCGACTCTGTACTTTGAGCAAGGGCGGTATGGGGAGGCAGAGAAGCTGCAACTGCAGGTACTAGAGAGAGATAGGGAGATGTTCGGGGAGGACCATTGGACTACATTTTTACCCATGATGCAGCTGGGGCGTACGTATGTGAATCAGGGCCGTCTAATAGAGGCAGGGGACATACTTTCACAGACGCTAGCTCGAAGCAAAATAATATTGGGTGAAGAGCATCTTGGTACGGTAGGTCTTATGAAGTCTTTAGCACCTCTCTATGAGAAGCAAGGTCGTTTGGCAGCGGCGGAAGAACTCTTTCTGGAGGTGCTAGACATCAAGAAATCATCGATGGGTGAGAAACATGATGACACAGCATGGGCCATGAGAGATTTAGGAGGATTCTATAAGAACCAGGGTCGCCTATTAGAGGCAGAGGAGATATTCCTGAAGGTGCTAGAACTACGGAGAATGACGTTAGGCGAGGGGCATGAGGATACACTTACGGTCATGAAAGACTTAGGACTTATGTATCAGGAGTCAGGTCGCCTAGAAGAAGCGGAAGAGTCCTATCTGGAGGTACTTCACTTACAAAGAATTATGTTAGGCGAGGAGCATGAGAAAACAGCATGGTCTATGGCAAAGTTAGGACAAATCTTTGTCCAACAAGGGCGACTGGCAGAAGCGGAGAAATCTCAACTACGAGGATACGAAGTAAACAGAAAGGTTTTAGGGGAAGAGCACGCCCACACTCTAACGGATGAGCATAACTTGGCTTGTATTTGGTGGGATCAAGGCCGGAAAGTGGAAGCAATTCAGCTGATGAGGAAGTGCGCCAAGGCTCGAGATCGCGTTTTTGGTCGAGATCACGAACATACAAAATGCTCCCTCGAAGCATTGTCATACTGGGAGGAAGAGATGGACACGGAGCACAACAGCGACAATGAGTCGGGGCACGGAAGCGAAGATTCTAGCGAGGACGAGGAGGAAGACACGTATGCACGTTCATACTTAGACTCCGACGACGATTCGGATGATGGCGAAGGAGCACGCCTATAGAAACTTGTTACTCAGAGCCATAGCGAACATGAATTGCAAAAGCCCGCTCTGCCCAAGTCAGTTGTCAAACGCTAAAGGCGTAGTCAAATCAAACCAGATCACCAACGCAGAATAACGCAGAATAACGTAAAACCAATAAAATCATTCTCTATTTTAAACTCCTACATCCACTCCTCACATCACACCATAATGACATCCGCCGCCGCATCCTCCATGGCCGCATCCTCTATCGCGGGGGGCGCGAGACTGTCCATCTCCCGCAGGGTATATTCCACCAGGTAACTCTCGTCCACGAGCTCGTCCGTCCGCCTGTAGTGCCGTTCGGTGTACACCCGCAGGGCGTTGAGCACCTCCTTGAGGCTCCGCTGGCCCCGCGCGCCCTTGACCGAGAGGTTGGAAAACTTGGACGCCGGGTAGCTGCGGACGAGCGTCCAGAGGATGCGCTGCGCGACGGCGGCTGTCCGCGCGTTGGTGTTCCAGTCGCGGAGGCGGAGGAGCAGGGTGAAGAGTTGTTCGTCGGAGAGTGTGGCGAGGACCTGGTCGACGGCTTTAAGGCCGCAGAGGCTGCCGGGTTCCGGGGCCGAGGTGACGACTGACGTGAAGAGGCTGAGGAGGCGGCCGGGGTGGTTGAGCTGCAGGGCGAGGACGATGGCTTCGCGGTAGGAGCCGTGGTGGATGTGGTTCTGGAGTTCCTGCTCCTGCTCGATGAGCTTCTGGGCGGCTTCGGTGGCGGCGGCCTGTGATTCCGTGGTGGTGTCCTTCCAGAAGGTGACGAGGGCGTCGCCGTCACCCGAAACGATGGTGTTGTCTTCCGGGTGGACGGCGAGGGCCCAGATGCGGTCCTCGTGGTTGTCGAGCGTCGTCTCGCCCTCGCCCGAGTTGGCGTCCCAAACCTTGACAAGGCCGTCGCTGCCGGCACTGGCGAACTGGAGTTGTTTCTTGCCCTTGCCCTCGGGCTTGGGCATGTTGAGCCAGGCGACCTTGAGGACGCTGTTGGAGTGGCCTTCGAAGGTGCGGATGCACGAGTAGTCGTTGAGGCTCCAGAGTTTGACCGTTTTGTCGGCGCTGCCGGTGAGGACGACGCCCTTGCCAGCGACCTGTCCCTCGTCGCCTTGGACGGCGGGGCACCCGGCGGGGGCGAATTTGACGGACCACACGCCACGCCTGTGACCGCGGAGGATGCCTTGGACTTCACCCTCGGCCACGGACCAGATCTTGACCATTTTGTCCTGGGAGGAGGAGGCGAAGAGCTGGCTGGCGGGGTGGACGTCCATGGCGTTGATGTCCTTGTCGTGGGCTTTCCGGGTGAAGACGGCGCGGGATCCGCCCTTTCGGGTTTGCTGGGGTTCCCTGGGAATCTCCCACTTCTTGACGGTCTGGTCCTGGGAACCCGTGAAGAGAAACGGTGGGGGGTGGCTCAGGGGGTCCTTGAACTGTGCTGATGATTCTTGAGGGGGCTGCTTTGGGAGTGCCACAGCGCCGACTGATTCCGTGTGGCCGGTGAAGGTGGCGTAGCATGTGTAAGAGTTGTTGGCGGGGTCAACGCGCCAGAGACGAGCGGTGTTGTCCTTTGCGCCGGTGGCGATCCAGTGTCCGGACCAGTCGACGTCCAAAGAGACAATAATGTCGTCGTGGCCCTTGAGCAGCGCGATATCCTGGCCAAAGTACGTCTCATCTTCTGAGGAGTCCTTGACGGAAACGATGCGAATGTCCTCGGCGTTGGTTGCCAATGCGAGAAGGGATCGATCGGGCAAAAGGTAGTTGAGATCGATGATGGAGTCGTGGGTTCCGGAAATCCGTCTAAACGGTTCCATGACCGATCCCTCAACAGCCTCCTTCTCCGGCACCTTGTACAGCGCAAGGGTGTGGTCGACCTGGACGCACAGGATGAAGGGGAGCTCGGGGTGCGAAACGGCGCTGACGACGCCCTCCGCCTCTGCCTTCTCCGGCTGGTCCTTTGTGAGCTCGCGACCCGTGTCGGTGTCCCAGATGCGGAGGCAGCCCTTTGCGCCGGCGGAGTATGTCAGACGGCCGGCATCAACAAAGCCGACGGCCTCGACGAGCTCCAGGCACGGCACGACCTTTCTAACCTTCCATGACCGCGCGTCCCACCAGATGATTGTCTTGTCTCTGCTGGCTGTGACGATGGCTTGCTGTTCGGGGGAGTAGTCGATGCCCTGGACGTTGGAGACGTGGGAATCGAGGCTCGCGACGGCGGCGCGCTTGTGAAGATCCCATACCCGCACTTTGCCGTCCTGGCTACCGGATACAAGGCGCCAGTTTGTCGTCGTTGTCGTGGTCTCTTCCTCATCGGTCTGCTTCGCCTTCTTTCCCTTCTTGCTTGCGTCTCCCTCATTTGACCGCGCCGCGACCTCGAAGAAGTGCAGAGCCGAAACCAGAACGCTGGGTCCGCGGAAGGTGTGCGTGACGTATCCGCCGGCAATGTCCCAGACCTTGATCGCTCCGTCGGTGCCTCCGGTCGCGAGGAGGGTGCTTGTTCGGTCGACAGCGAGGACAACGACGGGGGTTCCGTGGGGCTTCAGTGAGCGGGTCAGCTTCGCCTCGATCGTTCCGTCTTCGGTGGTCTTGAGGGCGTAGATCTTCATCGCAAGCGATCGGGAGCAGATGATGAGGTGCGAGCCGGAGGGGGTCACTGTGATTGTTAGATCGTGGAGCCGGTCAGGTAGAGATCGTACATACGGGTCAGCGTCGAGATTGTTTCGCCATCCTAAGACACAGTCAGCCGTGCATTTGTACATGGATCCCGGGGCGCATACTCCTTCAATCTTTGCTAGATGCTTCCCGTTGGAGGGGTTGGTGAGGATGGCATCCTCGCCGAGGGGGGTTGCAAGAATCTTGGCGCCATTGTCCAATGCGACGGAGCCGCCGGTGAAGATGGGCCGTATGGCTCGGTCAGGCTCGAACGTCGTCTTGAGGGGCTGTTTGCTCGCCATCTTGTCGTTCTATCGATGCGGTGCAATCGGTCGCGACATGCGGCAAGCAGCGGTTTGTCCCAGATTATTTTTTTTTCGTCTGGCGGGATGACGGCTTATCGATAGCGTTATCTAATCGTACCCGCTTCCCTGCAGGAGCTCTCCAACACCACCATGGAGCTTGGAATGATCAACCGCGTTTGGAGACTATTATTATCTTCAAAACTGTGAATTAATTCCAGCCTACCTAGACGATCCTGAGAAACTTTGGCGACATCTCAGCGCCTCCATGTGGTCACCCACACACCTCGCAACATGACGAGACTCGGTCCATTGACCGCGCAGGCCCTAGTCAGTTCTCCCCAACTCACCACACGACCCAACTAACTCCCCCCCCAGGGCCGCTCGCCATTTGACGATGTGGTCGACGGCGAAGGCGACGATGACCCGCATGCACCCACCCAGCAGTACGACAACCGCGGACGACCAGTCAACCCCGAGACGAAACGGATGAACCGTGACATGGTTCGATCCCACAATGAAGTGATGCAGGTCATTGGCGTCGCCGAGCCGGATAACACGCCGACCACCGCCGATGTCGATTCGGTGCGACGGTACTTCAACTACGAGGATGCGGTGGGCACGCGGTTGCTGCGGTTCGGCCGCGCGCTGGAGATTGCCGGCGTCTGGGGTATCAACGGCATGCGACTGCGCATTCTCCTGTACAGGCGGTACGCCGACATTTCCTTCTTCGAGCTCTTCCAGCATGAGCGCAATCAGCGATCGGTATCATCCGCTCTCATGACGGGTCTGCCGACGTTTCTCGGCGGCCACGTCTTCAAGATGGCCACCTATTGGTTCTACCCCTACCCGAGGAAGAACAAGTTTGTCAACATGGCCCTGTCATACATCAGGGTACACCTACAGCTGTATGTCTTTCTCCAGAGGCTCGACATCATCCCCTCTGCGACATGGTTCCCTTCGTTGAGCTTCTTCATCCCGGGCTCGCCCTCGTCGCCCATCGCTGCGCCGGCACCGCCAAAGGACTTTAGCCCATCATCGCTGGTGCAGTATGCCGGCGCATGGTGTGTCAACTCGATTCCCTTTATTTCGTACGTCATCTGGGGTCAGATCTGGACCGAAGTCACAGGCCATCTGTGGCAAGAGTTCTACGGACGACTGCCAAATACCGTGCACCACCGCAAGCCTCCGCCGCCGCCGCCGCCTCCACTACCGCCGGTGACGATTCCGGAGACGCCGGAGCCGGTTCCCGACGTAGACCGTCAACAGCCCGAGCCTCTCTCTGAGCTGAGGGGCGAGGACATCCTCGAGGACATCCCCCCGGAAGCGGAACCTAGCGACACACCACCTGTCCAGGCAGTCCGCCGACCAAGCGCGTTCTCGGCTAGGGGAGACGACTACGGCAGCGATGACGAAGAGGACGGAGGTGTCAGTGCGACACTCATCAGCTTCGACGTGGAAGCGACAGACTCAACCGATGCGCCCCCCGGGCTTTGGTCCGCCGAGTTGCGACCAAGCACGGGGCCGGATTCTGGATACGGCGCCTCCATCCAGTACATGGACACCATGTTGACCAGACTGCCGGCGTGTCTTGCGTCGGACATCTTCACCGTCATCTCAGGCTACGTCCTGGTCTCGCCGTACGAAGCCGTCGCGCTGCGTCTGGTGGCGAGGTCCTACCGCGAGAGGATGGGCCTGCCCACCTTTGACATCCACGATACCAACATCTTTAGCGGCATGACGCTGCGGGGCGTGACCAACTTCCTCGGGCTGGAGTTCTTGCACCTGGTGATTGCGGGTGAGCTATGGGCTCTCATCACGGGTCTCGCGCAGTGGTTCCACATCACGGAGGAGGAGTGGAAGCTGTGGAATGAGATTGAGGAGGCCGAGGCTGCGGAGGAACGGAGGCGTCAGGGGCAGATTTAGGTGTGTGGCTTGGCGTTTGGGTGTAAAGTCACCTGGGTAGTATGGCGTCTGGCGTATGCATCACGAGATACCTCAAGTACAATAGTCTTTTCAACTCCTTCAACTGAGGTATTCGTAACGTTCGTTAAATTTGAGGGGTATCAACAGTGCACCGGTGGTTCAATCCGTCCCACAGCTAGATCATCTCTTCTGCTTGTCTTTTCCCTTCCTGAGCTTCTCCGCCTTTTGCTCCTCGACGAAATCGCGGACAATGTCAAGCAGGTCCGGGTTCTTCCGGGCCAGCAAGACGACGTCCTCCGTGTGGACTGTTGATCTCCGCGCGTGCCGACTGAAGCTCTCTAGGTCGGTGGCGACTGACTCTATGAAATGGTTAGCATCGCGGGGTTTCAGATCGACAAGTTTGTCAAGACGGAAGAGACGAGAGAGCTAAAGCTCACCAATCTGGGCCCAGACCATTTCGGTCAGCGCGCCAATGTACTGCGGCGTGGCGTTGCAGTTCTGTTTGATTGACTCCTCGTCGACGATCTTGCCAACTGCGAACCAGAGGGCAGCCTTGAGACGCTGGAAATGTTTGTCAGTAATGCTCATTTGGGTTGGGCAGGTAGCATAGGCACCTCGCGCTCGTCTTCGTTGGACAAATCTGCCATATTGACGGCGTCTGATGGGAGTCTGGATGTCTTTCCCACTTTACGCGACAGACGCGTCGCGGGGATTTGGCGGGAGGATACTGGACTGCGCAAGACGATCAAGATTTCGTCCGTTTGTCAATGCCACGACAGATCGAGAAGCCGTTCTACTCTCGATGTTCCAAAGAGATTCAGGCTATTCCTCGGTGGTCACACCGGCGGTCGACTGTTCGGAAGGTTGACCATATCGTCGAGAGCGGAACGGTCACATGATGTCGCGCCCCTTTCGCGAAGGTGATGACTAAGCTTTCCAGGCCTGAAGCTCCAGCAAAGGCTTACACATCAGTCCAGAGGGGCATCGCAAGACTGCCATTCACGATTCCTTGCCAACAGGCAATACATCAAGTCCGTTATAGGCAATTCCCGTCAGGATTTAAAAGGGAGATCCCTTAGTCACCGGTGGATTGGCGCTGACAGAGTGCTCCGAAGTTGTTGCCCGTCAGCGGATGCTTGGGGGGATCACCAAAGAAAACGCACTGTGACATCACTGGACGAGCCCCCTGTAAGACCCTGGGCCGGCCGCTGAGCCTCCACCGCCCAGCGAGGTTCTTCATTGCTGTGCCGTCAATTGGCCAAAGTTGGCGGGCTCCTTCAGGTGGGGCCTTGTGCGCAATTTTGACCGCGCGGGCCGGCTCTTCAACGTCGCGATATTTTTCCTCGGCCGTGAATTTCAATCCTCGTTTCTGCTTTCCTTCTGTCGCCGTCCCTTCGAAGCTACACCTATCGGAGCCAAACTACCCTACGCTCTCAATCAACTATCCTACGATCAATCGTCCGTTCGAGCGCACCTCGCGCAACCTCCAACCTACCATCAAACAATCAACCTACGGAAACCACCCCACCACCGCCAAGATGTCCGCCGTCATCAACCTCCTCAACACAATCTGGACACGCTTCAGCACCAACCTGCGCGGCACCCTCGAGGGCATGTCCGCAGAGAAGTGGATCCGCCTTGTCATCATTGTCGGCGCCTACTGCCTGCTGCGCCCTTACCTGATGAAGCTGGCCGGCAGCTCGCAGATGAAGCAGCACGAGACCAAGCCAGAGGACGAGTTTGACGGACCAAAGGCGAAAGTGCAACCCAACACGCTGCGCGGGCAGGTCGATATCCCCGGGGATAGCGACGACGAAGGCACCAGCCAGGCCACGGGCGCGACGTCGACGTCTACCGACTGGGGCAAGAAGGCGCGCAAGAGGCAGCGTGATGTGCTCAAGAAGATGATTGATGTCGAGGAAAAGAGGCTTGCTGAGCTGCAGGAGGACGATGAGGATAAGGACATTGAGGAGTTCTTGGTCAAGGAGTAGGGAGGTGTGGTTTGTTTGGAGCGGCTGTTGGATGGCGTTTTGGGCTCTTGACGGTTGATTAGCATCATTAATACCAATGTCGGTGCTCGGCTCTGCCTACCTGGTTATTTGCGCCGTCGTGATGAGGCGTTTGGATCCTGGAGCATGCACACGAGTTGATGCGATGTCACACGATGTCTCTCATACTTTATGGACCGTCGGTTGGACTACTCGGGTCCAGAAACCCCAAGGGATTATGCCCGAGGATGAACTCCTGTTGGACCTCGAATGCCATCAGATTCCGTCCCTTTGCCAGTGAGACCGTACTTGATGACTTCTCAGTGCTTCAACCCATATCTTCTAAAGACATTTCCTGCTGCGCATCCATCAAAGATCTCGGCCTGTGATCAGATTCATGCCCAGCCCATCTGCGCTGGCAGAGCCTCGTCAATCTGGCGACCTTGCTGACCACCAACGCTAAGACCAGCAGTACAACACAGGGATGGGAGTTCCACTAAACTTTCGTCCCCTGTGGCCTCCACTTGACCAATGCACCTCGCTGAACTGCACTTGCTCCAAGAAATCGACTTTCCAAACGCGTCCCACGGATCAAGACCCAAGAATCTTTCTTCTTCACTAGCATTCTCCAGCCCAATATTTCCCATTCGATGGCGATTGCGCCACGGGCGACAGTCTCTGATTGATTGCTCGTCGCTGAGCACTGACTACACCGGCTCGACAGACGCATGCGACGAACTGATTGCGACACCCGCTACAAACGTCAGGCGCAACGGCGAGATGGCTTCCGCACTGCCAGCCGCCATGGCTACTGCCTCATCCATCGACTCGGCCGCGGCAACGTCGACCGACTCCCCTCCTGCCTCCAAGAAGTTTAAGGCATCTGACCTCCCTCTACCATCCGCGACCAGAGCCGCCATCGAATCCCTGGCGCACAGCTTCAAGAAGAAGGGCGGATACGACGCCATTCGCAAGGAGGTCTGGGACAAGTTTGCAGCGAGCGTGAGTCTTGATTGACATCTCATCGCACGACAGACAATTAACCCACGCAGGATTACGAGGCCCAAGTCACGAAAGCCATCCTCGAGGTAGCCGAACAAGAAGTCGAACGCAACCCCGGCCAGCTCCTTACCCTCGACCGAGGTAAAGCCGCCGCCCTTATTGACGGTGCTCTCGAGCGCTCTGGCGTGTATCAAAAGGCAGAGCAGGTCATCACGCAACTCATCGACAGGGCGTCAATCGAGGAACGCATGCGACAGCTGCGCCGCGTTGACATTGGCGAAGACGAGGCTGCGGCAGAGCAAGAGCGGGGAGCCAAGACGGACGAAGACTACCACGCAGAGACGTTGGCGAAACAAGCCGAGCGTGAAAGGGTGCGCGAAGAACTGAGACAAAAGGAGGCCGCTATCGAAGAAGAGAAACGCAAGATTGCACGGGAAGAGCGCAAAAAGGTCGAAAAGGAACGCGAAAAGGCCGAGGAGAAGCGTAAGGCCGAAAGAGACGCCAGGCGGGCTGCCAGAGAGAAGCTCCAAGCAGAGCGTGAGGCCGAAAGAGAGGAGCGCCGCCGCCAACGAGACAAAGAGCGGAGCCGAGACAGAGACCGCGACCGCGACCGTGACCGAAGCCGAAGCCGCAGCCGCAGCCGCAGCCGCCGCAGGGATAGAGATCGCGATAGAGACCGTGATCGGGACCGCGACGACCGCGACCGTGAACGCCGGGAAGAGCGAGATCGCAAGCGTAAGGAGCGGCACGAAGAGACTGAGGAGGCCAAGCAGAAGCTTTCCCAGGAGCAGCTCGAACGACTCGAACAGGAAGCCCTTGCGGATCTACTCCGAGAGAGCAAGCGAAGCACGGCAAAGCAACCCGAGTTGGAGATTGACGAAGCGCTGGCACCACCTCCTAGGAAACTGGCTCCCGCGTCTGCAATTATGCCCTTCAAGAAGGTTGCCTCCTCGCGAGACTCGCAAAAGGCCTCAGAGTCGAAGAAGGCTGTAGAGGTGAAGAAGGAAGCTCGGGATGCCAGCGTCGCTGCGACACCAAAGGCCGATGCACCGGTTGTCAAGGCTAGAAGCCGCAGCCGGTCACAGGCGACTGGCAAAGACCGTGAGAAGGACAAGGACGGCGATGACGATAGACGACGGACCAGAGATGACGACGACCGCCGCAGACGTGATCGTCGGTCTAGATCTCCCAGACCGCGTGATCGATCTCACGATAGACGTGACAGGTCGCGGTCAAGACCCCGACGCGATCGCAGCAGGTCTCGTCGGCCCGAAAGGCGGGAGAGAACTCCCTCACGCACTCGATCCAAGACTCATCGTGACCGCAGCAGATCCCGCACCCGCCACGACCGCCGCGACAGGAGTCGATCTAGATCTCGCGACCGGAGAGACCGCGTTCGCACCGACAGGCGAGACCGGAGTCGCTCACGCCGCCGCGAGAGGAGCCGGTCCCGGGCACGCACCGATCGCAGAGACCGCAGCCGTTCTCGTGTAAGGGCCGACCGCCGAGACAAGTCACGCTCCCGCTCCCGGACCCGCACGGAAAGGAGAGACCGAAGCAGATCTCCACGGCCTGACCGGCGCGAATCGATCCGTCGTGAACGCAGCCGCTCTCGCCCTCGCCGGGACCGCTCTTCCGACCGGAAGCCCTCTGAGCGCGATCGCAAGAGTCGGTCTCGCTCGAGGCAGCCTTCTCCGGCCGTGCGATCTACTCCCAGGCTGGAACGAGACAAGGACGAAAAGGAGGCTACTAAGATGGTCGAGGTCCGCAAGCGCGAAAAGGAAGCCAAAGCGTACCTTGCCGCACAGCGTGAGGCTCGGGAGAAGGGCATGCCGGTCCCTGGGATCGACGATAAGAGAAGCACGGGGGATCGCTCGCCGGAAGCAAAACGCAGGCGCGACCTGGATGAGATTGATCGGTATGTGCCCCCCGGCAGAGACCGAGAGCGGCCTCACGACCTGGCCCGGGATGACGAGCGTCGTCGGAGTCGCTCGCGCAGCAAAGATCGCGAGCGGGATAAGGACAGAGATCGCGTCAGGGACAGGGATCGCGATCGTGATAGAGAACGCGATCGAGACAGGAGAGACAGAGACCGCTCTAGAGATCGCTCTAGAGATCGACGGGACCGAGACAGGGCTAGGTCAAGAGATAGAGATCGGGATAGGGACCGCGATCGTGATCGTGATCGTGACCGCCGCAGCCGGAGAGACCGCAGCGTCTCGTCGCGGCGGGATAGACGCGACCGAGACCGGAGCCGGAGCCGCCGAAGGAGTAGGAGTCGCTAGTTGCCTCTGCGCCCGGCAGGTTAGGTTATTTGTTTGGCCAAGGAGGGTTAATGGGAGTGCCGGCCTCGGGTGCGAGTACGGGTACCGGATGACGTTGGGTCGTCTTGGGCGTGAATAGGGTTTATGGAACATCATCACATGGCTCACTATGGCATAGGGCTGGGACTGTGGCATCGGTAGTATCAGTAGCATCAATCGCACAACGATAGCCCGGAGGATATGCGTATCCAAGTGAAGTTCAATTCTGCTGTGGAGGCTTGCTCCTAGCCGTGGGTAGAAATCAGGCTGGACATGTGGCAAGTCTGCCGTCTCTGATATGACCCGCCGCTCAACTCACTCCGACCTAACGCAACGGTACGGCGGCTAGCTTCCGGACCGGAAACACCGCGCCGAATATACCCACAAAAAGCGGTCTCGACCCGGACAAACGACCGGAAACCCGGAAGCACAGGGATTGGCTCAGACCCGACCGCCCGCACGGCGCGAGCTGTCATGGAGAAGACGCGGCAGGGCGAAGGAGACTCTTGCGGGCGGGCGGCGTATCCGAGAGACCTAGAACCCTGCGTGGCATCCTGCCTCTATTAACGCCCACGCCACGCCAACGCTTTCACTGCACAGTAAAACCAACGAGTGATGTTCCTCAAGATGATGGGCACGAGAGACCTTTCAACTTTCCCACCATTTCGCCTCATTGCATTGCCTCAGACAAGCGCAATCCTCCCCCGAATTCATTTTCTAATCCCAGACTACAGTGATGGAAACACGAGGCGTTCGGATGACTGCGAAAGGAAAAGAGAGAGCCACACTAGCATGACTCAAAAGGCTCAAACACACTGTCTGACCCCATCAGCTGCAAGTGAGTGCGAGATTCGGGGCAGAACTTTTCGGTTTCGCGAAGCACATTGACACACAGCTCTGAGGCGTCGAAAAAAAAAATCAAAGTTTCCCTTGCAACACAGCAAATTGGGACCCCCCAATTTCCTGTAAACCCCGTCGGAAAACCTTACTCTGTACATAGCCTTGCCTTCTTTGAGACGATGACACGTTGACCTGGGTCGAATCCATTCCCCAAACGCCTTTGTCCGCGGCTGTTTCGAATAACCGTAAGTTTGTAGCTCCCTTTACGGAGTAGACAACGTCGCAATGCCTATATGCCTCTATGCTACGCAGCCACCCAAAGAAAGAAGTTAAAAACTCGGGCAAGGTATCAAACCAGCTTCCTAATCGGTTCGGCATGGTCATCATCCCCAGTCCACTCGCCCTCTCTGTCCTCTCAAGTCTCACCGCACCCTCACTTTAAGGTTTCCCAAACACACTATAGCATGTTGAAATCTTCCCTGAAATAGCTATGCATCCCAATGACGCGGTCCAGGGTCCAGCCCTGCTACCGTTGGATCAAATGGCGTAGCCGGTGGGCGGCCCTACAAAGATTGCAAAGATCTGTGTGGGCCAAATCCCCAAAACGTCGTCTCAGGAAAAAAGGTCCCGGCGGTTCCGTCTGGGGAAACTCTATTCTGGCTTCTTGGAACATCATCTGAACTTTCTTTCACGGAGGACTCCGTTCACTTTCCCAAAGTTGCCGGCGGACGCGCAATTTTGCTAGGTATACAGTCCGCTTCTGCGCGCGCAGCTGTGCCGTTCAATCTTGTCACGCTTGGCACTGTCACCGCGTAGCTCGCAGATGGGGGCAAGCCGAGGATGGTGTTATTCAACATGGGCAGGCAAGTCATGACGGCTTCATAGCTAAGATGAAGATGAGCGGCAGAATAGATTGGAATGCCGCGATATTAAATAGTACAAAAAAAAAGTAGACAGGAAGAAAAGACTGTCTCTGCAAGTCCCTTCCAACGGGCCACATGTTATCCAACGCCCCCAAACGCCTGTAGTCCAAGTCTTCCCACCCAACCACACGCCTCGAAGTAGCAATCAAGCTGGGGGAGTTGAGGTGTCCTTGGGAGTGTAGTCCCTAAAGTTACCATTGAGCGGATCGCGGTCGAGCAGGTATTTGAACTTTTCCGAGTTGCGCTTGACGTAGTCCGGCACATCGTGGTTCTCCTCAATGCGGTCAAAGTTGGACTCGCCTCGGCCGAAGCTGTCACGTGTTAGTTTACCGTTAAGGTCAAGGGACATAACCACTTACATGTCGTGACCGCGACGTGCCACGGAAACAATCCAGTCGGGGTCCTTGAACTCGGGCTTGTTGAGCTCTACGTGGGAAAAGGAGTTGATCTTCTGAGCCATCTCCTCGACGGTGCTGAAGCAGTAGCTGCAGTGCCAGCCGCCCTGGTTGAAGTGGTGGTCCTGTGCGTTGTGGCGAAGGTCATGGGGGAGGACGGTGTCGACGCCGCGGTAGACGGTGGCCTGGGGGTGGTTCCAGTCGTTGCGGGAGAGCCACTGGTACGAGTAGTAGTAGATCTTGGAGTGGATGGAGACACGGGGCGGGATCTCGCAGTTGCGCAGGGCGCGGAGGACCTCGGGCTTGGGGATCTCGTCCACGTCGGAGACGATGAGGATATCGTCAATGGAAGCCTGCTGCGCGCCCTCGAGAGTGGGGATGACCTGCTCGTACATGGCGTTGCGGCTCTTGGCCTCGCGGTCCCATGTGCTGCTCTCCTTGAGGGCTTCGAGGTCCATCTGACGGAGAATCATCTTGTCGTGCCACGGCTTGAAGAGGTCCCAGTTCTCCTTGATGTACAGCGGCTTCTGGTTGTCGGTGAAGGTCAAGGCCGACTCGAGAATGACAAAGTAGTCGACGTAGGGAGCCATCTGGCCCAGCCGGACCTCGAGCATCTCAACCTCGGTGTTGATGAGGAGCAGATCGTACACCTTGCGCTTGCGGACCAACTCAGTGTTGGCCGGCTTCAAGCGGAAGTGGTCACAGTACTCGGCGGCCTTTGCGGGAGGGAGGACCTCGCTGCTGCCGGCTTTAGCGAGACCATCGTACGGCGTGCTGTTTGGGTGTGTGATCTTGCGGGCATGCTCGGCAACCTCTGTGTGAAGATCGAGGCGCCAGACGAGCCAGATGAAAACGAGGGAAGCAATCACGGCCAGATACTTGATCTGGTGACTTGCTGTTGGTTTGCTCAACATGGCTGCGGTGGGTATAAGCAAAGTGACCGGGAAGAAGGTGGAAAGGGAAGGATGCCCCGTGAGAAAACCGCTCAAACCTTGAGCTCTCAAAGATGAACAAGACCACAGAGAAGAGAAGACGGAGACCGGCAAACTATCGGCCAAATTGTGCGAGCAGTGAAATAGAAAATGAGCGAGGTGAGGGGTACAAGCTGAACTTGTTGAACTCTGCCAGGGACACAAGTTCGGTTGGCCTGAGCTCCTTCAAAGTTCAGACCTGGCGCCGTATCTGAGTCGTTGGTCTCGAACATTTCAGAGGTCAATCCTATAAGTGTCTTCGCCCATCATGCTTGTACATTCATAAGCCCGCCGAGCTGAGGCCCCCCTTGAGTCTGGGCAGGGGTCACGCCGTTGTGTTGGAGCCCTTTCGGCGCCATGCCATTCGAGAACGTGATAGCGAGAATGTAATCATCGAACGCATTCCTCGTGGCGGAGAGGGCGATGTTGCGATTGACGCCAAGTTGAACCCACATACAGCCGCAGGAACGTGTAAACTCGCGATGGTACGGGGCCATCATCCATTCGTACGAAGTAGACGGGACGAGCGGACGGCTCAAGAGGGAGGGTTGACGTGCATCAGACCCTGGATCGGTGTTAGGATGAGCATTTCGGGCGGCACTGGCATGCAGATACTATTCGCACGCATACTTCCGGTGGGGAGGCCGCGCCGCTGCAGTGTGAATGTCCTCATTCAGAGCCGATGCAGAGGGCAGCCATGCCATCTTGGCGCGTAGATAACGACATTCAGTAGTCGACACTTGTCAAGACTCAAAGACTATCCCTTGATCTGCCCTAGCACGCCTAGCCTCTCCGTTTGTCTGGGTATGGTTGTGGACTATTGACTGCGGTCCATAGACTCTATCCGTACGGAATACCGGTGGACCCAGAGGCGAGCCCTGAGGTTGCAGGCGGGACGGTGCGGGATCCTCGGAGAACGAAACACTGGAGACAACCATGTCCGAGGTCTTTGCAAGATTGCTGTGCTCTCGCCTTGTGGCCGTATGGCCGTGAGCAGATGGTGGGCTTGGAGCTGAAGAGCAAAAGAAAGAAAGGCGGCGAGTCACAGGCCATGATCAGGATGGTAGACCAGAACTTGCAGAATGGCGGGCGCACTTTGTCATGATTGTGGTGTTGTGTTGTGAACACATTTCGATGGTGGCCCGAAGATGTCTCGATTGACGTTCAGCTTGTCTTGTGATGGACATGGGTTGAGCCTCACCACCTTGGTCAGTCTGACAAAGAGAAGATGAGCTAGATGTCTGTCATCCCAACGCCGGCCACAATGTCTTGGATCCCGAGAACCGGGTCGAATTTGTGTTGGCAGCCAAGGGAGCTTGCCTTCTCCCAACATTCCGGCCATGGCAAAATGGGGTTGGAATGTGGATACCGAACGATGAAGCATTACATCGTGGTGGATGATGATGGCTGTAGTGTTGATGGCGACGAGAGCCGTGGGTAATGCAATGGAGCGTGGGGGACATTGAGGCCACTACATAGTAGACAGCTTGGTGGATGGTAGCACAAGTCACGGGCGATCCCTCCGTTACACAAAACCGGTCGGTGCTTGTGCAACCTCGCCAACTCGCTTCCAACGCTTTGGTTACCTAAGCTTACCTAAGGTTCTTACCCAAGGGCCTTACTTAAGCGGTACTTGTAGTACATTTGTGCCAATGTACCCGATGATCTAAGGATGCAGGAGATGAGAGCGCTAAGTTTAATGCTTCCCCCTGGCCTCTGAGCTTAATTAAAACATGACAGGCGATGGACGGCCAGCGGCACAGGCAGCGCCCCAGCACCAAGTCGTCAATCCGCTGCATCGCGGGGCCGAGCCAAACAAACTCTCAGGGATTGGGACTGCCCTGAGGAACACAATTCCGTGTAAAGTACGGAGTAAGGTACCTACTATTACTGTGTAGTGTAGAGAGAACGGAGTGGTGTTTCCCCTTTTTTCGCGTTACACGGACCCCCCCCTTTGGCTCAGCCGTTGTGTCTTGCTTTGTGCGGCGTGCCTTTGTCTCCCTTGCAAGTCCCAAGCCCGTCAGCACTCATCTCAAGCTTTCAAGCGCTTCTTGACTTCTCTCCCCCTTCCCTCTGATCATCACCACTCTGTACGGAGTACTGCAACTCCCGCTGTCATTTTCCCTTCCTCATCCGAACACCTCCACTCTTTCTGAATCCCCTTGAAAGCCTCGATATAAATTGCCTGCCACAAGGTTCATTGGCAAATTCCATCGCTACCTATTGCACGACACGTTGCTCTTTTGAGTCTTCTCTCTACGAAGTACCTCTGCAGTCTGAGGACCCGACCGCAGTCCGGACGCAGCCCATCTCTCCGAACAATCGCCAACTCTTCAGAATTGTGTCGTGATCGTAACATCTTCCGCTTCATCAACTCTGCCGACTGCCGGACTGCTACCAACATCAACTAGGTATTGCAACACTCCAACCACAACCACAACCAAAGACTGGACAGACTAGGGACGACCAGGGTCTCACTTCGCTCCCTCCACGTGCCGGCCGCCCGACTTTAGCGCCCCCCCCCCCCCCCCTTCTCCGCCATCCTTTTTCAAGCCCAGTGGTCAGTCAGCCCAGTCCAATAAGGTGCCCGTACTATTTCGTACCGTCGCCAGGTACATTGCAGCCAGCAGAAAATACGAGAACATCCACGCTGCGGAAGGGAGCTCCTTCGGGTCCCTAAGATTCCTTTCCTCCTTCGTGCAAAGGTACCGTATCCGTACTGCAGGCACCAGTCCAACAAACGGCGCAGCGCTTCAAACATCCGCCTGCCGCCACACACCTTGTAGTAGTCTTCACCCTCTTCTGTTCCTCTATTCATCCTCCGTGCCTCTCTCACGCTTTTGTCGCCTCCTTGACCTGCAAGGTAGTTCGCACTTTGCATCCTTCCCTCCTCCTCCCCCATCTTTTCTTCTCGTCTTTCCTTGTCGCTTTCTGTCGCGTCGCTGCTGCACTCCATCTCTCATGCCTTCCGTCTGACGCAACAACCCCCATCCTTTCCTTCCCATCCGACGCACCCGGCCCACCACCGACTCCAGTCCCGTTGTCTACCGCCGTCTCCGTCGCCGTACCTTCCGACCACCCGCCGTCGCTTGGCCTTCTCACCGTGCAACGCAACCATGAGTACGCTGCCGACCACCGAGAAGCCTGTGGGCTCCAAGGCTCTTCACCCGGCCTTCTTCATCGCGTGCGTATTCATCGTCAGCCTCGCCGGGTTCTTACTAACACTTCCATAGGAGCTGGATCTTCTTCTCAAACTTGACCATTCTCTTCAACAAATGGCTTCTTGACACAGCCGGCTTCAGTAAGCACCCTTTCGTCCCTCTCGTTAACCATTGCTAACCACCCGCAGAATACCGTACGTCCCGTCACCACCTGACCCTCATTGCTCCCACTGATATGTCCCAGCCGTGATCCTCACATTCTGGCATCTCGTCTTCTCCACCCTGGCGACCCAGGTGCTAGCCCGCTTCACCTCCCTCCTCGATGGCCGCCACAAGGTCAAGATGACGGGCCGCGTCTACCTGCGTGCCATCATGCCCATCGGCGTCCTCTACTCGGGCTCCCTCGTCTGCTCCAACCTGGTGTACCTCTACCTCTCCGTCTCCTTCATCCAGATGCTCAAGGCCGCCGCCCCCGTCGCCGTCCTCTTCACCAGCTGGGTCTGGGGCGTCGCCGACCCCTCCATGAAGACCTTTTACAACATTCTGCTCATCGTCGGCGGTGTCGGCCTCGCCTCCTTTGGCGAAATCGAGTTCTCCTGGATCGGCTTCATCTTCCAGATGGGCGGCATCATCTTTGAGGCCATCCGTCTCGTCATGATCCAGGTCCTCCTCAAGGGCGACGAGAACGCTCAAAAGATGGACCCCCTCGTCAGTCTCTACTACTACGCGCCCGTCTGCGCCGTCATGAACTTCTTTGTTGCCTGGTTCAGCGAGTTTAGCAAGTTCAACGTCGAGGACTTCAACAAGGTCGGCTTCACCATGCTGCTCCTCAACGCCAGCGTCGCCTTTGCCCTCAACATCTCCAGCGTCTTCCTCGTAAGTCTGCCGTCTCCATGCCTACATGGCCCATACTGACAAGACCCCCCAGATCGGCAAGACGTCAGGCCTCGTCATGACCCTCACCGGCATCCTCAAGAACATCCTCCTCATTGTCGTCTCCGTCCTCATCTGGCACACCAGCATCACCGCCCTGCAGTTCGTCGGCTACGCCGTCGCCCTCTTCGGCCTCGTCATCTACTCCACCGGTTGGGACCAGCTCAAGGCCTCGGGCGCCGGCGCCGTCGCGTGGTCCCGCAACGTCTGGAACTCCCACGCTCTCGACGAGGGCCGTCTCTCGCCCCTCCTCCGCCGCGCCATCTTCTTTGGCCTGCTTACGCTGATCACCCTCATGGTCGTCATGGGCTTCGCCTACAAGGGCGCCGCGGCGCCGGCCGACTGGTTCGCCAAGGTCAGTACCGCCAGCACGTAGATGCCTTACTTTTTCCTTTATTTCCAATCATCAAAGCCTGGAGTTTTGGGACAGCGCGTTGTGTACAAAGAGAAGACATTTGGAGTTTGGAAAATGCGTGACATTGGACGGGAGGGGGGAGTGATGGCTGGCTTTTCAAACGCGCGGGGTTTTTGGGTGGCCTTTTGGGTCTAGGCCACTCTTGTAATATTGTATGTCATGAGCAGCAGATATCAAAAGCCCAGCTTTAGAATACATGATCTGAATGAAGTGCCCTCCCCGTCCCTATGAACCATCGAGTCTCTGAACCCGCAAGACGGAGTAGCGTCTAGGCGATGGGCAGAAGATCAACATCGCGATCCATTGGCCTATCACAAGGTTCGTGACCTGCAGCCAAGGCTTACTAAACTATGGAGATTCAACCCAACAATCGCCCATCTCCTCTCGCACGTCGCGTGTCATTGCATTCGCGCGCAGCGTACGCAGCGAGGAAGCCCCTTTTCTTCACAATATTCAGAGACGCCACGAAGTAAACGGAGCCGACTGACTGATGCCACACAGCCTCAACTACACATATCTCAACACCAATCTTTCCCATCGCAAACCCCTTTCCGAGAACCTACGTAGTAGCTATACCAGTCACCCCACCCAAAAAATGAACTTCACAACCCACCTCCTAACCACCAACCAACCCCTCTACCTCTCCTCCACAACCTCCGCCTTCCTCGCCGCCGCCGCGCGAGGGCAAGTCCCAAAGTCCATCCTCGGCCGCTGGCTCGCAAACGACAGGCTCTACATCCACGCCTACATCAAAGGCGCAGGCCGGCTCCTCGCGCTGCTGGACCTTCCAGACATCGTTGCCACTGCTACTCCCGAAGCAGGAGGTCAAGAGGATGCCTCCGAGCTTGACGCTGGCTCTGCCACGGTGACGGAGAGACTCCTATCATGGCTAATCGAAGCCCTCGTCAACGTCCGCCGCGAAGAGAAGTTCTTCGTCGACGTTGCTTCGCGCTTCGGTGTTGATGTCAACTTACCCGCTGCGCACACGTCCGAGAGTAGTGGTGCTGATAGTGACCGGCGGGTGAGCAGCGAAGACAAGAACGCAGGCCTACGCGCCTTTGAAAGACTCTTCAGCGCCATCGACATCACATCTCCTCCAAGTGCACTTCTCCCCTGGCTCGCACCAGCCGTCCTCTTCTGGGCCACAGAGAAATGCTATCTCGAAGCTTGGTCCGGCGCAAAGGGTATGATTCCTTCGTCTGCCCCTGCGACTTCTACCTCTGCGGCTTCTACCTCTGCTACGTCTGCCTCTGGCACCTCTAGCACTAATGCGACTACGTCTGGCAAAGACACAGACACAGACCTAGACGGCGGCGCCCTAAGAACGGAATTCATACCCAACTGGTCCAGCCCCGAATTCAGAGCCTTTGTAGACCAGCTCGCCGCCATCATCGACGACGGCGTAGACGAAGCCGTCCAGCTGCACGGCGAGGCAGCAATCAAACCCGAACTGGAGCGGGCTTCGGCGATGTGGAGAGAGGTCTTGTTAGCGGAGAACGACTTTTGGCCTGGGGAGATGGAGGAGGGTGGTTTGCGAAGTGTTCCCTCTGCTTAAAGCTCACGCTCATCACACGCTCAACTTCATCAGACCCTCACTTTCAACTGTGTACTGAATTAAGCTATGATCATTACCCGATCCCCATGACCTTAGTAGCCAGAGCAAATCCCCGGAGCTCAGTAACCGCGCCGCGAGCGCATGGTATTACCGCGGAGTCCCAACGCCGTTCGCTATGCTGTAAAATCGACCAAAAATAAAAAAAAGCAACCATGTGCCCCGCTTTACCATGTTGAACCAAGCACTCAGACGGCAATCATCTGCGGTCCTCGCTCGGTCTGGTTCTCTGCCAATTCATCGTCTCCATCAGCCGGCAACGGCACAGACCGCGCCTGCGAGACGTCTCCCTCAGCAACCGCCACCACAGTGTCGGCCGCCGACATCTCGTTATCTTCTTCATCTTCCGAAACCTCCTTCACCGTGCAGGTAAAGGCGGGCTTCTCCACCTTTGGCGTCTCCTCGTCCTCTGCGTCCATCGCGTCTACGTCCTGAGCCGCCACAGCCTCCACGGCGGCAACCTCGGACGAGGGAATAATATTAGGGTCGACACAGTCGTAGAATAGCATGAAAACGTTGCCCTGCGCTAACAGCTCCTCTTCGTCAACCTTGCGAAGCGTGTCGTCGCTGAGGCGCCACCAGTCCATCTCCGCATCGGGATCGTCATCCAGGGTCTCCAACTTGGGCGAGGTAACCTCGTCGCCATCGCTCGGCGGTGAGTGTCGAGGGAACTTGCGGTAGCAGACGTAGTGTCCGTTTTCATGACGACCATAGTGCGTGACAACGGCCCGCAGCTCGTAAATCGGGCCGGTGATGTACGACTTGCGCTTGTCGCCGGCAATCATGGAGGACCGCGGATCCAACAGCCATTGCTCTTCTTCCTCCTCCAAGACCGGCGAAGCGGATCCGTCAGGGGGACTGCGGCCTCCCGTTTTGCTGGCACTACCCAGACACCACGGGCCGAGGTCCAACGTCAGGGGGAATCGAATCCCCGACGAGTTCTTGTACATCATTCCAGTATTCTCGTCAAACACTGACCTGTTCATGTGGACGGCAAGACTCTGCGGCGGGCGAGCAATGACGGCCTGTTTCGTCTTTATTGACGAGACTTTGAAGTTGGAAGGGAACTTGCACTTTTCCGTGAGCGTCTTGTCCTCGAAATCATCCTCTTCCAGCGCCTCCTCAACGGCCGCCAGTCGCAACTTTGGCTCCTTGAGCTTCTGCTCGTCAGTGTACGATGCTTCCGCTCTCTCGACGAGGAGGGTCAGCAGTCTCTTTGCTTTCAACAGCGTGCATTTGCCGCATTCGACGCCCTCAATGGACTCGATATGGGCGTACGCGTCCAGCAGCTCGTACAGATCGTGATCGTTGCCACCCACGTTCAAACTGAGAGTGAGGCAGTTGAAGGGGATCATGGAGAGTCCATCGGAGTGCCCACACTCCACGCAGGCCACCCGCTGAGCGATGAGCCCCTCGAGGGGATTCCTCAGGGATTTGGAAGCCGCGCTAATCTTGGATGCCGTCGACAGACTTTGATAGCCGCTGTCGTCGCTATGCTGGCTCGTCGCAGTATCATCGTTGGCGCAATCTGATTCGAATCCCGATGTCTTGACCATCGCCTTGGCCACCTTTGCAATCTCCCGGTCGACCTCGTCGAGCAGCTTTGAAAAGTATTCCTGCGCATCCTGCTGCTGCCACGTGCTCATGTTCTTGAGCGAGCCTGGCGTCCACAGCGTCTTGCCGTAGTTTCGAGCGCTGTTGAGGTCCTCAATCAGGTTGCGCAGGGTGTCGACGGCCTCGACTTTGCGGCGGTCAATCTCGGGGTCCTGGACTGGATCGGCCAGGTATTTCGGAAACGGCTTCAGCGAGGCGAGCCCTTGGAGAATGCTATTCTGGTAACACGAGTTGTCGAGGTTGCCCAGGCCCGGCGGGTAGTTGCTGGAGCCCTTGAGGCTCATCATGGCCCCGGAGACGGACGACAGCCCTCGAATGCTGGCTTGCGAGACCGTCCCCATGATGCCTCCCTGTCTGTCCATGCCGAGAATCTTTTTCAGGAGCGCACTCTTGGCCGCATGTGTTCTGGCTTGGTTCTGGAGCATCGGTCGCGGAACGAGCGGCGGGTGCAGCCAGGCTTCCAGAAGGGTCAAGGCGTCGTGGGGGATGAGCCAGACGATTACGTGCCAGAGGGTCCGAGAGGCGTGGGAGAGTAGGGTGGTCGGAAGGGAAGCGCCGAACACAGAGACGAGCGCTGTGAGGACGAGTGCGAAGAGAGACACGACGACGCTCGGCTCCGTCAGCCTCGTCCAAATGGTCTCGTCGGCGTGAAGTCGTCGGTGGTAGTCGGGTCCGCCGTAGGAGTGCTTGGTCGGGAGGGAATTCATAGTCGGGGTTGTGTACTGGTGCTGGTGGGATTTCGAAAGGGACAGCTTCAGGCGAGCTTCTGCAATGCAATATCGGAGAGGCCGCGCGCTGCCATAGCGAGGAGGGTAATTGAGAGGTGTCCAGTCGTGGCGATGCTCGCTGATTAAGTGGTTGTGGGTGAGTAAGGCCCTGGAATGTCTGCACGGATGGTGTTGAGGTGTCGCACAGCAGTGCAGCGCTCGAGACGGAAAGTAAAGACAGCAAAGAAAGATGAGCGGGACCAGGGGTTCCACAGGGGCAAACGCTGCGACAAGGATTGGTCAGAGCGCGCGTGGCTCCAACCTGGAAGGCTTGTGATCGTCTCCGCTGCTATCGCGATAAGATAGCATGCACCTCGATAAGGAATTTTATATCCCCCACACCGCGGGCGAGTCTTGAGATGCAGTCTACACCACCTGGACACCCAGAACTCGACAAAACGATTGCAAAGATGGCGAAACCGAGCGTTTCCAAGAAGAACAGACGTGAGCATTGTCTATTTACATGCAATGATGTCGTACTAACACAATGCAGAACCCTCGGTCCACTCGAGAGCCGCAAGGCGCGCGACGGACATCGACATCGATACCGACAAGTCTCTCAAGGAAGTCAAGGCCCCAGCCGCCGCGACCGACTTGCGGCCGTCGGTCCTTAACGCCCAGCACAACTCTGGCGTGTCCAAGAAGACCAAGAACCGTAAGGCGCAGATGAGCGCCAAGGCCAAGGAGAGGAAAGAAAAGGCCGCCGACCGCGCCGAGGCCATCATGGGGCGAACCTCGGAAAAGACGGAGAAGAGCAAGACCAAGGCGCGGAGGATCCAGACGCGGAGCAAGCAGTGGGAGGACATCAATAAGGCATCCATCGTGGCGAAGAAGTTCCCCGACGAGGAGGATCTCGAGGTGGAGCAGAGGCAGACGAAGAGCAGGACCGTCGAGGTGCCTGCTGGCAAGGACTGGGAGACAGACGAGGAGATGGACGGCGCTGATGACGATGTCACTGCCCCTGCGCCCGTTGCTGCTGCTGCATCGGCGCCTCCCCCGGCAAATGACGATTTCGACGAGGAGATTTTGTAGTCCGATGTCAGTTTCTGTTCAGGTTGCCCCGAGAGGTGGTCCTCGGGCTATGAGACTCATGATAGATACCCAATGATATTGACCATGCTGCCACACATATGCAGGCCCTTAAACTCTTCGAAAGCCTCCATGCTTTTTTCCACGCCCATCTATGTTCCTCCGCCTCCGGTCAGTCACGCACTTGGACGTCCAGGTTGGAGGGGTCAAAAGCTCTGCGGCGGCGCCAGGTCCACTAAAAACGCTAAACTTACAGGGCCACTCAGCGGGGAAACACTTGTGCAGTTCCGTCCCCAATCCGCCAGGGGACCCGAGGTACCTGAGCTGAAAACGCTACCTTGCGGCCTCGATTTTCAACCGGACGTCATCAATCCAATTCAACCACCCACACAACCCCAAGATGCCACCCAAGCGCATGACCGCGAACCCGGTTAAGCCAGGACGCTACTTCCCGGGCAAAGCCGTCCCCCAAGAGGATTCATCAGATTCAGACGCGAGCGACGATGAGAAGGCAGACGACAACACAACCAAAGCTCGCGCGATCCCGCCGCCGCCAAAGGCATCGAGCGCCGCCAAGATCGCCAGCAATCTCAGCAAAGTCAACCTCGACGAACGGAGGCGCGAGGCGCAGGAGAAGGAGAACCAGAGGATAGCGCGCGAAAAGGCGGAGCGGCTCGCGGCGGAAGAGGGTTTCGTCACGGAAGAGGAAGAAGATGAAGACGAAGCCGACGAAGAGGGAGACGAAGAAGAAGAGAGCTCCAGCGAGGAGGAAAGCAGTAGCGAAGAAGAAGCCCCCCGCAGACTCATGATTCGCCCCAAATTCATCCCAAAGAACCAACGCAACGCCGCCAAGGGAGGAGGGCAATCCTCCGCCTCCGCGCCAAAGGACGACGAGACGCGCCAAGCAGAAGAAGAAGCCCGCCGCAAAGCCGCCGCCGACGCCCTCGTCGAAGAACAAATCGCAAAAGACCTTGCCGCCCGCGCCGCCGGTAAGAAGCACTGGGACGATGACGAAGCATCGGGCTCCGACGTCGACACGACAGACGAGCTCGACCCGGAGGCCGAGATGGCGGCCTGGCGCCTCCGCGAGCTCAAACGCGTGAAGCGCGAGCGCGACCGTATTGCCGAGCAGGAGGCCGAGTACGCTGAGCGTGAGAGGCGTCAGAACCTGACGCAAGAGGAGCGCGACGCCGAGGACGCAGATAAGATTGCTGCGCAGCAGGACGAGAAGGATGCCAAGGGCAAGATGTCGTATTTGCAAAAGTACTACCACAAGGGCGCGTTTTATAGCGAGGAGGCGAAAGCGTACGGGCTTGATAAGCGTGACCTCATGGGCATGCGCATCGCGGACGATGTCAAGGACCGGAGCGCGCTGCCGGAGTACCTTCAGAAGCGCGACATGACGAAGCTGGGTAGGAAGGGAGGAACAAAGTACAAGGATCTCAAGAGCGAGGATACAGGCCGATGGGGCGAGTTCGATGACCGACGCGGCGGCGGGGGTGGTGATCGGAGGAGAGGTGGCTTCGACAGGCACGATGTGGACGAGCGGTTCCGGCCGGATAACGACCGCGAGGTCAACGGTGCCAACGCCATCCCCTTGGGTGACCGCAAGGCGCCTTCTGGAGGCAGAGGCGACCGCGACAGGTACCGCGACGATGACCGGCGCGGGGGAGACAGGGACGACCGGCGCAGAGACAGGGACGACTACCGCCGTCGCGATCGGTCACGCTCGAGGTCACCACGCCGCGACTCGCGAGACGACTACAGGGATAGGCGGAAGCGCAGCCCCTCCCGCGAGAGGGAGCGCTACGACAGCGACAAGCGGAGGCGCGTGGACTCTAGATAACCGTATCGTCGTTTTAAATGTATTAAGAAGCGTATCCTAACCAGGCTCACTATGAGCGCATGCTGAATATACCCCCCCTCCCCCAAACTCCGAGGCCCTAAAGGAAAACCCTGCCGTCATACACGTCATGTAGGTGCGCTTCAAATCTTTTTGATCTCCACCCTTGCGCGCTCAAACACGCCGTGGCTCACCATTGCCCCCGACTGGCCCGCATCGGCCTTGGGAGGGAACAGCGTCAGGCGGGCGTACGTGCCGGCGCCGCGTCTCTTCGACAAAGAGCCTGGGTTGATCACGAGGACACTCTCGACGACCTACTTCTGTCAGTGTAATTCCACAGCAACGGGTCGATAGGACTCACCTTGGCAAACGGGGGCAAGAAGCTAGGCGCCACAAGCACATCAGGGCGAACATTGACCATCTCGCCCAACTTTAAATAACTAAGATCCAGCATGGCACCAGGCGGGATCCCCTCCTCGGTTCCCGTCTTGGGCAGCTTCTGGCGGTCCGTTGGCGGGAAGAGGGGGAAGAAATGCCTCTGCTCTAGCAGGTACCTACTCAGCCTCGACAACAAGGACGGATCTGACGGACGACCGCCGACGAGCTCCTCGTGCCGCAGCTGCCAGAGGATATCCTGCGACGAGATGCCCATGACCATCTCGTTGACGGACAGCGTCATCGGGTTGGTGACGATCCTCGCCGTCTTGGGAAGGCCGAGCTCCTTCTTCAGGACCGAGTCCTGCGGCCACGAGACGTGCTTGTCAATGACGTCGCGCACCGACGGCACGAGGAGGATTGTGATGCTGGGGTTGGCGGACACGAGACGGTTCAGGGCCGGGGAGAACATGTACTTGAAGACGGTCGACATTGTCGCCGTGTCCGGGTCGATGACGGCTTCCTCGGGGAGGTCAAAGTCGCCAGTCGCAATCAGGGGGTGCTCGCTATCGATAAACGGGCCCGTCATCACAAGCGCATCCGCGTATGTGTCGGCAGCTTGGTCGCACAAGGCGTGCAGCGGTTCAAAGTCCAGGTTGTCGTCGGCTGTATACGGCCCAGAAGCATAAAGAACGTTCAGGGGCGCCGGATCCGAGTCGGTGTCCATGGCATCGGGATCGCCTCGCAATTTCTCGCGATGCGCAGCCAACGCGGCCGGCGTCGAAGCCGCGTTGGGCAGCAGAGGCACCTCGAGCACGTCCTCCACGACAAACTCGTTGCCCGAGGTATTAATGCCCCTGAGGGCCACAATCTGGCCGGGAAAGAAGCTAAATCCCTTGTTGCGCATGTTCAGGGGCGCCCGCAGACCACCGCCCACCCGCCTCGACATCTCGAGCACCAACGACGCCGCGTTGAGCTTTCCCTCGGGCGCGTCCGAGGCGATGCGTCCGACGGCAATCACCTCTGTCGTGCTCTGGCTCGCTGCATTGCCGAATTCTGAAAAGTCCAGCTTGTGGTGCTCCTGGATGATGTGCATGAACTCGTCTATCCTGTCGTCGAGGATCTCGGACGCCTCTGACAGCTTCATCGCCAGGGGCTTGTACGCCAGCTTCTTTTGGTCTGATGCCGCCGTCAACTTGATGCGGGGTTCGGAGTACGGGCAGATTGGCGGTTCCGGAGCGTCGAGGTGGTCGTTGAGCACTTCTACCGTCTCGCCGGCGTTCTGTCGTTCGTTGAAGGAGCTGGGTCTGCTATGGTCAGCGTCTGAGAGAGTAATGTGGCCAGCGTTCTTACAGTGACATTGCGTTCAATTGCTCCTCCATCTTGGTAGCCCCCTTGTAGTCTGGCGAGCTCGAGGGTATCTCGGCCTTGACCCGCGACATCGTCGGCGTCTCATGCGTCTTCTTCCGCAGACTGCTCGGCTTGTTCAGCCTACCTGACGCCGGCGTGCTGGGCACCAGTCCATCCAGCATGCCAAAGACATCGCCGCCGCCCCTGCCAGCCCGCGGTGTGCCGTGACTGCGCTTCTCCGTCTTGATGTGCGTCTGCTGTCGGTTGCTCTTTTCCAGTGCATCCTGGATGTCCTTTTTGAAGTTTCGCACGTGCACAATGTCGGGGTTCATGGCGTCCATGTCCATCTTGATGCAGAAGGACTCCCATTTGTAGAAAAGGTCCTCGGCGGACAGGTCGTGCAGGCGCAATAGGGATTGCAGCTCAGTGAGAACTTCAGGCTCAAGGGCCTTGTCTCCCGAGGTAAAGAACTCCTTCAATTCCGCTTCCGCCATTGTTTCGTCGGTTGGTGCTGTTGTACGTGCCTTGAAGTTGAGCGCCGGGAAGTTTGACGACGGAACATTTGGGTGGGACGCGACGAGCGCGTCTTGGTGGGATGGCGCGTAAAGTGTTGGCGGGGCATACAGTGTGTCGTCAGTTTGCACGGTCTTTCAACGACACGCCCTGATATGTCACTGGACGCTTGATCAATCCCTGAATTCGATTCTTCTATTTTGCTATCTGATACCATGCTTTGCTATCCTCGCTAGTGCAAATCACGCAACTTGACTACCACACGATATTGTTGCGAGCCCAGTTCTCCTGACGGCCGACCTCCTGCTTCGCCGCGTAATTCTCAATGGCCGTCTTGGCCATTCGAGACGGAGCGAACTTGATGACGGCCTCCGTGCTGACCTCATACTTAATAGTACCGTCCTCGTGCTTAACGCCGAGGTCCGCCATGCCTCCGGTGAGCTGGTCGAGGTAGGAGCGGTAGTTCTCAGATTTGCGGATGCTGCACCGGGTTGACTCCGACTCGGAGTGGGCGGTCAAGGACGACGCATCCCTGAAGTAGCGCAGACAGCCCGGGCACTGCAGCTTGGCGTTGTAGTGCGAGGCCGCCGACTTCATGTGGGTGATGAGGGCGCCGCTGCTGAGAAAGGTCTTCCTGTCTTGGAGTCAGCATTGTTTTCTCGCTAGGCAGGCAGGGGCCACGAACTTGCAGGACGGCTGAGGACACTTGTACTTGCGTGTGAGGGTGTTGTAGTACTTTCTGGGGTCGAAGAGTCGGTGAGATGGGTTGTTGATGTCGCCCACGAGTGGCTCGCCCTGTTTCTCGCTGCCAGTGTTAGACTGCGCTCGCTGGATGCCCTCCAAGCTTTCATTGGCGTCCTTCAGGTGGGGAAAGTCCTTGGGCTTGAAGAAGGACGGATTCGCCATGTAGGCCTTGTCGTCGGACTCAGACTGCGCGTCCACGGTGGACATGGCATCGAGGTTGGATTGAGCCTCGAAGGCGGACTGGACGCTGGGGTGGGAAACGGGGAAGTAGTCGCCAAACTGCGAGCCGCTGCGCTTCTCGAGCTCATGGGAGAAGGTGAGCTTCTCTGCCCGGCTCTGGTCAACATCCGCGCGGCGAATGCCAGGACACTCGTTGTGCTCGAGGTGTCTCATCCATCCGGCCAACCGTACAAACATTTTCTGGCAGCCGGGGCAGGTGAGGTTCTGCTCCTGCGGGTGGGCCTGTTGTCTTTAGTCCATGTTCGGTGCTCTAGGTTTGGTTGCACTCACCTCCGGAGTATGCTTGTTCAAAGCATCTTTACTGTTAAAGTCGCGGGTGCATACGGAGCAGTGGATGTGAGTTCCCTCAGTCAGCATCGCCATGCGCTTGTGTCCCATCAGCTCATCGAAGCTGGGAAACTTTCTGTCGCAGACGTCGCAGAAGACGGCCTCATGGGGGGCTGGCTTGCGAATCAGAGGCCTGCTGGACGTGGCGCTGGTGACGGACTGGCTGACGGACATGGTGATGATTTGAGTGGGTAAGGATTTCGAACCGCTGGGGTGTGTGTGAGAGAGTTGTAGACTGGCTGGTCTCGAGGTATTATAACAAGGTTGGAGCCTTTGAATATCTGTGTGGCCGAGGGAAAAGAAGACAATTCCGAGGACCCAGGTGAGTTTTATAAGCGAGAGAATTTGGACTGCACGATGAGGAGGAAGGAGGGACGTAGGCAAAGGGAAGGAACGAGTCACTCCCGGCCCCTTTCCAACGACGGATGCGAAGTTTGTTCCGTCTCCTTCGGTTGCGTCTACTTATATCGCCACGGCCAAACGCAACTCGTCTCGCCAGGACTCGAACCCGGTTGCAATTTGTTAAAAAGGGGCATTACGGTTGCCCACATCTTCCGCCTGGACTTCTCAAGGTTTTCTTTTCGAATCTCGGGGTTTTGCTCTTGTTCAGCTGCAATCCTCTCTACTTCCTTTTTGATGCGCCATCGATCGTCGGCAAGTGCGGGAACAAGACACCCACACTTAGGATGAGCCGGTATGCTTTGGCTATTCTAGAACGAATAAGCCAGGAACATGGCCAAACAGAACCGGGCGGTGGTATAACGGCTGTTTCCGCCTTGGGATCAACGAACACCAAACAAATCTTGGTTGCAAGAAGACCGTCGAAGACCAACCCGGACTTCATCACAAGTCGACGATCTCATAGATTTCACTCCGCTCGGGTGTGCTTGGAGTAAGGGTTCAAGCGATCAGCAGTGCTTGCATTATATAGAAGTCTCGTCCGAGCCCCATGGGGCTTTCTCCTTCGAACTCACGTCTCGTTCCGAGAGCCAAGACCTACGAGGAAACTAATTCCAGATGGAGAGAAGCAGCCCACAAGAACCATCAAAGAGGTCACAGTTTTTTGGACCAAGCTGAAGTGCGCACAATCCTGAAGCCCCTCTTCTGCGTCCCGTTCCGGCCCAACTTAGTGGGCAACTCCAGATCAGCAGAGACCAAACATGAACCACAAAATCTACGTTGGCTGACCCAGCTCTCGGAAATGATCTTTCCAAACAGTTCAGGAGAAAGTCGATTGCAGGACAAGTTGAAAGGCATAACGCGCGGTGCGTCCAACGAGCCTCAGCTGGTTGATCACCCACCCCAAGCATTGTGTGGTCTGATGGACGTTGAGGAGCACCGTTCTCCATCAAGAAATCCACGACGTCCTCATCCAAGAGCATCCATTCACCTCTTTCATCAGGCACATTTACCCCTTTTTACACCTCGGTCAAGTCCCACAGTCATGCCTTGGAAATCCACGCCTTCACATGCTTCGTAGCATCGAAACCAAAGACGCGATCCCAGTGCCACATTGTCCAGAACAGCCAAGCTTTGGAATCGCCATGTGTCGTCCAACTGGAATGCTGATGATGCTGACCCTGTCTCGGGTGACTCGGATACAGGCCGTTTGAACCGCTCCCTGGGGTCCATCGTGTACGTTCCCAACTTTCCAACCTCCCCGACATCCGGTCATGTGCAACGGCGAGACAGAAATGTCTAAGACAGTCTGACGTTTCTTTGGCGTGACGTTTTATATCCAGGCAAGCGAACCCCTCCACCTCACCCAAAGTTCCATGGCCATCATCGAATACAGGGGTGCCGCGGCTGGCGCAGAAGTTCTTCAGGATGGCGGCGACTCTGATGAGGACCTTTCAAGCCGGACGCAGGCAAAGTGGCAGCGACACGCCCACATATCGGAACATACATCGAGAAACGCCACACTGATGGCGTGAGTTGACGTGTAACCAAGCCTTCCGCGCCTCGCCGTGTATGTGACCCAGATCACATCGATCTACTACGACACCATCCGAGACACAGCAGCACCATCAAATCAAGTGAGAATATACAAATAGGACACTCATCACCTCAATATCGTTCAACAGAGCGCGCGCCTCGTCCATCGACCAAAGACTGAGAGAAAAATCTCTGTTGCCGCCCAGTGTCTCTCTCCACCAGAACAAAGAACACTCGTCCACCAACCCCCGGCACTAAACTTCGTCTGGACATACTTCATCAAAGAGACGAGCCTACCAGCCACTCGCTCCCACAGTCTCCGCGGAACGACGACGACCGGGCTGCCCAAATCTAGACCGGAACCCGCCAAGGCAGCGTATCGCCGTTTGACTAATCCTACTTCTTGGCTTGATTCCGCGCCGGTGGCACCGCAGCGCCGGGTCTCGCAAACAAAGCCATCTTAAAAGTTCGGCGACCTCTCTACCCGCCCTGCCGCCCGAAGATCTCGCTCCCGCTACCCATTGAAGATTTGATCTGCCGAGTTGAAATAGTCTTAAGGCGAAGGTCCGCCACCTTTTCCGCGCTGACGACCTAGTTGCGAGATCCGCACGAAGACTCCGCACAAGTGAAATAGCAGAGGTCGGAAAGAAAGAGCCCCTATTCCAACATACAAATACCAACTTCACACGCAAACCCGCACACTTCCTTCGCAATGTTCGCCCACAAACTCAAACGGGATGCACCAACCCGTCCCACCTCCGAAATGCCCCTCCCCTTCCTCCCCTTCGTCTTCCTCGCCCACTTCACCCAAACAATAACCTCCGTTCTCACAACCGAAGCCCACCGCACAACGGCAACCCTCACCTCCCACCTCGAAGGGCTCCGCCTCCAGGTCCGCGGTCCAGAACACAACTTTCACCACTTCCCCCTTCTCCCCACCGAACTCCGCCTCAAAATCTGGCAACACGCCTGTGACCAACCGCGGACCCTCCTCGCAACTCACGCCCCGAACCCAGCCTTGCTTGCCGTGAACCGCGAGGCGAGGTACGAGGCCCTGCGGCGGTATACCCTCATTCGGCTAAACACCTGGGGCGACAGGCGGATCTACATTGACTTCCTGCGGGACAGCATCACCGTCGTGGAGGGCAAAGGCGGCGGCGGGTTCCCTATCCGCGGGGCAAGGCATGTCATCGTCGTGTGCGAGGAGCCGTTTCGGAACCCGGGGTCGTGGCTGAAGTGTCGGTACCGGGCTGGGTTGGAGACGTTGACGCTGGTGTTGAGCGGGACGAAGACGGGCGGTGGCAGGGTTCTTGCGCCGCTTCCTGAGATTCGGGAGTTGTGTACCCCCGAGGAGGTTCAGGCGAGGCTTGGGTACGAGAAGGAGGAGGCGGAGAGGATAGGGGAGGAGGTCAGGACGTTGGCGGAGGGCTGGGGGAAGACGAAGATCCGTGTGGGGCAGTTTGTCTAGGTTGCAGAGAGGCAGAGACGACGACGAAGGAGGAGGATGACAGCGTAATGATCTTATCCGACACGACACCACAATACCCATTCCATATGTAGTCAATCTTCTCAATTCTCAACTCGTACAACATCGTACGCCACATCTCAAAGCCTACTCCGCCCCCCAAGATAAACTTCCCCAAGCCGCAACTGCTCAACCGCCTCTGTGACCATCTCTTCCACAATCTCCCCCGCCGGCTGAATCTTATCAATCGCACCAGCAACCTGCCCCATCAAATGCGGAATCTCAATATCCTCCCTCCCTTGCTCAAAATCAAACTCAATCGGCACCGTCCCGCCCTCCGTCAACCTTCTAATCTCCTCCGGCCGCGCGTGCCACCCCCGGATATACTCATTCGTCTTCATCCGTAACGGCCGCCCACTAATCACAAGCGTCCTCTCCGTCCCCTCAAACCCGCACGACACTACCTCCTCTTTATGCTCCTCGCTACAACCCGCCTCCACGCTCGCCACGAACCGCGTGCCAACCCACACGCCCACGGCCCCCTGCATCAACGAACTCGCCAGACTCCTCCCGTTATACATCCCGCCCGCCGCGACAACAAGCGCCGTCGACCCCTTGAGCATCGGAGGACGATACCGCCTCGCGACGTCCACCACCGCGGGGATCAGCACCGAATTCGCCACGTCCCCCGTGTGGCCCCCGCCCTCCCCGCCCTGCGCACACACAATATCGACCCCCAACTCGAGCGCCTTCACCGCATGCTTCGGATGTCCCACCATATTCATAACATAGATGCCCGCCCCGTGCAACCTCTCAATCACTTCTTTGGGAGGGACACCCACCGCGCTCACGAACAACCGCGCGCCCGAGGCGATGGTGATGTCAATCAGCTCGTCGAGCTTGCCGCCCGTGTAATCGTGGTTCGTCTTGCGCGCGTTCCCGCCGACCTGCGGCAGCGCGAGGTCTACGCCAAACGGGAGATCGGGGGACTTGAAATTGGCCTTCATCTCGGCAATGATCTCGCGGAGTTGGTCGGGGGTGTACTGGAAGCCGCCGATGACGCCTAGGCCGCCTGCGTTGGAGACGGCTGCGGCCAAGGGACCGCCCGAGGTGCGGGCCATGCCGGCGAGGAGGATTGGGTGCTTGATGCCCAGGAGTTGGGTTATGGGGGTTGTGATGGGGCCGGAGGGTGCCATCTTGTCTGTTGTCTTACACTGGTCCTGGCGTGGTTGTACTGGTAGTGCTTGGCCTGGTATTCTACGGTGTCAGGCGAAGAAATGTACAGCAGAAGCGTATGGTGATGAACAAGTCAAGAGAGGCAACGAGAAGTCAAGAACAAAAAGAGCTTTAATGACACGCTTGGAGCTAGTCGTCGAGAGTCGTGCCGAAGCACCTAGGTAAATCCGGGGTGAAGAGTGTGGGGTTGGGGGAGCTCTGTTGCGGGGAATTCACACCGAGGCAATTGCCTTGTTGGGACAGCAGCTCGCCCGCCCGTGACCCCCCTCAGCTCCGGCCCCGAGCGGCACTGAAACGGGCAACCACAGCGGCATGTGAGTCGGCCATTCTCTGTCCCGTCCGTCCGTCCGTCCGTCCGTCCGTCCGTCCTCCGTCACAGACAATAGACATTCACACGGGCTATCAACCAGTCACAATGTCGCCACTTGCACTCGGGGAAATAAGTCGTCAATTGACATGCGCCGCGCCATGCACCGCTCTATTTGAAATGCTACCCTCATCTCCCTGCATTGGTATCGTTATGACATGATTATCGTTGGCGTCGCCCAACTATTATACAACGCACTTCACAAGGTACACGTCCACCACGCACTCTGTTTATCGAAAGCTCGGTAGACGCGCCGGAATGAACTCCTCGGTCCGTATGTACTGATCCTGCGTGGTGGACCGAAGGACCGGCGCGTCGTCGCCGTACGTAGACCTCGGCGGTGATCTTTGACTCGGCGAGTCTGACACGTAATCCGCCTCGTCGGCTTTGGCGTCTGAGTCCGCCTCGGACGTTGTTGGCCCCTCGGAGCCGGCATCGTGCAGGCCCCGTTCCGACGCAAGCTGCAGCGCCGCCTGTCGCTTGCGTTCGACCTCGTCGTCTTCCTCTCTCCTGATGCGCTCCTCTTCTCTTTGTAGTTCCTCCATCGAGGCCTCCATTGACGGTGCAACTGGTGTATCCGGCGTCGTAGGCCCACTCGTGGAGCTCCTCCGTACGCTGGGGCTGAGCATGGAATGGCTGGAATCAATCGTCGCTCTCGACACTGTTCGAGACATGGGCCGTCCGTCAGCCCGCCGCTTGCCCTTGCTCGCCTTTGTCCTGCTGCTGCTGCGATCGTCCCGGACCTTGTCCAGGACCATAAACTCGTCGTCAAACGGCACGGCGTCTTCCTCGCCTTCGCCGTCACTGGGGAACAGGTCGCCCCGAGACCGGTATGAATCCGACGACACCCCGGATCCCGTCGTTCCGCTGCGATTTCTAGTCTTGGCGGTCCGGCTCTGAAAGACATCAACGTCGTCGCCGTCGTCCGAGTCGTGTGTAAGCAGAGGCTCCGTCTCGCCCATGCCCATCTCGCCGTGCTGCCGCGGGTGATCCTGCAAGTCCGCCGCGCTCGGCTTGTAACGGAGCGTCTTGCCCAGCTTCCACGGCAGCTTACCCAGGAACCCAATCGGTTGCGTGCTAGGGATGACGGTCGGATCCGACTCGAGCGCCTTACTCCCTCTGCCCCTTGTGCCGTAACTCATGCCGCGTTTCCTCTTGGGCTGGTCCTGCTGTACCTCGCCGCCTCCGCTTCCCGTGTTATTCTTTTGATGTTGCGACCCTGTGCCCGCGAGCAGGCGGTCCCAGTCGTCGTTGCCCCAGCCACCCAAGAACCCTCCGCCCTCGTCCTCGGCGTACCAATCGTCGTAAAAGTCGAAGCTATATTCCGCCCTTCCGCCCGCGCGATCTCGTTCTCGTCGCCTTCTCGCCCGCTCTTCGCGGTCGCCGAGACACGGGTTGGCGCATTGCTCGAGGGAGGCGGCGAGGGAGGCGAGACACGGATTGATGTAGTGGTGCTGGAAGCTCCAGATGCCGGCGGCCGCGTTCTCCGTCACCTCGCCGGCGTTGTGTGAGATTTGGTTCCATCGCTGGCGCAGTCGCGGGTCCTCCAAGAAGGCCATGTTGGGTGATGGCGCTGCTGCAGGGTCTTGAGGGATGACGTCGCGGGCATCAAGAAGGGAGGGAAGAAGTGGAGTTGGGTATTGTCTTCAGAGGATCGGTGTCGGCCTCGACCTGGGGCTGCAGCAAAAGAGAAAATTGTCGAGGCCCTCGTATCGAATGGCCGATGATGGAAAATACAATCAAGGGCGGGCGAAAAGTCCAAATGTGAAGGGAGCCATGGGACGTGGATTGGGCGAGTAACGGTTGGTTTCAAGTGCGCCGGAAACAAAACGCAGCCTCACCTCAGCTGTCAAAAGTTGGGCTCAACATTCCACTGGTTGCAGCAGGCAGGCAGGCGCAGGCGCAGGCAGTCAGGGCGTCAGGGTGTCAGGGTGCTGGTGGGTGGCAGGTAGGCGGCACTCCATCCCTTTGGGGGCCCTTGGGGGTTTCGCTGCAGCTGCGGGTGTGGGCGCGCGGTGCGGGTGCGGGTGCTGATGCAAGTTGGACTTTCGGATTGTCAAGGTCCCAAAGCACGTGCGTCGGCACTGTCTGTGGCTGGTGGCCCCCTTATCTCAGGACCTTCGGGACGGATAAGGCACCTTTGGGGTGGGATTGACTTTGTGGATCCGGGGAAATTACAGACCTCCCGCCAGGTTGCTGACCAACTGTGGCTTAGCCTCTGGATCGAACCCCTGGAGATCGACGTCACTCCTTCAAGGTATCGGAATGCATCGTCATTTATAAACTTTGGTTCTCGCAACGTTTTGACTTTGGGTACACTTCCCGAGACTCGGTAAACTCTACGAAACACGGGACAGAGAAAGCACGTGGAGATGTTATATTCCCAACCACTACAGACGCCAAAACGCTGCTACTCTAGACAGAGCTTGCCAAGGACCATGATCATCTCACCCCCTGTGCTTGTTCGCTCGTAGAAATCATGACGGCAATGCTCATTTCCTCATGCCGGCAACAGTCCCGTGTACCCATCGAGAGAAGTCAATGAGTGCCAGGCCGTGGCTAAAGAATGCGTGAAGTCGCACAAAGGTGTCCTAAGTGAATGCCCACACTAGCGCATTCAACTTTGCCTGGCAGAACTTCCCAACACGTGAAAGAACACGGCCAGTCTTCTGCTTGAGCGTCACCTGCTTCTTCTTCTTCTTCTTCTTCTTCCTCTGATGCCACATGGGCAAGATGGCAGCCGTCTCGCTGGTGGACTGAGCATCCCCTGCATCGTATGCAGGCGTAGCCCCCGAATTGCTCCGTCCGGATTCCTAATGGCCGTTTGTTGCAGCTTGGGGTACTGGTGGCCTCTCTGGACCGTAGGGTCTAGGTGGTTCTGGCTCTCCAGGTTGGGGCTCCTCCTCCGTGTCGTCGTCAAACTCGCTCGGATCCTCTTCGCCCTCCTCCTCGTCCGAGTAGTCGCTGCCGTCGCCGTCCATGTGGCCGTTGCTGTCCGAGTAGCAGCTCTCCAGCGTTGCCGCCATTCCAGGCGGAACCTTGCGGCCCTGCTGCTGCATCTGCTCGATGATGCTCCTAAGCTTCTCGGCTCTCTTGGTCGCCTCGGCAGCCTTCTTGCGCCAATCCTCGCGCTCCTCGGCCATGCGAATGATGTTGGCATTCGTCGCCTCGTGCTTGCGCTTCATGGTCTCGTTCTCCTTCTCCAGACGCTTCGTCTTCTTGGACATGTCCTCCATCTCCTTCCGAAACGTCAAAAAGAGATCGTTGCTGTTGTTGAGCGTGTCCTCAACCTTGATCTGTCAGCAAAAAAGCTCAGCCTAACCTCTGCAACCAGCGTTTTGTCAGTCATCATACCTGCTTGAACTTATCAACGTAGACGTTGAGTTGATTCCGAAGCTCCGTCTCCGTCTTGGTAAAGGTCTGAACCTGCGCCTGGAGATTCCGCGCTCTCGTCGACTCGGCTTCCGCGAGCTTCTTCTCTCGTTCGTAGCGCGCCATGTTGTATTGCACCTCCAGCTCCTTGGTGCGCATCGTGGAGTGGAAGTGCAACTCACGCAACTCGTACTGCTCAATGAACGACTTGAACCGGTTCTTGAATCTGCAGGGTGTTAGTCGTGTGACAGTGACTGCGACTCAGAGACTTACAAGGTGTCGACGCTCATGTCCACAACCTGCTTCCGCGGATGGTCCTTTTCTTCTTGGATCCCCTCCAGCTTGGCAAGCAGGGCCGCATGCTTCTCGTCGTATGCTGAGCTGTTGTGCTTCAGGTTGTCCTGGAGGGTCTTGTTCTCGTTCTACACAAGGTCAGCCGTGCCCCGTCTGCTGGTTAGGGACCACAAACCTTGTACTTGTTGTTGTCCCGTTGCAGTTCGCGACAGAGCTTCTCAAGCTTCTCCTTCAGGCCGACCGTTTTGCTGAGCTCGGTGCGATTCGCATCCTTTTCCTTTTGCAGGGCATCCCCGCGTTTCTTGTTCTTTTGGTTCTCCCGCTCAACACGGCGCATGTCGGCTAATAGTTCGCTGGACCGACGGGTGAGGTGCTCAATCTTTTGCAGATCGCTCATCTTTGCCACCTGTTGGGCCAAATCGCGGTTCGCACGCTTGACCTCGCGCTCTGCTGCCGTTAGCCCTGTCGCCCAAGACATGAACCCGAACGAATCCCCAGCACGGAGAGGCTCCTGCCCTGCGTCTAGTCATCGCCACAACCCTCGCGGGCTTGGGCAATAACTATTGCACAAACGCACACGACATGATTCGGCCCCTCCGGGAGGGGTAAGCATGGGAGGCGGTACGCACCAATCTCAGCTTCCTGGTCCTTCTCTCCAGCTGATTCTTGCTCTAGCTGCGAGATGCGTTGCGCGAGTAGCTTTGCAGACTCATTCGAGTCGACGGCCTTCTTCTGCTTTCCCTTCTTCAGAGACGCCGTCGGCGGGTGGGCGTGACCATCTTGACCGTTGGACATGTCGGCGTCGGCCTCGCTGAGGGGCATCTACTCGGCGGGCAAGAGGGGCAGTGGTTGTGTATGGGTGTATGTTGCTTGCGGCCTTGTCGTCACCGACGAATTCGCATCCGTGTTCGATCGATCGAGCGGGTCGGTGTCGCAAAATCGAGCGGGCGTCGAGTCCCTGTTTCCCCGCGGTAGTCTCAACCGCGATGTTCGGAGGCAGCAGTCGGTTCGTGTGCTCTCGTCGCTTTCCCCCTCATTGACCTCCTTTGCAGATTTTCGACGTTGGCACGGGACGAGGAACGACGGGCTAGGGTGAGGTGTAGCGTGTGTCTGCGTGTGTCTGCGTGGTTCAGGCATGCGCATTAGAAATGCCACTGTACTCGAGAAAAACGGGTGGAGGAGAGACTTGCTGCAGGGCCTCGTACCCGAACTTGTCGAGTACCTCTTTGGGTCCGGGCCGGCCAAGCCAAGCAGACTCACTTTGGTATGCCTAGCGAATGATCGATATAGATGCCGATATGGAGTTGGGTAAAAATGACCAATTGCCCACGATCCCACTGGTCGCCTTTGGTTTCGCGATTTCCCGAGTTCCGTAGGCGTTGGCAGCGTGGAAGGGAGGAGAATAAAGTGCACCTGGAGAAGGGCGGACAAAGGTACTTGCCTAGCGGACAGCGTCCCAATCTACCGGGCGGCGTCGCTGTTGTTGGTTGCGCCGTGTTAGCTGCCCGTTAATGCGTTACGCAGGCCCAGGCACACTGACCCGGTAGTGCCTCAGAGAGCGTTTTGATGAATATGGGACCCCACATGCCCTGTGTGATGACGAATAGCGGCGGACCAGCGCCGACCACGCCTAAAAATTTCCAGCACAAGTCAGCCGGGAGCTGCGAATCGCCTCCTGCGCTCCACTGTGGTTCCTGTTGTATCCGTAGGCCGGCCAGTCACTCTCAGAACGAAGCTTCCTTCTCTTCCGCCTCTCCCTCTGGACCATGAGGCTCTAATCCTCTGCATTCAACTCACACCCGTCCAACATGTTGCGCAACGCCGTCAACACGGCCAAGAAAGCCGTGACTGAGCTCTCTCAGTATCCCAAGCCTGGCGACAAGCTCCATGGCTTCACACTGCTGAGGACGAAGCACGTGCCCGAGCTGGAACTGACTGCTCTTCACCTGCAACACGACAAGACCGGCGCAGACTACCTACACATTGCACGCGACGACAGCAACAATGTCTTCTCCATCGGCTTCAAGACGAATCCCCCCGACGACACGGGTGTGCCCCATATCCTGGAGCACACCACGCTGTGTGGTAGCCAGAGGTGCGTTCCGTGGTCCCCATGCTTTGCATGTCATACTGACCATCCAGATACCCCATCCGCGACCCCTTCTTCAAGATGCTGCCGAGGACGCTGTCCAACTTTATGAACGCCTTCACGGCATCGGACCACACCTTTTACCCGTTTGCGACGACCAACTCCCAGGACTTCAAGAACCTCATGTCGGTATACATGGATGCGACGCTGCACCCTCTGCTCAAGGAGTCCGACTACACCCAGGAGGGATGGCGCATCGGACCGGAGAACCCGCAGGCGGCCAACGGCGAGGAGAGCGACCTGGTCTTCAAGGGCGTCGTGTACAACGAGATGAAGGGCCAAATGTCGGACGCCGGCTACCTCTTCTACATTCGGTTCCAGGACCACATCTTCCCCGACATCAACAACTCTGGCGGTGATCCGCAAAAGATCACCGACCTGACGTACGAGCAGCTGCGCAAGTTTCACGCGGAGCACTACCACCCGAGCAACGCGAAGCTCTTCACGTACGGAGACATGCCCCTGTCGGACCACCTGCAGGAGGTCAACGCCCAGCTCAACGCGTTCGAGAGGATACAAGAGGACAAGACGATTCACCAGCCGATCAACCTGGCTTTTGGGCCTAGAGAAGTCACTGTGGAGGGACCCCTAGATCCCTTGGTGGACCCCGACAGGCAGTACAAGACGTCCGTCTCCTGGATCATGGGAGATTCTTCCGACGTCGTTGAGTCCTTTTCCCTGGCGCTGCTCTCTACTCTGTTGATGGACGGCTACGGATCTCCTTTGTACCGCGGGTTGATCGAGGCCGGTCTCGGGACAGACTTTAGCCCCAACGCCGGCTACGACAGCTCCGCCAAGCTGGGCATCTTCTCCATCGGGTTGACTGGTGTCCAGGAGGCCGACGTGTCCAAGCTCAAGTCTGAGGTCCAGCGTATCCTTCAGGAGGTCCGGCAAAAGGGGTTCGACAGAACAAAGATTGACGGATCCCTTCACCAGCTGGAGCTGGCGCTGAAGCACAAGACGGCCAACTTTGGCATGTCCATGCTCCACAGACTCAAGCCCAAGTGGTTCACGGGTGTCGACCCCTTTGACTCGCTGGCGTGGAACGATACCATCTCGGCCTTTGAGACCGCGCTCGCCAAGGGAGGGTACTTGGAAAGCCTGATTGACAAGTACCTGCTGAACGACAACACTCTGTCCTTCACCATGTCGCCGTCAACCACCTTTAGCGAAGACCTTGCTCGCGAGGAAAAGGAGAGGCTAGCCTCCAAGATCAAGCAGGCATCTCAGGACGCCGGTGGTGACGAGGCGGCCCGCAAGAAGTTTGAGCAGCGCGAGCTGGATCTTCTCGTCGAGCAGGGCAAGTCGAACACGGAAGACCTGAGCTGTCTGCCGACGGTTCACGTCAAGGACATTCCCCGGAGCAAGGAGCCCGTGGTTGTCCGCGACGAGACGGCCGACGGCGTCAAGATCCAGTGGCGCGAGGCCCCGACCAACGGTCTCACCTACTTCAGGGCCATCAACACCTTGGAGAATCTGCCGGATGAGCTGAGAGAGTTGATTCCCCTCTTCTCCGACAGCATCATGCGCCTCGGCACCAAGGACATGTCCATGGAGCAGCTCGAGGACCTGATCAAACTCAAGACGGGAGGCGTGTCTGTGGGATACCACTCGACGCCCTCGCCCACCGACTTCCACCAAGCGAGCGAGGGTTTAATGTTTACGGGCATGGCGCTGGACAGAAACGTCCCCGTCATGTTTGACATTCTGCGCAAGCTCGTGCAAGACACGGATTTCGACAGCCCAGAGGCCGCTCTGCGCATTAGACAGCTCCTTCAGGCGTCTGCCGACGGCGTCGTCAATGATATTGCCTCATCGGGCCACCAGTACGCCCGCGGCTTCGCGGAAGCCGGGCTTACCCGGAGCGCCTGGTTCAGACAGCAGATTGGCGGCCTCTCGCAGGTCAAGCTCGTCACGTCGCTTGCCAATCGTCCCGAAACGGATGGTTTGGTGGACGTCATTGACAAGCTCAAGCAAATCCAGAAAATCGCGCTCGCCGGTGGTAACTTCCGCACCGCTCTCACCTGCGGGGCAGAGAGCACGGGCGCCAACCTCAGCGCCCTGACTAGCTTCATGTCGACTCTTCCCAAGGATCTGCCCCTGCCGTCGACATCCCAGCCCGCGACGCTGCAGAAGAACATCAAGTCCTTCTTCCCGTTGCCGTACCAGGTCTATTACGGTTCGTTGGCGGTACCCACCGTTTCGTACACGTCTGCGGACGGCGCGCCACTGCAGATCCTGGCGCAGCTCCTCACGCACAAGCACCTTCACCACGAGATCCGCGAAAAGGGGGGTGCCTACGGCGGCGGAGCGTACTCGAGGGGATTAGACGGCCTCTTTGGGTTCTACTCGTACCGTGACCCCAACCCGCAAAACACGCTCTCCATCATGCGCAATGCCGGCCAGTGGGCCACGGACAAGGCGTGGGCGGACCGCGACCTCGAGGAGGCCAAGATCTCCGTGTTCCAGGGTGTCGACGCGCCTCAGTCGGTCAACTCGGAGGGCATGGGCCGGTTCCTGTCCGGCATCACGGAGGAGATGAAGCAGACGCGCCGCGAGCAGCTGCTCGACGTGTCCAAGGACCAGGTGCGCGAGGTGGCTCAAAAGTACATTGTCGACGCTCTCGCTAAGGAGGAGGAGAGAGTCGCCTTCTTGGGCGAGAAGCGCCCGTGGGTGGACGGCGCCTGGAAGATTCACGAGATGGACATTGGTTCCGAATAAGCCACGAGGTCCGCCGACTTGTATAGTAACGACCGCAGGAAGGTGTACTTTCCGGTCAAGATCTGTAACCATATCTGTACAGCACCCATGTGTAACATTATACCCACCTCCTGAATAGAAGCCAACTGCATGAGGTCTTTTCTTCTTTTGGGTCTTTGTTCTGCTATACTTTGAGACCGCGTTCAGATACGATACGTCTTCCTGCCACTCTCAATGGCTTGGAGACCACTAGACAACGCAAGATGAAGAAAGATTGAGCCAGGGTATCCTGTTTGCAACTTTGTTGTAGACAGGATAACCGGCCAGAGGCTCGTGCTATCAGACCCGACATCCTCAGCTTTGGATGGTTGGACTAAGGCGCAGAGTACATGCGACGTTGACTTGACGTGCTGGTGAAGGCCGGTGGATGGGTGAGAAGCGGGAGACGGAAGCCAATCAGGTGCGGCCAATTACAAGTCGGCAAATCCAGGCCGGTTGACGTGAACGGGAGATGCTCGGATGGAATGTGGAAAAATAAAGGACAAGAAAAAAGGAATAGAGACAATTGGCTACAGAGAACAATGCCCCGCATACGTCACCCTTAAGACACAGCGCCACTATTGTTTCTCTCTCAAGTGCAACTTTGAATTTCGACTTCGGCACTGCGGCTCGTGGGATGGCTTGGGGACTTGGGAACGCCGAGGAGCATCCCGAGTGGATGTTTGACGGGAGGCAGCCCAGCGACAAACTCGGGATCTGGGGGTTTTCTGGGCAGGGGAGAGCAGTGCCGTGACTATCCGTATGCGCGGTGAGATCTAGAATGTGGTGGTGTATGTGGTGTGGTGTGGTGTGGTGAGAGAGAGAGAGAGAGAGAGGCACATGCTTCTTCTACCTGGACTAACGTTGCCGACTTGGCCGTCTTTCACGTCCTTCGTCTTAAGTGATGCGGCCGTTGGGAGACGGACAGAGTGCCATCGACAGTCAGCGATTTGTGACAGAAGCTAGAGCCATCCCATCCCATCCCATCCATCACGGAGAGTGTACGGGTACCACGCAGAAGCTTCCCAGTTGAGCTGGTTGCTTTTGGACGAGGTCGAGTGGCATGGGAAAAATCAGGCTAATTATGGTAACTGTCCGAGTGGAACATTGCGTTGAGGGAATTTCTCTTTTCCTC